GGTTAACAGAAACGCAAATTTGGAACGGAAGTATCAAATAAAGTTATCAAAAATTTTGACGTTCACTTGTTGCATTCATCAAATTGATTAGGGTCTTTGTTAAAGTAATAAAAGTAATTGAGTTACTTGATAAAGAAGATATTTGTGTAGTTATAGTTTGATTTATGCCTTGGTTTAGTAAGGAGTGCTTATATATAAGAAAGTGAAGCAAATTCCTGAAAGTGAAGCAAATAAATCTTTATTTTGATCATTTATTGTAGAATCTACAATGTAGATGAATGAATTAGGCATACATTTTTACCCATTAAAGTTACATGTCAGCACTTAGGGCTTCTATTTTCTACTAATAAAAGTTTAAATATGTTAAAATTTCTTACAATCTTAATTAAGATGTTTATATAATCATATAATTTTGATACAACGAACCTTAATTCATAACCGTAGGTGTTTTGATTAAATGATACATCTATTTCCATAGGAATTATGGGCTCGTAAGGGTATTTCAAGCCTCAATGCCCTTGTTATTGTTGTTGCTTCTGCTGCTGCTGCCGCTGCATTACATATGTGCGTTGGCGTGGGCGTCGCTGCTGGCATCGGCTTTAGCGTTGCCATGACAGCGGTGGCAAAAAATACAGGTGTTGGTTGCAAATACGTCATCAAAGCAGACCGCAGTGGTGGCAGAATCAGGTGGAACCGTGGCAGAGGCAGCAACGCCGACAGTGAAGCCAGCAGGCCATAACGGGGATGGCAGAGAGCCACCAACACAAACATAAACACGCACAGCTGTCAGCACGATCGCAATTCCAATACATACATATGTATATATAAACCATATTATAAAGCGCGACTTTTGAAGCCAACGTTGACGTCAGCGTCAACGTTAACGTTAACGCCAACGCAGGCAGCATTCACCATGTGCCAATTCCACTTTGTTTCAACTTCGCTTCTATTCTTGCCTGTAAAAAAAAGGCAACAAAGCAGCACTACGACGACGACGTTACCGTCGACAGAGGCGTCAACACCTGGCCAAAGCCACACTTTAAGCGTTTTAACTTGGCCCGATCGGTTTTAGTTGTTGTCGAGACGCCGCCGCACACATTTCACGATCACTCTCTATTAAAAATATTTGCTAAAAAATAAAAATAAACGCATATGCGTTCCTCGGGAACCCCGGTATTCCAAAACTACGGGAAATCGTTAGCTTGAAAATCTCGGAAAATCTGTTTAAAGTGTGTGTAGCCAGCCCCTTTGAAAGCCAAAGTCTTAGCTCAAAGCGAAAAAGTGATTTCAATCAATTAATAAGACTTGGCATGATGTCAGAATCTTGCGTTATAATCGCTCTCGTTTCTGATTTATTAAATGCCGCCAATCGAAATTGATTTCAATCTCCGGCAATTGACTGCCATTTCAATTATATGTTTTTTTATGACGAGTTTATTACCAAAGTGTTTCAATTCGTTCGTTTGTTTGTTGGTTTGCTTGTTTGTTTGCAAACAAAATGTGCTGCTGCCCCGCGAATGGAGTCAAGTCAAGTAACTGTAAAATAATGACGTACACCCCTGCTGATCTCGCGGACCCCCCGTCTTATATCATCTCGTTTCGGTTGCGATCTCAATCTTGCCGCTGTTCCACTTCGTAGATTCGAAAAACACTTTTCTCTGTGTGTGTCTCGTATTTTATTTTGCAATTTTCAATGGTCTTTTTAAGTGTTTTTATTGTCTTGTCTCATTGTCTCTGGGGGATGCTTTATTAATTTTAATTTATTTGCCCACAAATCCCCCCTAAAAAATAAATCTCACAATTTTCGGTTAAGATCACCCAAAACAATGCTTTATTGTTTGTTTTGGCTTTCGTTCTTCCTTAATTATTTTTAATTTATATCTCTTATTTGGGTAATTAATATGCCTTTTTATTGATTCGGATATAATGAATCACCCTTCTAAGATTGCTTTTTTTTAAGCTCTTGTTAAGTGATTTAGTATTTGATTTGCTGAATTTCATGTTTTCTTAATGGTATTTGATGTCTCCCCAAAACCAGATAATTTGTCAATTCTCTTTTCGAAATACAAATTAGCTGGCCTAGCTAAACTCTCTTCTTTTGCAATTTTGATTGGTTTTAAGTAGTTAATATCTTTTAATTTATAACCTCGAGTTGCAATCATTTTCTAAATGTATGCTCCTCGGTCGTTGAGCAATGCAAATTGACAGGCAACTTAGAGAGAGAAAAATCACCCATCTCCTAACTTTGAACAGTAGCCAAAAAGCCGAATTAGGCAAAGACCAGATGGGGCACTACTACTGCCGACGCTTTTTCAAAAGACTCATTGAGAATGTCAAGCCATTAACGCCTCTTAGAGACGCCTCCACAGACACTTTTTTCTCAATGTGTTTTGGTGTTTGGTGGTGCCCCCAGGTATTTTATTTCTCTATATAATTTTTGTTTTGTTTTTGGCATAATCACATAAAGAGAAGGCAGATACGTTTATAGTGTGTTTAAAATGCTGCAATTAGCATTTTTGGTTGTGCGGGGATGTGTGTGTGTGTTTGTCACGGTGCTGCGCAGGCGTAGGAACGCAGCTTAAAATCAGCCTCCAGTTAAAGTCCGAGGCTCCATTACCAATGCAAAACAAACATTTGTCGTGATTTTTGTGCTGTTTTGGGTGGGCGATCTTTTTGGTCTGGCCAACTGTTTTTGTTTCACTTTTTTTTATTGATCTTGAGCCATATAGATTAATCTAGTGATTTTCAATGAGAAACAAAGGTGTAACAAGGCGATACTGATTTTAAAGTTTGGTTTTTATTGCCCTTTATTAGGTTATGGTTATGGGTAAACATTTCAGCTTTTGTTCATTTCCTGTTTACTTATACTAAGTACTAAGCAGCCCTTAACTTAAGCGAGCCCATTCTCGTATTCTCTGTTCCATTGTTTCCACTTTGTTCCTCTCTGAATTTTTAACACTTGCGAATTATTTGCCCCTTCACTTGAGCAATTACTGATGTTTGTTTTGATTATATTGACCCTAAATATTGGCTTAACTTTATTTTTTTTTAACGCTTAGACGTGAGTTAAATAAATTTGATGTCATTATTTGTAATTTGGAATTATTAAATTTGAGTTAATAGCTATGATTTCATGTAAATTCTATAATATAATGTTTTTCAATTAATAATTTGTGTTTATAACTTTTTTTAAACATAAAGTTTTGTTGAAAGCTTAACAATTTTAAAAACTTCTCATTAATTATGACTATTTGCAAGATTTTTATATTTTTGCTAAATTATTATTCATAATTACTAAATTGTGAATAATTTTTAGTATTACTATAACCGTAAATGTTCAAAATTTAAGCGATAACACAAATTTTTTAGTTCTAACGAATATTTTTTCACAAACAAAATATGATTTTAACTTATAAGCTCATAAGATAAATCTCAATAAGGAAATAAGCCTTTCTATATCAAGAAAATATATTCCAAACTCTCTTTCACTTCCTCTAGTCCAAAATAGGCCCTTAAACAAACGGTGTTCCCTGTTTCACTGCCATATCGTTCCCCTCTCTCTCTCCATTTTCCTATGCAAAATAGGCTTGCGTGTTCCGAAACTAATGAATCTCTGCCCATGAATCAGCGGTGTACATTAACTTTTTGCCGTGAATATGTGTGTAAATTTTGCAACAACAAAAAAATACAAAAAAAAAGAGGCAGCAGCAAAAGAAGCAACAAATAGCGCCAAGAGCAAGACAGACAGACAGACAGTTGGGATAATTATGTGTACGTACAACACAATAAATAATTCGCAACAACAATGGGGCACCACCTCCCTCCATATGCTGCCCCTCTGCTGTATACCACACTTCACTCCACTTCGGTTAATTTTACTCTACTTCAGCTCGCGATGGTGTTTCTGACAATGTCTAGGGCAATGCCACATAGAACGAGACATCCGGTGCCGGTGTTTTGGGATTTGACTTTGGCTTTAGGTTTTTGGCTTAATTAAAGCCAAATTGTTAGGAGAAGGACCGGCAAATAATTAAACTTATTTTGTAAATCACTCAGAATTACGAAAATCGGTGCAAAAGCAACGCGCGGCAAAACGAAACGATTTTCTAAACGAACCCTAAGAAAAACGAAACGAAAACAAAGTGAAACAAACGAAACCAACGATAGGCGCAGCGATAACTGCGATAGCAGTACGATAACTGCGATAACATGCACTCCAGCTCGCAATCGACGCTGAAGCGCACACAGCAACTGGTGCGGCAAACGAATGGCGGCAGAGGCGATGTCCTAAGCAGTGGATCCGAGGTGGTTCACTCCTCCCGGGGACCGGCAATAACCACCAATATCGATGACTCCAGCTTACGTTATCGTCATGAGACGAAGAGGGAAAGGACTGTGGAAGCGGTGATCACGGATTATCCGGGTGTATCTCCGCTGGGAAGCGTGCCCCACGAACGTACCAACTTTGAACGCACTGTGACCTTCCAAGATCCCGCTGGCAACTCACGTCGTGTCTCGGAGACACGAGCCTTGGTCCCGTCGAGTGGAAGTTCTTCCGCCCATTACCAGCAGGTGACACGGAATAAACGGATCTCCACGGAGGTTCTGGGCTCCAGTGTGGAGAGCACGAAGACATCGCAAAGGGCTCCGAATGGCCATCGTCGTGTGACCACGCATATTGTCCGGAAAGTGACCACATTGAGTAGGGCAGAGGAGAACGCCCAGCCCGCCGAGGATTTGTTACCACCGGCAAAAATGATTCGTAGTTCGGAGTTGGAGTACCGCCGTGCCCTGCCGCCGGCCATAGAGTCGTCCACGCAGCGCCGAGAGGTAAAAAGCAGGATCCGGGTTGGGTAGCAAGGATATAGATCAAAGTTTCGAATCCTTTCCTTAACGAACTAGCCACAGTTTTGCTCACCAAATGATTGCTCAATTAATGATTTTTATTTCTAATAAGATTTAAGTCCTAATCACTTACTAATTTCTTAATTAATTCACAGATCTCCGATATTGTTGTGGGCAAGGAGGACAACGTATCCGCTCGGGAGGCCCTGTTGCGCTGGGCGCGTCGCTCGACTGCTCGGTATCCGGGCGTTCGTGTCAACGACTTTACGTCGTCGTGGCGAGATGGATTGGCCTTCTCGGCGTTGGTGCACCGCAACCGACCGGACTTGCTTGACTGGCGAAAGGCAAGGAACGATCGGCCAAGGGAGCGCCTGGAGACGGCCTTCCACATTGTGGAGAAGGAGTATGGAGTTACGCGTCTGCTGGATCCTGAGGGTAAGTCAGCTAAATAATTCATTTTTAAAGATTAAGATATAATGGTAAACCCTTTATTTTAGATGTGGACACCAACGAACCGGATGAGAAGTCCCTCATCACGTACATTTCATCGCTGTACGATGTGTTCCCGGAGCCACCCTCCATCCATCCACTGTTCGACATGGAGTCACAACGTCGCGTGCATGAATACCGCGACCTGGCCCAGCAGTTCATCTACTGGTGCCGCGAGAAGACCGCCTACCTGCAGGAGCGCTCCTTCCCGCCCACCCTCATCGAGATGAAGCGTCTGTTGAGCGATCTGCAGCGTTTCCGCAGCGAGGAGGTTAGCGCCCGCAAGCGTGAGAAATCTAAGCTCATCCAGATCTACAAGGAGCTGGAGCGTTACTTTGAGACAGTGGGCGAAGTGGACGTGGAGGCTGAACTGCGTCCGGATGCTATCGAGAAGGCTTGGTATCGCATGAACACGGCGTTGCAGGATCGCGAGGTGATCCTTCAACAAGAGATCGAGCGACTGGAAAGGCTGCAGAGATTAGCCGATAAGGTTCAGCGAGAGATCAAGCATGTGGATCAAAAGCTAACCGATCTGGAGACCCGTATCGGTGAAGAGGGACGTCGCATTGAGCGTCTGCATCCCGTGGACGCCAAGAGCATTGTCGAGGCGCTCGAAACTGAAATCCGACACCTGGAGGAACCCATCCAGGACATGAACCAGGACTGCCACGTGCTCAACGAGGGACGCTATCCCCATGTCAGTGAGCTGCACAAGAAGGTCAACAAACTGCACCAGCGCTGGGCTCAACTGCGCACCAATTTCCACACGAACCTGGTACAGAAGCTGTCCGGTTTAAAGTATCCCGTCCACGAGACCACGGTGACGCGTCAAACGCGCATGGTGGTCGAGTCCCGTCAGATCGACACGAATCCCCATTTCCGTGATCTGCAGGAGCACATTGAATGGTGCCAGAACAAGTTGGTTAGTATAATAAGCCTTTAAACTAACTTTAATATAAACTAATCGCTTGATTTCCTTGCAGAAACAATTGCTTGCCGCTGACTATGGCAGTGACCTGCCATCGGTCAAGGAGGAACTGGATCGTCAACAGCACGAGCACAAGATCATCGATCAGTTCCACTCGAAAATACTCAACGACGAACGCCAACAGACCAAGTTCTCCGGCGATGAGTTGGCTTTGTACCAACAGCGTCTCAATCAGTTGCAGAAGGTATACGCCGAGCTGCTCAGCACCTCGACGAAGCGTCTGTCCGATTTGGACTCACTGCAGCATTTCCTGGGACAGGCATCCGCTGAATTGCAATGGCTGAATGAAAAGGAACAGGTAGAAATCACGCGCGACTGGGCGGACAAACAACTCGATCTACCCTCCGTGCACAGATACTATGAGGTAAGTGATGGCCATGGCCATGACCATGTTGCATCCACCTAGAGCTAGTTTGATATATGTATGTGTTGTGCTTCTATCCGTTTACAAGCGTGCATTTGGTAATGGCGACGAGGTAAGATCCCGATTGGTTACTAAATACCATGATTAAAGTTTCTAATACAAAAAAAGAGCAACCAACCAAGTGCACTTCTTCGATTCCTGTTAATATAACTTACTAATTTGTATTTTAATAACTTCCACAACAGAACCTTATGTCCGAACTGGAGAAGCGTGAAATGCACTTTGCCACCATCCTGGATCGTGGCGAGGCCTTGCTTAACCAACAGCATCCAGCCTCCAAGTGCATCGAAGCCCATTTGACCGCCTTGCAACAGCAGTGGGCCTGGCTTTTGCAGCTGACTCTCTGCCTGGAGGTTCACCTGAAGCATGCCACCGAATACCATCAGTTCTTTGGCGAGATCAAGGATGCCGAGCAGTGGCTGGCCAAGCGTGACGAAATACTCAACAGCAAGTTCTCGCAGTCAGACTTTGGCTTGGATCAGGGTGAAACTTTGCTGAGGGGAATGCAGGATCTGCGCGAGGAGCTGAATGCCTTTGGCGAGACAGTGGCCACACTGCAGCGAAGGGCACAGACAGTGGTGCCTCTGAACAAGCGCCGCCAGCCGGTTAATCGTCAGGGACCAGTACAGGCCATCTGCGCCTACAAACAGCAGGGTCAGCTGCAGATCGAAAAGGGTGAGACGGTGACGCTGCTGGACAACTCAGGACGCGTGAAGTGGCGCGTGCGCACTGCCAAGGGTCAGGAAGGACCCATACCAGGTGCCTGCCTGCTACTGCCACCTCCTGACCAGGAGGCCATCGATGCCGCCGAGCGTCTGAAGCGACTGTTTGATCGTTCCGTGGCTCTCTGGCAAAAGAAGCATCTGCGTCTGCGTCAGAATATGATCTTTGCCACCATTCGTGTGGTCAAGGGCTGGGACTTTGACCAGTTCCTGGCCATGGGTCCCGAGCAGCGCACGGCCATCCGACGTGCCCTCAACGATGATGCCGACAAATTGCTCAGCGAGGGCGATCCCAACGATCCCCAGCTGCGACGCCTGCGCCGTGAAATGGACGAGGTCAATCGTTTGTTCGATGAGTTCGAGAAGCGAGCTCGCGCCGAAGGTGAGTGTGGGAGTATCACCAGGGGGATCTCGAAGGGTAGGAGATAGTTTTCGCCTCGCTTTTCAATTGACGGCGCTCGCCAGCTGTCCAAAGCGTTTAATTGATGGAGGCTAATTGAATTTAATGCCGCCGTGTTTTCTCCGAGGCAAGTGGCAAGCAGGAAGCCAGAAAGCGACTTAGTCTTGTCAAGTCTAGTCAACCATGAAGAAGCTGTTCGCGAGTGTCAAAACGAGGGGTAATCTTGGCAACTTTTCGGATAGTTAACCTAAACGTGATCTTAGCCTGAAACTTATCGTCCTTTTCTATACTTTTCAGAGGAAAGCAAGCAGGCCAGCCGCATCTTCACCGAGGAATGCATTGCCATCAAGAGCAAGCTGGAAGACATGGCTCGTGAGCTTGATCAGATTATTCTGGCTCCATTGCCACGTGATCTGGACTCTCTGGAACATGTGCTCGAGATTCATTCGGACTATGAGCGCAGGTTGCAGCTCTTGGAGCCAGAGCTTAAGCATCTGCAGGAGACTTTCCGCACCATAGCTTTGAAGACGCCCGTGCTGAAGAAGAGTCTGGACAATCTGATGGAGCTGTGGAAGGAGTTGAACACGCAGAGTGGCCTGCACAAGGACCGCTTGAAGCTGCTAGAAGCCTCCCTAGCTGGCCTTGAGGACAATGAGCATGTGATTTCCGAGCTGGAGAATGAGCTGGCTCGGCACCAAGATCTGCCATCGACTGCCGAGGGACTGCAGCAGGTGTTCAAGCAACTGAACCACATGCAGGACATAATCACTCAACAGCAACCGCAGATGGACAAGATGAACGATGCGGCCGATCAGCTGGGACGCATGGGTGTGCCCACCAAGGTGCTCGGTGACCTCAAGCGTCTGCACTCGAACGTGGAGCGTCTGAACACACGCTGGAGTTCGGTGTGCAATCAATTGGGTGAAAGGTAAGTGGCGCCTGCACCTGCTCTTTCCCATGTGTGGGTATCGCCTCATTGGCGGCCATAGATGGAGATAAACCTGCGCTCTCTCTAACGCCTGCTTTTTACAGAATGCGCTCATGCGAAACGGCTATTGGGCTGATGAAGAATCTCCAGTCGAGCGTGCAAGTGGAGGAATCATGGGTGGATGGCACTACAGAGCGACTGTCTGCCATGCCCACTGCCACTTCGGCTTACGAACTAGACGTGAGTACAAAGAAACTGCCCCTGTAATGAACTTAAATTGCCATTCCTTATAAGCAATAGTCTGCAGTTCTAGAGATCCTTGTACAGTTTTTGATCAGTTTTAGCTGCCCCACCCACCAGTGGATCTCCAACAGAGATCTCTTCTATAAGCTGGCCCAAACACAAAGTATATATACGTAGCCTATAAATGGAAACCGTTGTAGTAGCCATTGACCCGCGTCCAAAAAATGTAGTTTGCTCTTCTATTTTTTGTTGGGATACAAAACCTGCCGGTGTTGGACATGTCTTAGTCTTTATATACCATATATATATAATTATATATATTTTGTGTTTTTGTTTTTGTACTCCATTTCCATTTGTTAACTGTCCCCCGTAAAGAAGAAACAAAAATCTCCAGTCCCTTGTCCGTATAATAGCCGTAGTTCTTGTCTAATCCAACAACAATCTTTGACATGTAGTGCTGGCCACCACCCACATATGTACATATATATACAGACAGACCTCCTCCAAATGTGGCCAAGACGACCACCACCTACACACACAACTTATACCCATATACGTAATCTGTAGCGATACCCCAACCACCAACCAAACCCCCCACACTGTAAATTGATACCAAATTTGTGTAGTAGTTTTGAAACTTAAATACTTTTATGTTTGTAGCTTTGTCCCCCTTTAGATACTTAAGCTGCACCTCTACTATATACATAGGCCTATATCGGATGATATGGTCTGTTACATTATATACCTATACATATATATATTCACCCAGTATTATCGTATTTGTAGTTGAAAACTAATTGTATATGTATTTTTGTCTAATTTTTTCGTATTTTCACCAAAAACAAAAAAAAACCAAAAAAAAAATTTCAACTTTTTCACACAACAATCAAATATTATTACACACACTATAAACCAACACAAAATGATCAAAAATTATAAATGAAAAACTAAAAAACAAATTGAAAAAAATATTAAAAAAAAACAAAACTGAAAATATCGAAAACCCCCCAAAAAAATTGCCCTCGAAATCTATAGAAACTGCTCGGAGCTGCAATCGAACGAAAACCAAAAATCGAAAATGTCAACGTGGCTGGAGGACGACTTATACGCGAAGCCAAGGTAAAAATTTGTATGCCTGTTGTAGTGTGAATGATCTCTGATCTATAGGCAACTGAAAGATAGTTTTTTGATCTATGGAAAGTTAGGTTGCCTTAGGTCAGTGTTAGAACTCTTTAAGTATGACTGTGACCGTGTGATTGTGGAAATTTCGAACGAACACCGAAATCCCAAATCTTTTCCGAAAGCTCTATACAACTCTTAGCTGTTTCTCTATCGAATCTTCAATATATATTTAATGCTTTTTAAAACATTAACTGGAACGTTAAGATCCAGTTCTTAGTGGGTAAAAGGTGCGTCAATAACACTTGGGTGTAACAGAAACAGCCTGACAAACCAACTCAAACACAAACAAACAAACAACCAAAAACCAACCAACAAAAACTTACAAAACAAACCAATTAAAAAGCAATTTTTACCAAAAAGTAATTTCGTATTGATTAATCAATAAAAAAACACAAACAAAAATAAAAAGCACTAAATATATCAACAAAATCCCCTACCCCTGAAAACCCCAAAAAAAAAACCGAATTTGTTTAACACACAAAATTACTAACATTTAACCGACATTAACCAACAACAACAACAACAACCAACCAATTAAACAACAACAAATGTCAACGTGGGACCTTGAAAAACTGGGGGAGTAGATCTACGATAGCAAATGCCTGCGCTTTGTGGACTGGCTGCTCGAGGCCCGGCCATCGTTTTCGCCACCACGTCGGGATCTCCGGCCGGCGGACAGCGATCCGGGCGCCACACAGTATTATAGTCAACGTTTGGACAACCTGAATACGAAATACGACAGATTGCTGGAACAACTGTCGCAGAGGCTAAAAACTGCCATCGAAGTTAATGGCAGCGATGGTCTGGTGAGTAATCCAGGTTACCCCTAATGCCCTCTTCCTTGAAAGGATCTTTGCGAGTTTGGGGTGACATCAGTTTTGGTTTGTTTACCTCGTCGTTGGCTGGGGGTATTAGGCTTAAAGTTTCGTAATCCTCAAGCTGGGGGGGTTCAAGTTCAAGCGAAAACGAGTTTTTTTTATGCTTTCGTTTTCTATATGAAGTCAAGTTTTCAAATGCAAATACGAACGTCTCTCTCGCTCTCTCTCTCTGGTATCATTGTCGTTCCCCCTTCATCTGTGACTGTCTAACTATCTGTATCTGTATCTCTGTTACCGCTCCGAAAAGCCCGGCGGTTTGGTGTTATTAAATTAACCTTCAGAAGCGGTGCACAGCCGCCGTATGCTCGTATAATGACATCACATCAGATGCCAATTGACCAGACATTCCGTCAATGGTTTGAAATGTTGCCGCCATAAATCACAACTTGATTAATTTATAAAAAAAAAGTATATAAAAAAATTTAAACTATTTTTTATCTTTCTGTCAACGTGATCGTCGTTTGTCTTTGCCGTAATTTGTTTAATGTATCAAATGGATATTTATAAACATTGCATTATGTCAGGGAGTTTGAATGGAAAAGAAAACAAAAGCAATGGATATTGTCATGTGGCTGACCAATTAGGCAAATTGGAGACAGATTCCAAATTAATAATGACGACGCTGAATTCTATAAATATTAATGAGGCCCCAGCATTCATATGGGTTCCTATATACTCGAAATTCAATGCCATGGTAGGAAACGTCATCAACATCTTTGTCGCCATCTGTCAAGTTTTCTATTATAATTTTTTTGGATTCCTGTCCCCCCTCTCAAGTTGACTATTTTTGAAAAGTAGAAAAAACCAGAACTGGTTTTGGGATTTGTTTATTTGCAAAGACTAGCTCCATCTTAGAAATCCAATTAAGAATTTTTATTAACTAGCTAGAAGACTTTGCTGGCTGTTTAAATATTTGTTTGTAAATAGCAGGTAATTATCATAGAATTAAAGTGGAGTAGAGATTGCCGGACTTGTATGTTGTAAACTTTGTAAGTTCAATCAACTTTAGTTAGGCTTAAATATCTTTTAGATACTTTTGGTATCTGTTAAAATTTCAAGCTGTAAAATTGTCTTTATAAAGAAGAGATATTTCCTGTACCAGCAACCTCAAGAAGTTGATTTTCTAATTTAAAAGATACTAAAAAGGTTGCAGTTTAAGCTAGTCAGCTTTTTACTTAAATAGAAACATAAAAGGTTAAACCATACAAGTTCTAAAGGTGTTAATAATCCATGTTTTCTTTCCAAAATCAAACATCTTTACCCCCGAATTTTCTCTACCTGTACTTGATCCATTTCAAAGTAAACCGAAATTGTTGTTGTTTTCGGGATCTATTGAGGCGGCTTTTCGAAGGTGTTGCCTTCGCCTCGAGCATTGGAGTGACATCATAACTGCTCCATTACCACTTCGCCTTCAACCCAACTTGATATGCATAGCAGGGGCGGACGCAGAAGCTTCGCTGGCTTAACTAGACTGAATAGCAAAATGTGTTATTTAGAAGGTTAGATGGCAGCGGTGGCGGCACAAACTGGTTTTATCTTTTCTTCATCAGATACTTTGTTCTCAACTTCCGTGTATTGTTTTCGACTTTAATTTGGAGCCGAAAACTTCATGAACTCCCCTGCCCTTAGCCAGTTTTCCCTATAATGTAAATGGATTGTTTATTTTGTTTTTTTTTTTTTTTCCTTTTTGGCGCAACAGCTGGTGAATGCCTAGCCGGCATTTGGAAGCTCTCTCTTCGCCTCTCTCTCTCTCTGCCACTCTCTTTTCTCGAACTCTCAACAAAAGCTTGCTCTCTATTTTGGCCACTAGACTCTCGCTGTGGCGCTGGCTCTATTCAGTACCAAGAGCGACGTGGTTGTGTAACGTCGCGTATCCGCTGTGTGTGCCGCCGCCTTGCGCTGCCGGTGAACGAAATTTAACAAAGGCCAAAACCTCAGGTTTTTGTGTTTGGTATTTGAATTCGAATCGAGCGTGTAATTATGAGTGAATATTTAAATAGTTGTGATAACTAACTAGGCAAATATAACTCCCAAAATGAAAAAAAAAAATAAAATAGGCAAATAAAGAATATTGCTCATCCGCCGCATGGGCCGACATGATGTCACATATACGGATGGCGGATGGAAAGTGTGTCCGTGTCGATGTCTTAGTGCCTTCAATTTCAATTAAATGCGAACCGTGTCGCATTGCCTTGCTTTTATTTTGTTAATAGAAATTTAAATTCGTTGCCGCGCTGCCTACACTTTCCATCCATTTTTTGTGGCCGCAAAGAGTTCTAATTTTTTTTATAGCCACCAAAAATGAAGTCACTCTCGAGTGGTTTGCAACCAAACTGAAAGTATAAACGAAACGCAAATAGAAGAGTGTGAAAACGAAAATAAAAGAAATCCATTATTAATACAGCCTTGAACATGTCGCAAGAATCGGAATGTTGATATTTTTCGGCAGTCTGTTGTTTGGCTGTTAATAAAAGCAGCGTTGCTACACACACACACAAGAAAAACGAAGAAAATGAAGAGGAAAAACTATGACTGAGTCAGCTAGTTGGGGGTCATTAAAAGTTGCAGTAAAAATCCATTAAAAAAGTGCAGTTATAACGAAAAATAAACCCGAAAATGTGGAAATTCTGGCGCTGACTAGCGTAAATTATGACTTCCTATCAAGTAGAGAGATCGCGGGAGTGTCAGAGCTGGCGCTTATCTAATCTATAAGGTGCAATCCATCAGTAATGATGCGATGATGTGTGGATTGAGCGATCGGTTTCCTGGGAAACCTAAAGTACTCGTTCTCTTTTTCGACTGTTTTGCACTTTCCCTGTGATTTTATCGATTAAACTACAAGCTGCTTCTGTTTGCCTGCTAAACGAGTGTTTTTATATATATATATATGTGTTTTTATATATATTTTTAGCGGCATTCTAACGATAAATCAGGAATGAAAGCGAGCGTTTCGGGGTCTTTGCCTTTGCCGTAAAAGCAAAAGGGAGGCGGCGCCTATTTTCGTGATGCCGCAATAGGCGAGGTCCGATTGCAGACTGCAGCATGCTGCACGCTCTCATTGAAGAAGCTTTTCCTCTCTCTCGCCTGCTCTCACTTATCCCCATTTAAAGCCGGCACAACGTGGCGTATTAGTCATGTTATCAGTGTCAAGCGCATCTCGGTCGATTAGGGCCAAGAATCGGTTTAATCTGCTTGCTTACTTATGAAACCCTGAAAAAGAAATCATTGAGAATTCTGATTCTGATTTTAGTTTAGCTTTAACTTTTTGTTTTTTTGTTGTGGCTTTTTGTGCGGGCGCTCGACAAACTTGTTTCATTTATAATCAAATATTCGTTCGCCTCGCTGATGACATCATTGTTCACTGTACTCGTGTGTTTACTGTCTAAATGTGTGTCGGTGTATGGTTTGTTAATTATAATTTATTTGTTGCTTTTACCAACTCTAGGGCAACCTTGAAAAACATCAGCAACAGCAGCAACAACAACCGATTAGTTGTTGTTTATTTTGAAAATGCAAATCATAAACATTGATCACTTTTTCAATGACTTCATCTGCAGTCCTCTTATAAAGTTAATAATGACGTCAATGCAATTTCAAGTTAAGTCTCTGACCTGCAGCCATATGTCAGTCATATTCCATTGAATTATGGCCAAACAAAGATAAAAAAAAATGAAATTACCAGATGTCTATGATAAGACTCACTCCCCCCGCGATCTGTTATATACAATCAGAGAAACTCTTTGGGGGTAATCACCCATTTCTTGCCCGGCCTCTTGAGAGAGTTTTTGCACTGCCGAGTGATTGTGGCCTTCTCCCTATATAGCGTCATTTCTATTTTCATAAAGGCTTTAGGTTTTGCTTTCTGTGTGCGTTTATATACTATATACTATATACTATATACTTTACTATATATATATATGTGTGTGCTTCGTGTGTGATTTGTTTTTATTTTCTGTGTCTGCTTCGTTGCGGGTCTGATAATAAGATATATAGTATCCCTGTGTGTAGGTCAGAGAACTGAATTCAGTGAATGGATTATATAGTTAAGGTCTTAAGGGCCTTTGGACATTTTTAAGTCCAGCATGAAAAGTTGTTTTACAGCCTTAGACACTCTTGAAGTTAATTTTAGTTTGCTTTATCGCCGGTGACTTTATCTTTGTGGCCATATCAAATCACTCTCACGCATGCCATAAACATTCCAAAATACAAAAAAAAAAAAAACAAAGTTTTAAGTGAGATTCCACAAGCAAGTTCAAAGTGACGCGTCTATCTAAATAGAAATCGTAAATCGTTAATCTCTAATTTTATGTTTTTGTCACAAATCAAATTTCGCGCAGTGTATTCAGGAAGCCCCTAAGCCAACGAAACAAAAACCAATTGCTGACTATGACTTTGTCGAACTGAACGAAACGAAAGCCTTAGACATGCCTCAGCATAGATCGGGTCGCAAGGCGACCAAAACCAAAACCAAAACCCAAACCACGACTGTCCAAGTGGCAGAGGAAAGTGACTACGACTTTGCGTTCGAGTTTCAGGTAATACTCCATCTATCCTTCCCCTCCCCCGTTGACCACCTCAACACTCGCAAAGCCTTTCAACGTCTCAGATATAATTTTGACTTTTTTCAAGAGTTGTTGTTAACTTTTACTAACCGAAATCGCTTTTCGTTTTGGCCATTTAGCAATACGCTGAGAGTCTACAGAAACCGCTCAAGACCTTTAGGGTTGACTTCAGTGCGGGCAGCGTGCCAACTGGCGATGGCTACGCTGCACGCCAGGAGGATCTCTACACCACTACCTATAGCACTACACAGTGAGTATATCTGAAAGATCAAGAGTAGCTATAATATTCTTCAGTTAGGAGAGATATAAGATTAAGTTTATTATTTTAATTTAATTTTTTTGAGTTTTTTGCCGTCAAAAATAAAATACTTTTCAGATTATTCATTAATCAAAAACAGAAATTTTGTAATAAAAATAAACAACAGACGTGAGTCAGCTATGTGATTATCAGAAACTTTTTTTTGGTTTTTATCTAAGAAAATTTTCACAAATTTTTAAAGAAAACCACGAAAGTCTAGACTTCCTCTTACAAATTCCTTTGTTTTATCAAAGTTTTATCCAAATTTTATAAACCTTTATAAAGAATTCATAAAAACTTTATTAAACTAAAGTTTCTATAACCCTACTTACCATTTTCCCAACCCATTTCCCCTTACAGATTCAGCTCAACGAAAACAACGAAAAGCTCTACGAAGAGCGTCTACAATAGCGATGGCTTGGATGCCGCTAGTCAAGAGGTTAGCACCGCTAGCCTGCCCCAGTCCCAGATCCAGTTCAATGAAATCCGTACGCTTAAGCGCTCCCAACAGCTGGGTGGCCAATCTGTGCTGGATATAGCCGGAATTCGTGATCCGCGTACGGGTCGCATTTTAACCATTGGCGAGGCCATACAGCTACGCATTCTGGATGTGCGGACTGGAGAGATGTTAGTGGGTGATCGCCGCATTACGCTAGAACAAGCTGCCGACCAAGGACTGATTGATGCACAACTAGCCAGGCAATTGCTTCATCCCGGAGCAGGGCGAGATGCTAGCGGTCGAGAGCTGTCACTACTGGAGGTTATACAGCGCGAGATTACTGAAGCGGAATCCGGTTACGAGACGGCAGAGAAGCGGATCAAGGTAAACAACACGGTCACCGTAGAGCAAGCAACCGGAGAGCTGGGCTCTCCTGAGAATCCCCGCAACATTGCCGACGCCATTACCGCGGGGAGTGTGGACACCAAGACGGGCCTGTATCGCGTGAAATCTGGCCAGACGATCAGCCTGGCGGAGGCCTACGAGCGCGGCTACCTCATCCGGCACGAATCGGTGACAATCAAGTCGAATGCGCTGTGCCTGAGCGATGCGATTGCGCATGGCCTGGTCGATGGCGCCGGCTGGATAGCGGATCGTAACTCCGGCGACAAGTTCCGTCTGGACTCGGCCATTGCCAATCAACTAATAGACGCGAGTGTACGTGAAGTGGTGGACGCGAAACGCGATACGAAGATCACACTGCAGGAGGCACTGCAGTCGGGCGTTCTGAATGCCAAGACGGGTCGGTACGTTAACGAGGTAACCAAGGAGAAGTTAACCTTCGCGGAGGCGCGTAATCGTCAGTTAATCGTTAAACCCTACACGCTGAAGGACATCTGCGATCTGAACCTGCTCGATAAACAGGAACAGATCACGAGTCCCATGCGTCGCGAGAAACTGAGCATCATGCAGGCCATCGAGGCCGGTGTACTGGACGGTAACCTGCTCAAATGCATCACCAAACGTAAAGGTGAATTGGTCACCCTTCAGGAGGCCATTGCCGACGGTATTGTACTGCCTGCGGAGTGCAAGTACCGCGACTTTATGACCGGCGAGCTGATCAGCATTCCGGAGGCGGTAGAGCGCGGTCTGATCAGCTCGGTTGCCCAGCGTTCGATCTTTGACATTGACGGGTTCAAGGATCTGAGAAGTAATGACTATGTTAGCTTTAATGTGGCCCTGTCACGCGACCTTTTGCGTCGCAAGAGCACGGGCTTTGCCTTAGAGACCGGTAGGGATAGTCTAGTGCCACTGGAGGTGGCTGTAGGTGAGGGACTTGTCCGTCAAGAGGTTTACGAGATGTTTAGCCGCGGCATTGGGGTTCAGAATGCCAGTGGCAAGGAGCTTAGTGTCTTTGATTTGGTCTATCACAATCTGATTGACCCGAAGACGGGATATCTGTTAGATCCCAAGACAGGAGAGACAGTGCCCTTGGACACTGCCATCGAGCGGAAGTTCATCACTCCCGAGGGTGCTCTCCTTCTGAGCAGTTTGCTCAACATCACTCTAACCACGGAGACTGTGACGCGAACAATAAATCGTTATGTGACAATCAGGGCTGGCTCCCAGGAGCCGGGCGACAGTGTGCTGCTTACCTTTACGGAGGCAGTGCGTCAAGGTTTCATCGACGAAGAAAGACAACTCTTCAAAGATCCCAAAACGGGCAACATTTACTCTGTACAACAGGCCCTTAACTATGGCTTGTTAGTTCCCGATAGCAATCAAACTGTCCCGGAGCCAACGAATAGAAAGAAAACCAAGTCCACTATTACCATTGTGACCAAGCAAATTATACCTGAGGCAGAGCCCATCAAGCTCAATACCCAGCACACCAAATACGTGGAGAAGTCGGTGGAGATTCCCATTTCTCAGGAACTAGTGAAGCCACAGAGGGTAGTCTCCGAGTTCTTAAACATGGAAAAGAGCAGCTACATTGAACAGAATGTGACTGAGAGGCAGATCATGGAACTGCCACCAGGAGGTTGGCGACTCAAGGACGCCATTGAGCAGCGACTGTTTAACCCGGATACGGGTGTATTCCATGTCCAGGGCACCGATCGCTTGGTTAACTTTGAGGAGTGCATCAACAAGCAGATCATTAACAATCTTTCGGTTTCAGTAATTGATCCCAGCACTGGGGACAAGATCTCAGTGCAGTCGGCCTTTGAACGTGATATCTTGGATAGTTATGGTAACTACACCAACAGCAGGAAACAAGTACAGGGTATGCGTAGTGCCATTGACGAGAGTAAGATCATTTTGGAAACAGTTCCAGCTACAAGGGGTTCCAGTCAAAAGACAATTCTGCGCATCACTAGGGTTAACAACATTCCGGATGTGCTAGAGGTTTCCACACCCCTAAAGGATGCTCCGCCCAAGTTCGTAGAGGTGCTCACCTGCCAACGAGAGCTTGCCTCTCCAGAGCCCCTGCAAATTGCCCCAGGCGCTATCTACGATCCGTCCACAGCTCTGGTGATCTTCACACAAACTGGCGAGACTGAAAACATCTTCGATGCCGCCCGTCAGGGATTAGTAGATGAGCAGCTAATCAAGATTGTGGATCCCACAACGAAGAAACAGATTTCCGTAACCGAGGCCATAGCACGTTCTATTTACGATCCCAAGACTTCCACCATTTTGGATTCCGAGGGACAACCCGTGGACCTTATTACAGCCACAAAGCTGGGTCTTTTGAGTGTGGTGGGTGCTCCATTGGTTGCCGCCGAGGGAGCTCTAAGAACGGTGCGTTTCGTTACCGATCCCCGAACTGGTGAGCAAATCCCAGTGGAGGTAGCCTACGAGCGAGGCATTGTCTCACGGGATCAGCTGCATCGCGGTAGATCCTTTGACAGTGAACCAGCGACGATCGAGGAGAAGGTGGTAGTACTCCAGAGGATGCGCAAGGTCATTCTGAAGCCAAAGGATGCTCTACGCAAGGGAATTATCGATCAGGAGACCTGTGAAATACTAGAGAATACGAGCAACTTCACCAATACCAAGGGTGAGGTGGTCACCATTACCGAGGCTCTTAATGCAGGTCTGATTGATGGACGACGAGGTAAGATCATCGATCCTCAGAGCAATCGCGTGCTCAACTTCAGGGAGGCAGTGGAAGAGAAGATTTTAGATCCCGAACAGACCAATCATATTCTCATGCCATTGGCCAAGAGCTTATCGGTACCCCGCCTAGCAGATCAGGGATTGATTGATCCTCAGACACAGACTATTGTCCACCCGGAGAGCGGTTATCCACTGAGCATCCATGAGGCGATAGTATGCGAGGTGCTGGATCCCCATTCCACACTGCACAAGCCAGAAAAATGCACCCTGGAAGAGGCAATCACTAAGGGCATCGTCAACGCCGATGATTCCACATTCAACTACAAAAACAAGACCCTTAACATTACCGAGGCCATCGAAGCCAAGCTCTTCGATCCAAGCTACGATAAGCAAAAATCCAAGGTGGAAATTCCGCCGGTGGGTATGATATTCCCAGTGGCGGTGGAGAAGAGCCTTGTGGAGCCGTCAAAGCGTGTGGTTCTCCATCCAAGTACGAAGAAATCTCTACCCATTAAGCAAGCCATCGAAGAACACTTCATTATGTCCGTTCCGTACTCCCCGAAGCCAGATGCTATCGAGGTAGTGGCTGCCATGGAGCGAGATCTGATCGATGTGGCTGCCCAAACGCTGACGGTGCCGTCCACTGGGGAACGTATACCCCTGCGTCAAGCCATGGAAACTGGTGTTCTCGTGGTAAAGAATCTTTCAGATTTTGTGGTTACCCAGAAACCCATTCCCAAGACCGAGATCATGGAAACAGTGCGTGCCGTGCACACGGTGACCACCAAGACCATTGAGCTGATGCAGGGCTACGTTCTCATCTCCAACAACGAGGTGCAGAACGTTAACACCGGCGAAGTATGCAGCTTGGAGGAGGCCAAGGAGCTTGGAATCCTGCGCGAAGAATCCACAACTCGGGAGACCAAAGCATCGGCAGGCGAAAGTCCGGAATCAGTGGCTGTCCTAACCCCTGGCAGTGATCAAACTGTTGTAGTTGAGGAACGCACCCAGACAGTGGTGGTAAGTTCTGATACCCACAAGCAGGAGATGCAAGTGGTCAGCACAACGCAATCTACCAAGGAAACAGCCATTCCAAGTGCAAATGAAACCGAGACGAAGGGCACTAAGGAGCCATCGAAGACATTGCAGAATGTTAAGGATGCCGCTAAATTGGGGGCACTGGGAGTCATCGCAGCTCCTGTACTGGCTGGTGGAGCCATCGTGAGTGGCGTTAAAAGTCTTATTAAATCTGTGAAGTCTCCCACGGAAGATGCCAAGACCACTGCAAAACCAGAACAACCTCAGGTCAGCTTCATTGACCAGGAACGCCGCAATGTGCCACAGCAGCCGCAGCAAGTGCCAAATGAGGTGGACAATCTCCTCAACGAAACGGAGAACTTTATCAGTTCCACAACTGCCAACTTCATAGCCAATGAGAAACAGCAAGAGAAGCCCAAAGAGCTGCCACGTGAAGAAGTGACGCCCTTGGAAGTTGAATCAACCAGCACCCTGACCACCACAACAGTCACAACAATAACTACCTCAAAAACAACAACGGAGTCTGGAAACCTACAGCCAGCTGTGGTGGAAGATGTTACCACCACCACCACTGTTGAGGAGATTCCAGTTGTAGATGCGGTGAAGGAAGACACCGAGAAACCCAAGGAAGATAAAACTGATATTGTCAAGGTCACTGAAACTATTACCACTGTGACAACGAAAGATTCTCTGCCAGAAGAAACATCTCCAAAGGAATCAACTTCTGAAGAACCTAAAAAGGCAGAACCGGAAGTTGCAAAACCAGCTGAAAAGAAGCCTCTTGAAAAGGAACAAACCCCAGAACCAGCTCAAAAGGTGATAGCTTCCGAGACAGTCAAAGAAGTCTTTACTTCTGAGCCTGTTAAGAAGGAGAAAACTCCCGAACCAGCTAAGGTCACACAAAAAGAAACTTCTCCTGCTCCAGGCACCCAAAAAGAACCTTCTCCTGAACCCACTACCAAGCCTGAGCCCAAACCAAGAACTGCTTCCAAGGAAAAGGCTCCTGAAATCGAGCCACCATTTACTGCTCCACTGGCTCCATTTGTTGATCAAGTCACCGAGACCAAAGTAACAGAAATTACCACCCAAATCGAAGAACCTGTTACAACCTCTCAAACTATCACTACCATCACAACAACTGTAACCACAACCGAAGAACAACCCCAGGTTGAGGAAGTGACTGTGATTAGCCAGTCTCAGGATATTGTGGATGAGCCAGTTAAGGAACCTACAGTCCAAGAGCCCAGTAAAGTAGAGGAACCAAAGGAGGTGACTAAGCCTGAAGACAGCAGTACTGTGGTCCTTGAAGAAAGGGTTGTTACTATCGAAGAGCCAACTATCACAGAATCTACAGTAACCACAACAACAATTACAACAACCACAACTACTACAAGTAGTGCGGAGGATCTACCCCAAGAGATCATAGAAACAGTAAAGGAGACTGCTCAACCCGCAGACACACCGAAGACCACCAACGGTGATGAAAGCCAACCAGATGAAATTGTTGACACTGCAAAGAAAACGCCAGAGCAGGAGCCAGTGACACCTGTCCCAGCTCAACCCACTGAGACATCTCAAACCACTGAAACTGTTACCACAACTACCACCATTAAGGAAACACCACAACAACCTAGTGATCTTGAGCGTATTTCGGAACCTCAACCAACTTCGGACAAACATCAATCAGTGGTTGACTTCATTGAGCGAGAGAAGGGCACACAGCCAGCGGGGGAAAGTGGCAGCAATATTCTGAAGAACGTCAAGGATGCAGCCAAGTTGGGCGCTCTGGCCATTGTGGGAGCTCCCGTCCTCGCTGGCAAGGCTTTGGTCGATGCCCTGACCACGGAAAAGACACTCAAACCAGAACAATCCACAACTCAAGTGGTGACGCAGACAGTGGAAGAACTGCCAGCGGATGAAATCTCCACCACCAGCACCACATTAGTAACCAAGGTCACCACTACCACCACCACCACAACAACATCAACCGTTGAGGGCACGCCTGAAGATGAAGCCCGCGATGTTGTGGAGCTTCCTGCTGAATCAGTAGAAACCACTGGAAAACGTGAAGTGCCCAGGACACTGGCCATTGGTGATGCCATCTCTCAAAAACTGATCAGCCCCGACGAGTGCCAGGTGATAGTGGATGGCGAACAGCAGTCGCAGACTGTGTCCACGCTGCTCAAGGAGGAGCAGCTGAGTCCATTAGATGAAGTGCAAATCATTGACGAGAAGCTGATAGTACTGCAACAGGTATCCTACCTAGTAGATGCGGACACCGAGCTAACGCCCGAGAATCTGAGCGACCTTAATATCTACGATCCCGAGAATCAGTACTTTATTGATCCCAGCACTGGGCAGAAGATCTCCTTCCACACGCTGGTATTCGACATGAATGTTTTTAACCCAGAAACCATCTTGGTGAAAAACTTCAGTACCGGCAAGTACGAGACTCTGACAGCAGCTTTGGAACGTCCACTTCTGGACAGGCACACCGGTCACATGGTTGATCCCAAGACAGGCAAGAAAATTCCATTCTTTGAATGCATTTCCCGCCAATGGATAATCCGGGCCAATCCCGAAGAACAACGACCATCGGGCATCGAGAACGTGACCATTGACACACAGACCGGACAGGTGGTTCTTGACGATGGTCGGGTTTGCTCCATTGTTGAGGCCATCAACAGTGGCAAGCTGGACATTCAGTCGATATCGGTGCGCGACCCAGTCAGCGGTGAGGTGATTCCACTGCGTATGGCAATTGAGTTGGGGGTGGTAGACATGCAGGCAGGCACAGTGATAGACATCCAGACGCTCAAAGAGATTCCCATGGAGGTGGCCTTCCAGCTGGGTTTCCTAGTACCCGGTGCACGCAAGCCCATCTCCCTCGAAGCTGCCGTTCGCAAGGGTCTCTACGATCCCGAGACGGGCAAACTTTTCGACTCCGAGAGTCAGAACCAGGTTGACGTTCAGAAATCCATTGAAATTGGTTTAGTAGATCCAAAGATCTCTTTGATTGTGGATACGGTTACCAAGAAGGAAGTGAAGCTGGATTGCGCCATCGAAGATGACTTGGTGCTTCCAGCCACTGGTCAAATTAAGGACAACAAGAACAACACCCTGGTGCCGTTCGATGTGGGTGTGCAACAGCGCCTGCTGAAAACCGACAGCGTCACCTGGAGTCTACCGGAATTGCTGCAGCGTGAATACTATACGCCCAGCACTGGCAGGGTTCTCAATCCTGTTACCGGTGAGGAGATCCTTCTCCAGCAGGCTATTGAAATGGGCTTTGTAGAGCTAGAGACGACACTGGTCAAGGATGCCGATCATGACAAGATTTTGCCTGGCAAGGAGGCAGCAAAGGTGGGTCTGCTAGACACGGTTCGTGGCACGCTAAGCTCGCCCAACATCAGTCTTGATGAGGCCTTCGTCAAGGGTTATCTTATCAGCACCAAGAAACCGCTGTCCCTTGTCGATTGCCTGCTGCGTGGTCTCTACGATCCTTCGACAGCCAAGTTTACCATCGACGATAAGCAGCTGGACCTTAAGTCCGCCATTGCCCAGAAGCTCATCAATCCCGAAGAGCTGGTATTGCTTGATCCTAAGACAGAGTCCATTATTTCCATTTCCGAAGCAATAGCCAAGGGCTATCTTGATCCCATTGCTGGATTCGTAATCAATCCTTATGCCTCCACCAAGTTGTCCCTCAACGAAGCTCTGGAGAATCGCATTCTCATTCCGCCCAAGCGCAAGCGCAGCCTGCCCGATGCTGTCTACCGGGGTCTCTATGATCCCAAGACGGGTCAGTTCAGCAACACTGTGACTCGCGAGAAGCTAACAACTGAACGTGCCATTCGTAGAGGTATCCTCGATCCCGATTCGACGGTCGTCAATGTGGGTTCCGGTCAGATCATTCCATTTGGTGTGGCCACCGAGACGGGTATCGTGGACAGTAGACAGGGTACGGTGAGGGATGCCGATGACAATCCCATTGATTTCAAGGAAGCCTTCGATCGAGGTGTTTTGGTTGAAGCCAAGAAGCCACTGCGCCTCATTGAGGCGGTGGTGAAGAATGTCTACGATGAGGTGGATGGACACTTTGTCGATCCCAAGTCGGGCGAGAAACTCAACTTTGCCGAAGCCTTAAACACCAACTTACTGGATGAGCACAGTGTTCAGATCAGGGATTTCAAGACGGGTCTTTACAAACAGCTGAATCTAACCCATGCCAAGGATGAGGGTATCATTGATGCCCAGAATTCGAAGCTGCTGTATAACAATCAGACAATGACCCTCAAGCATGCCTTTGACATTGGCATCCTAATGGATGTCAATGCTCCCATCAGTATTCAGAGGGCAATTCATCAGGGACTCTTCGATGACAAGACTGGCAAGTTGACCGATCCCAGAACTGGTCGCCAGATCACTCTGCTCGAAAGCATGCGCAGTTTCGGGATTAATCCTCACCTGCCCTGCTACTTCGATGAACAGACAGAGCAGATGTACACGCTGAGTGAGACTTGTCGCAATGGCATTATCAATAGAAGGGAGGGTGTCTTCCGGGAACCGGGAAGCAATAGTTTTGTTCCCCTGGGTGAGGCCCTGAGCCTGGGTCTAATTGTTGACATCGAGAACGCCGGCTTTGGTCTGTACGAGCTACTATCCATGGGCTTCTATGACACTCCCACACGCAAGGTCCTACATCCGGTTACCAACCGCAAGCTAAATCTGAACGAAGCTTGCGTGGAGGATGTGGTTAGCTTGTCTTCCAGCTTGGTCAAGCACCATGAGACTGGCAAGTACCTTCGGTTAGCCAATGCCATTAAGGAGCAGTTAATTGATGACTCTAGGGGTTCCTATAATCTGGGCAGCGAGCAGTTGGATCTGCAGGAAGCTAGGGCCAGGGGCTTGATAGTTTCTAATCGACGTCTTCTCAGCCTTGAACTCGTCCTGCGTCAACAACTTTATCGTCCCGAAACAGGCAAGTTCTGTGATCCTACAACAGGAGAATACCTCGACCTCATTGAAGCAATTCATTCGGGCTTCATAGATCCCGCGACGACCGTGTTTAAGAACCAACTCACCGGCAAAGAGCTGCCGCTAACTGAAGCTATAGAGAATGGCGATATTGATATTTCCAAGGGTAGGGTATTCGATCCGAAGTCCAAGTCAGCTTATAACTATGATGTAGCACTATCGCGTGGCATTCTCGTGACCATTACCCGTCCTCTAACCGACCGTAATGATGTTGTCCGTCGCCAGGATAGCGTCGAGTTATTAGGACAAACGCCCGTTAGCGTTGTGATAAGCAAACCGCGAGAAATGTCCCTCGAAGAGGCCATTCGTTATAACATAATCGATCCCAAGACCGCTCTTGTTCGCGATTTCGATAGCTTTAAGTGCTTACCGTATTCGGTTGCCGTGGAACGCGGTCTCGTGGACACCACCAAGCGCACACTCGTCGATCCAAAGGCCCTGTACTTTGCCTTTGATCCCACTTTAATCGTTTACATTCGCGAACCGATCACCTTTGACCAGGCGGCCGAGTCTAAGTGTCTGGACTTGCAAACCGGATTGCTGACCTATGTGCCAGCAAGTGGACCTGCATCCGCACCAGCCACGTCAGCCAACGACGACAGTGCAAACGATTCTCTGACTGTCATCGAGACGCCCAAGGTATACACGCTCAAGGAGGCCGCCAGTGCGGGTGTAGTAGATCCCGACTCAGCACTGGTCAAGGATCTGGCCAAGGCCAAGTTGGTCCGTTTGCCGGAGGCCTTCCGCAAGGGCCTTATGGATGCCAACAAGGCGAATGTACTCAATACCCAGACCTCGAAGCTCTGCACCCTGCAGGAGGCATACGAGAGTGGCCTGATCTGTACACCCAAGCGCTCATTTGGTTTGCTAGAAGCCATCACCTTTAACCTGTACAACCCAACCAATGGATGCCTAGTTGATCCCTTCCAAATGCATCCCGACATCATCCGCCGTCGCAAGTTCACTCTGGCCGAGGCCATTGGCTCAGGTTTGGTGGATCCATCGTCGACGGTAGTGCGTGATCCCAATACAGGGGTCATTCTACCACTGGCGGCAGCCATTAGCAGTGGCTTAATCGATGCCAACGATGGTCGCCTGACCGATGCCAATGAGCCCAAGAACAACATTGACCTGGTGAAGGCCGCCGAGAAGGGTCTGCTCCTGCCCGCAGAACAGAGGGTAAGTCTCAGTCGATGTCAGGTTAATACTTTCAATTTCCATCACCGATCACCGATCTCGAAACCGGAAATGAGAATGCAACAAATTACTGCAAGAAATTACAGCAAAATTATTTTAATTCTAAATTTAAAGCTTTGTTCGTGGCATGTTTGGTATATATACTATCTATCTACTATTGATATTGATTATGATATGGTTTCGACATTTTTTTTAAAGACATTTTTTGATCAGCGCGCTGTCTCTTTCTATCTATTTCTGTCTATCTCTGTCTCTACTTAAAAACTCAACTCTCTCTCTTTATCATCTCAGACTAACCAAGATGTGAGCTTTCAGCAAATTTTACTTTGCAAATCATATTTATTATTATTTTGCAAATCTCTTATATTGCAGCGCATGGCATTCAGTTTTATGTTCTATATATCGTATTTTTCGCTGATATCGCTTTGAGTTATCAAGCGGCAAGCAGCCACAATAATGCAAGATCAGAGTCAGCAAGTACATCACAGATCACAGATCACATCCAACATCTCCATAGAAAATCGTACTCCATCGATCGCGCTTTATCAGACCGAAGAGCAATGTCTCATACTCCTCCTACTCCGCATAAATGACGTCGGCAATAGGACAACATATTCTCAATACTCTATATATACTCTATATCTCTCTCGATTTGTCTATAACACTAGCATACGATACCCTTTCCATTCGAACTTGCACACATATAGCCTTTTTTCCTTTTTCCACCCTCTCTACTCCTAGGCAGTATAAATTGTAGGATCAGATCAGTCTTTAACTATCTTTAATATATAATTAAAGATTGATCTGATTAGATTCTATCTTTTGCTCTTAGTTTTGGACTAAGGTTAAGTTTTCCATTTCCAGCCCAGGCTTTAGTTATTATTTTTTACAACTTGTTTAAATACCAATTTTCTACCTATTTTTCAGCATATCAATATTTTTTATATATATTATTTCGTTTGCAGTTTTAATTTGACAAAACAAAACCCTTAAAAACCAAAATTAACACTAACCAAAAATATAAAACGAAACCCAACAAAACCAAAACGAAAACAAAAACAAAACCATTAAAACGTAGTTAGTGCCTACTAAAAGTAAAAACAACTCGTAGTTGCTAGTCCCCAGTAGTGCTCGTTTTCCCAAAGTAGTAAACCTTGGTGTTTGTATGTATGTCTTTATAACTTACTTTGGTTTATGTTAACTGCTTTTTTAATCATAATACTTTAATGCTTGCTACCAAACCAACCGCTTTGCCCTAAGTCTTTGCCTTGCAACCGCTTCAGCAATGTGTTCTTTCCAGCTATGTTTGTGTTTTTTTTATATAAATATATATATATTTTGTGTTCCATTTATCTATCGACATTTCAGTATATATATATATATACGATATCTATGAAATCTCTTTATAAACCCCCTTTATAGCGACCCGTATCGAGCTAAGAAGTTCTTTTTGATTTTGAGAGTATTTCTAATGATAATATTTCTTACCCTTCTAACCATAATATGTCGTATATAGCAAGCAGTATTCGAGAAGTTCAACATGTGCGAGGAGAACGTTAATGATCTGTTAAAATGGGTCACCACTGTGGAACAGAAAATCTCAAGTGTTGGCGGACCTCGCGAAAAGATCGATGAGTTACGCAACCAGATTAATGCCCTTAAGGTAAGTACTAAATGTTACCTTAACTTTCTAACATCTAACATCTAATACTATCGTCTTCTAATAGCAAATCAAGGATGAGATCGAGTCTCAGCAGCGACCAGTTGCCACTTGTTTGGAGCAAATCCGTCAGATTGTGCTCACCGGTGGCGATGTTCTGTCTGCCCCTGAAGTGACCACTCTGGAGAACTCTGGTCGAGAGTTGCGTTCTCGTGTCGATCGTGTCAATGATCGTACGGTGCGCTTGCTCCGCCGCCTGGAAGCTGGCCGAGATGAGTTGACCAAGCTGCGTAGCGAGTTGGATGTCTTCTCCGATTGGCTGCAGGTTGCCCGACGCACTCTCGAGGACAAGGAGCGTTCCCTGTCCGACCTAACTCGTCTACCCTCGCAGGCGGATTCGGTTCGAGAGTTTGTTAGTGATGTGATTGGTCATCAGGCTGATCTGCGCTTCATCACCATGGCTGCCCAGAAGTTTGTGGACGAGAGCAAGGAGTTCTTGGCCATTCTCAATGACTTCCGTACTTCACTACCTGAACGTTTGCCACATGTGGAACCGCTTTCCAGTGCCGAAAGTCCTATCCGTCAAGAGGTGTCGCTGGTCTCGGCGCAGTACAAGGATCTGCTGAACCGTGTCAACGCTCTGCAAGATCGCGTGTCCGGTTTGGGTGGACGCCAGCGTGAGTACCAGGATGCCTTGGACAAGGCCAACGAGTGGCTGAGGAGTGTACATCCACGTGTTTCGCGTATTATCTCCGAACCGATTGCTGGTGACCCGAAGGGAGTCCAAGATCAGATGAACGAAGCCAAGGCCCTGCACAACGAGCTCCTCTCCAGTGGCCGTTTGGTGGACAACGCCCAGCAGGCTCTTGACAATCTGCTGCGCAGTCTTGGTGGCCAACTTAGTCCCATGGAGATCAATCAGCTGGAGCTGCCTATTGCAGATCTTAAGAACAACTACCAGCAGCTGTTGGACAACCTGGGCGAGCACTGCAAAACTTTGGACAAGACTCTGGTACAGTCGCAAGGAGTACAGGATGCTCTGGACAGTCTTGTGGGATGGGTCAACCAGGCTGAGGATAAGTTCAAGGTCAACCTGCGTCCCGCTTCGCTCATCAAGGAGCGTCTGCAGGAGCAGATCCGCGAGCACAAGGTCCTGCTGGCCGATCTTCAATCTCACCAGGCCAGCATTGACAGCGTCCAAATCTCGGCCAAACATCTGCTTGCCAGCGCCTCGAATGCCCGAATTGCCAAGAAGGTGGAATCGAATCTTAACGATGTGACGGTCAAGTTCGAGAAACTGTACGAGAAGGCCAACAAGCGTGGCGAGTTCTTGGACGATGTCTACAACCGTCTAGGCAGGTATCTGGATGAGATCAGCACTGTGGAGCAGCGTATGGCCAGTTTGCAAGAGGCATTGGATAGCCGTGAGACCAGCCTGCTTTCCACCGAAGAGTTGGCTCGCCGTATGAACGAGCTGTCCCGTGACAAAGATCAACTGGCACCGCAATTCGAGGATTGCGTGCGCAATGGCAAGGATCTGATTAGCCTGCGCGATGTCACCGATACCGGAGTGCTGCGTGATCGCATCAAGGCACTGGAATCTCAGTGGCGCAACATTAACATCAGCATTGATGAGCGCGCCAAGTTGTCCAAGCAGAAGGCCGAGCAACAGCTGGCTTATGAGGGACTGAAGGATCAGGTTCTTTCCTGGCTGGCCAGCACCGAAGCGCGAGTTAACGGTCTGCCTCCAGTAGCCATCGATCTGGACAGGATTAAGCAGCAGCACGATGAGCTGAAGCCAATCTGCAAGGATTACCGCGACTATGCTCCAACTATTGACAAGATCAACGATATTGGAGCGCAGTACGATGCTCTGATCCGTCCGGAGAGTCCTGCCCGCAAACGGTCTACTTATAGTCCGATTAAGCGAGCAAGTCCGCTGCGACGCATGTCCGGAGATGCCAGAAGCCCCAGCCCCACCAAGGGAGGCATCCTGTCGCCACTATCGACTGGTTCCAGTGGATTCGGTAGCCGCAGATCCTCCCAGGACGGTTTCCAGCTGTCTGAGCTATCTCCGGTGCAGCAGCAGCTGAGCGAGATCAACAATCGCTACGGGCTGATTGGCGTGCGCCTGAATGATCGCCAACATGAGCTGGACAACCTTAATGAGGAGCTGCGAAAGCAATACGAGAACCTCAAGGGATTGGCTCAGTTCCTGGATCGTATCCAACGCCAGCTTCCTAAGGAGTCTGTATCCAACAAGGACGAGGCAGAACGCTGCATTAAGCAGGCCCGAAAGATCTTGGAGGACATGTACGAAAAGCAGAGCCTACTTGACACCACCAAGGCTCAGGTCAAGGACATCCTCCGACGTAAGTCCGATGTACCCGGCGCCGAACAGTTGCGCCAGGAGAACGATAGCATCCAAGAGAAGTGGAAGAATCTCAACGACATCTGCAAGAACCGCATTGCCTTCTCCGAGAAGCTGCGTGACTTTTTGGATACCCATGGAAACTTGAAGAGCTGGCTGGACAGTAAGGAGCGTATGCTAACCGTGCTGGGTCCCATCTCTTCCGATCCCCGTATGGTCCAGAGCCAAGTGCAGCAGGTGCAAGTGCTTCGCGAGGAGTTCCGTACTCAGCAACCCCAGCTTAAGCACTTCCAGGAGCTGGGACATGATGTGGTTGACCATTTGGCTGGCACACCCGATGCCCAGGCCGTCGAAATCAAACTGAAGGACATTCTGGGCAAGTGGGAGGATTTGGTTGGAAAACTGGACGATCGTGCCAATAGCTTGGGCGGTGCCGCTGACAGTTCCAAGGAGTTTGATGCAGCCGTCAATCGTTTGCGTGAGGCTCTGCAGAACATCAGCGATAATCTGGATGCCCTGCCCACAGATGGCGATCACCAAGAGAATCTACGCAAGATCGAAAACCTAGAGCGACAGCTCGAAGGTCAACGTCCTCTGTTGGCTGATGTAGAGCAATCCGCTGCCACCCTCTGCAACATTCTGGGTGATCCTGCCTCACGTGCCGATGTGAACTCTCGTGTGGCTGCTCTGGAGAAGCAGTACTTGGCGCTCCAGAAGAAACTGGACACCAAGAAGGCAGAAACGGAGGCTTCGCTACGCGATGGCCGCCACTTTGCCGAGAACTGCTCCAAGACTCTTGGTTGGTTGGGAGGAGAGCTCTCTAACCTGACCGACCGACTGCTGGTTTCCGCCCACAAACCCACACTGCAGCACCAGATCGACACCCATGAACCGATCTACCGTGAGGTGATGGCCCGTGAGCATGAGGTCATCATGCTGATCAACAAGGGCAAGGATCTTTCCGATCGCCAACAGGATCGTGGAGTGAAACGTGATTTGGACCGAATCCAACAGCAGTGGGAGAAACTTCGTCGTGAAGCCGTCGATCGCCACACCCGACTTCAGACTTGCATGGAGCATTGCAAGAAGTATTCCCAGACCTCGGAGACCTTCTTGGCCTGGTTGCGCACCGCTGAGGATAAGTTGTCGGATCTAACGCCCGGCGTTTTGTCCAAGGCTAAGCTGGAGACGCGTCTGCGTGATCTGCAGACCTTCCGTAGCGAGGTGTGGAAGCATTCCGGAGAGTTCGAAAACACCAAGGGATTGGGAGAGACGTTCCTCACAAGCTGTGACATCGACAAGGAACCGATTAAGGCCGAACTCCAGGACATCCGTGACCGCTGGGAGAGATTAAACAACGATTTGATTGCCCGTGCCCATGAGATTGAGAACTGCTCGCGTCGTTTGGGTGACTTCAATGATGAGCTGCGAAACCTGGACCATTCGTTGGGTCGTTGCGAGGATCGTCTTGCTGCCCACGATGCTCTTGGTGGAGCCGCCAAGGATCCGAAGCTTCTGGAGCGTGTTAAGGCCATTCGCGAAGAGCTCACCAACTTGAGCAAGCCCCTGCAGTCGCTCAAGGCTTTGGCCAAGGACATCAGTGCCGAGGCCAGGGCTGCTGGTGGCGATGCTGACCATTTGACCAGTGAAGTCGATGGTCTGGCTGACCGTATGTCCGAGCTTCAGGGACGCCTGGATGATCGCTGTGGCGAACTGCAATCCGCAGCCACCGCTGTGTCCCAGTTTAACGAACAAATGAAGAGTTTGGGCATCGATCTGAACGATCTGGAGACGGAGATTGAGAAGCTTTCGCCACCTGCCCGTGAGATTAAGATCGTGCAAGGGCAAATCGACGATGTTGGCAAGATCCAGAACAAATTGGATCGTCTGGTGGGTCGTTTGGAGGATGCCGAGCGTGCCGCTGACGTTTTGGTGGATGCTGGATTCGCTGCTGATACCACTCAGACCCGCGAACAAATCTCGACTCTGCGAAAGACCTTGGGTCGCTTGGATAACCGAGTGCGTGATCATGAGGAGAATCTCCATGCTACTTTGAAGGCTCTACGCGAATTCTACGACAACCAATCTCAGACTTTGGATGACATCCAAGACGTGAGCGATGAGTTCAAGCGCATGAAGCCTGTAGGCTCGGAACTGGATCAGATTCGCCGCCAGCAAGAGGACTTCCGTAACTTCAGGGAGCGCAAGGTAGAACCATTGGCCCTCAATGTTGACAAGGTCAATGTAGCTGGAAGGGATCTAGTGCGCTCAGCTGGCAGTGGTGTCTCCACCACGGCCATTGAAAAGGATTTGGAGAGGCTGAACGACCGCTGGAACGATCTGAAGGAACGCATGAACGAGCGAGATCGTCGCTTGGATGTGGCTCTGCTGCAATCTGGCAAGTTCCAGGAAGCATTGGCTGGTCTATCCAAGTGGCTCAGTGACACCGAAGAGATGGTAGCCAATCAGAAGCCGCCAAGCTCTGACTACAAGGTTGTGAAGGCCCAACTGCAGGAGCAAAAGTTCCTCAAGAAAATGCTGTTGGATCGCCAAAACTCGATGGGTTCTCTGGCCAATCTCGGCAAAGAAGTTGCCAATCACTGTGAGCCCGCCGAGCGTGCCTCTATTGAGAAGCAGTTGAACGATCTAATGAAGCGATTCGATGCCCTGACCGATGGAGCCGAGCAACGTGAATTGGATCTGGAGGAAGCCATGGAGGTGGCCAAGCGATTCCATGACAAGATTAGCCCCCTGGAACTTTGGCTGGACAACACTGAACGATCGGTTAAGGCCATGGAACTGATACCTACCGACGAAGAGAAGATCCAGCAGCGTATCCGCGAACACGATCGCCTGCACGACGAGATCCTGGGCAAGAAGCCCGACTTCACCGATCTCGCTGATGTGGCCGCCCAGCTGATGCATTTGGTCAGCGACGAGGAGGCCGTGAATCTGGGCGAGAAGGTGCGCGGTGTGACTGAGAGATACACCGGATTGGTAGATGCCAGCGACAACATTGGAGCTCTGCTCGCCGAATCCCGCCAGGGATTGCGTCACTTGGTCTTGAGCTATCAGGATCTGGTGGCCTGGATGGAGAGCATGGAGGCCGAGCTGAAGCGCTTCAAATCCGTTCCAGTTTATGCTGAAAAACTTCTGGAACAGATGGATCATTTGTTGGAATTGAACGAGAACATTGCTGGTCACGCTTCGAATGTGGAGTCCACTGTGGAATCCGGAGCCGAGCTGATGAAGCACATTTCCAACGATGAGGCCATCCAACTGAAGGATAAACTCGATTCTCTGCAGCGTCGTTATGGTGACTTGACCAACCGTGGTGGAGATCTGCTGAAGAGTGCCCAGAATGCTCTGCCGTTGGTGCAACAATTCCATGAAGCTCACAACCGCTTGGTGGAATGGATGCAAAGTGCCGAGGCTGCCCTGGCTCCCAGTGAGCCCCGACAGGCTGATGTTCTGCGTTTGGAGGGTGAATTGGCCGATATGCGTCCCATTCTGGACAGCATTAACCAAGTGGGACCACAGCTGTGTCAACTCTCGCCAGGAGAGGGTGCCGCTACCATTGAGAGCATCGTCACCCGGGACAACCGTCGTTTCGATTCCATTGTGGAGCAAATCCAACGTAAGGCCGAACGTCTGCACCTGAGCAACCAGCGTGCCAAGGAAGTGACCGGTGATATCGATGAGCTACTCGAATGGTTCCGCGAAATGGACACCACACTTCGTGAGGCGGATCTGCCGGCCATGGAACCCAAATTGGTGCGTGCCCAGTTGCAGGAGCATCGTTCCATCAACGACGACATTTCCAGCCAGAAGGGACGTGTACGTGATGTTACGGCCGCCTCCAAGAAGGTGCTTCGTGAATCCCCACAGAGCGAGAACACTGCCACTCTTCGTGAGAAACTGGATGATCTGAAGGAGATCGTCGACACTGTGGCTCAGTTATGCAGCGAACGTTTGGGTATCCTGGAGCAGGCACTGCCTCTGTCCGAGCACTTTGCCGACTCCCATCAGGGACTCACCGCCTGGCTGGATGACATGGAGCAGCAGATTTCGCGGTTGAGCATGCCAGCTTTGCGTCCCGACCAGATCACTCTGCAGCAGGACAAGAACGAGCGTCTGCTCCAATCCATTGCCGAGCACAAGCCTCTGTTAGACAAGCTGAACAAGACTGGCGAGGCTTTGGGAGCATTGGTGGCCGATGATGATAGCGCTAAGATCAACGAGATTTTGGACACGGACAATGCCCGTTATGCCGCTCTCCGTTTGGAACTGCGTGAGCGCCAGCAGGCGCTTGAGAGTGCTCTGCAGGAATCCAGTCAGTTCTCCGACAAGCTGGAGGGTATGCTGCGTGCTCTGGCCAACACCGTGGACCAGGTCAATCAATTAGATCCTCTGTCCGCTCTGCCCCAGAAGATTCGCGAGCAGATCGAGGATAATGATGCTTTAATGGATGATCTTGACAAGCGTCAGGATGCCTTCAGTGCTGTACAGCGGGCTGCTAATGATGTAATCGCCAAGGCTGGAAACAAATCCGATCCCGCAGTGCGTGACATCAAGGCCAAGCTAGAGAAGCTGAACAACCTGTGGAAGGATGTGCAAAATGCCACCAAGAAACGCGGCAGCTCATTGGACGACATCCTTAGCGTGGCCGAACCCTTCTGGAAGCAGCTTAACAGCGTTATGAAGACCCTGAAGGATCTGGAGGAGACACTCTCCTGCCAGGAGCCACCAGCGGCACAGCCACAAGACATCAAGAAGCAACAGGTGGCACTGCAAGAGATCCGTCATGAGATTGACCAGACCAAGCCCGAGGTGGAGCAGGTGCGTCGCCATGGAAGCAACTTGATGAACATGTGCGGAGAGCCCGATAAGCCAGAGGTTAAGAAGCACATCGAAGATTTGGACAATGCCTGGGACAACATCACGGCATTGTATGCCAAACGCGAGGAGAACCTCATCGATGCCATGGAGAAGGCCATGGAGTTCCACGAGACCCTGCAGAACCTTCTCAAGTTCCTGACCAAGGCCGAGGACAAGTTTGCCCATCTGGGTGCCGTGGGTTCGGACATTGATGCCGTCAAGCGACAGATTGAACAGCTCAAATCGTTCAAGGATGAAGTCGATCCGCATATGGTTGAAGTAGAAGCATTAAACAGGTAAGGTCTTCTAGTAGAGATTTAAGGATTCTTTTGACTTTATTCAAATTTATAAATCTAATATTCCATTGCCGTGTGTGGTGTCTATCTCAACTTGTGAATTGGCAGAGGTCTCAAAAGGCAAGATAGTTTCAAAAAGAATTATAGTTCGTTCGTTCGTTCGTTCGTTGTTGTGAATATTTACTGTTAAGTGCCTGCTACTGCAAAGATCCGGAATTTCGAAGATCTTTGAAACGAAGCTGAGCTAAGCATGTTATTTTGATTGCCACAAATTATCCTGTTGCATGCAATGCAAAAAAGAAACGAAAACACTTGCCACATACTTTTGATTTTTAGCTTGCTTTTGTCTCTGAGTGCCTCTTAATTTCCCTCACTAATCCTCTGTTACTCAATCTTACAGACAAGCTGTGGAACTGACGGAACGCACTTCACCCGAGCAGGCGGCATCGATCCGCGAACCCCTGTCAGTGGTTAACCGCCGATGGGAGGCGCTACTCCGCGGCATGGTCGACCGCCAGAAGCAACTGGAGCACGCCCTGCTGCACTTGGGTCAATTCCAGCATGCTCTCAACGAGCTGCTGGTCTGGATCAACAAGACCGACAGCACTCTCGACCAACTGAAGCCGGTAAGATGAGGGATTTATAAATCTTGAAAAGTATATCCTCATATATGGTTATTATATTCTAGATTCCTGGAGACCCACAACTGCTCGAGGTTGAGTTGGCCAAGCTTAAAGTGCTGGCCAATGACATTCAGGCCCATCAGAACTCAGTGGACACACTGAACGATGCGGGCAGACAGTTGATCGAAACCGAGAAGGGCTCTGTGGAGGCATCTACCACCCAGGAGAAGCTCCGCAAGCTCAACAACGAGTGGAAGCAGCTACTGCAAAAGGCCAGCGACCGACAGCATGAGCTGGAAGAAGCTCTGCGCGAGGCTCATGGATACATCGCCGAGGTCCAGGATATTTTGGGCTGGCTGGGCGATGTGGACGCTGTGATTGGTGCCAGCAAACCGGTGGGAGGACTCCCTGAGACTGCCACCGAGCAGCTAGAACGCTTCATGGAGGTGTACAACGAGTTGGATGAGAACAGGCCCAAGGTGGAAACGATTCAGGCCCAGGGGCAGGAGTACATTAAGCGACAGAACCAGATGAAGGTATCGTCTAGCAATTTGCAGCATACTCTTCGTACGCTGAAACAACGCTGGGATGCCGTGGTATCCCGTGCATCTGACAAGAAGATCAAGTTGGAGATTGCACTCAAGGAGGCAACCGAGTTCCATGACACCCTACAAGCCTTTGTCGAATGGCTGACCCAGGCCGAAAAGCTACTTTCCAATGCCGAACCCGTATCTCGAGTCCTGGAAACAATTCAGGCCCAGATGGAGGAGCACAAAGTGCTGCAGAAGGATGTGAGCACCCATCGCGAAGCCATGCTTCTGCTGGACAAGAAGGGAACACACCTGAAGTACTTCAGTCAGAAACAGGACGTGATCTTGATCAAGAATCTGCTCGTGTCTGTGCAACATCGTTGGGAACGCGTGGTGAGCAAGGCTGCGGAACGCACTCGTGCTCTGGACCATGGCTACAAAGAGGCCCGCGAGTTCAACGACGCCTGGAGTGGCATGATGCAGTATCTGCAGGAAACCGAACAGGTGCTGGATCAGATCATCGAGGAGGCCACTGCCTCCAAGGAACCACAGAAGATCAAGAAGTACATTGGCAAGCTAAAGGAGACGCATCGTCAACTGGGTGCCAAGCAGTCCGTCTACGACGGCACCATGCGCACCGGAAAGAACCTGTTGGAGCGGGCACCGAAGGGCGATCGCCCAGTGCTCGACAAAATGCTGCTGGAGCTGAAGGAACAATGGACCCGAGTGTGGTCCAAGAGCATCGACCGCCAACGCAAGTTGGAGGAGGCTTTGCTCCTTTCCGGACAGTTCAGCGATGCTCTGGGTGAGCTGCTTGATTGGTTGAAGAAGGCTAAGAGCCGCCTGAACGAGAACGGACCTGTCCACGGAGATCTGGAGACTGTCCAAGGTCTATGCGAACACCATAAGCACATTGAGCAGGATCTGCAGAAGCGCGCTGCCCAGATGCAGGGAGTCCTTAAGACTGGACGTGACCTGGAGCGGTCTGGAAACAATCCGGAAGTTGGACGTCAGCTTGACGAAATGCAGTCCATTTGGGAGGAGGTTAAGAGCGCTGTTGCCAAGCGCGGCGAACGTCTCCAGGTTGCTCTCGTTGATGCCGAGAAGCTGAATGCCCGTGTCCAGGCTCTCTTTGACTGGCTGGATCATGCTGAGCACAAGCTACGATATGCCAAGAATGCTCCTGATGATGAGAAGGTATCGCGCGAAATGATGGACATCCATATGGAGTTCATGAAGGATTTGCGAGTTCGCGAACGCGAGAAGACCGAGACTTTCGAGTACGCCGAGGACATCATCAACAAGGCCTATCCCGATGCCATTCCAATCATTAAGAACTGGCTGTCAATCATTCAGCAACGCTGGGAGGAGGTGCGCCAATGGGCCATCAACCGCGAATCCAAGCTGGAGCAGCACCTGCAGTCGCTTAAGGACTTGGACGACACCATCGAAGAGCTGCTGGCCTGGCTCAGCGGTCTTGAGGGCACTCTATTGAGTAAGTTATGGGATTACTTTAAATTCTTTCAGAAACTAATTCAAATTTTTTGTAGACCTGAAGCACGAGCAATTGCCTGATGAGATTCCTCCAGTGGAGAAACTGATCGAGGATCACAAGGAGTTCATGGAGAACACGGCCCGCCGCCAGAACGAAGTGGACCGTGCCTGCAAGCCAAGACCACTGCCACCAGGTGCCCGCAAGCCATCGCGCAGCGGCAAGACGCCAGTGTGAGTATATTGCTGATCCTTCAAGTTGCTGCCAAAACTATATAGCTAAGCTGTATATATCCTCTGTATATTATCGTTTTGTATATTTATTTTTGCCAATTTCTTTTTTATATACTTTCTTTTGTATCCACCACCTTTATTGCTACAAAAATATTCCAAAAACAAAAACCAAAACCAAAAACCCCCCGCAACGTCTTGCACCACCTACTTTTCTGCCTATCCAAAAACCACACCAACTACCGATCGATAGTCGTGGCTCCAGTCACGATCTGCGTGAGCAGTCACCCGACGGCACCCTGAGGCGTCAAAGGTTTGGCCGCAAGTTTATACTCTAATGCTTGCTACTCGTTATCATCCACTTGCCAAAGTGGCGAATGTGCTTACCCACCATCTACTCACGAATGGACTTAGTGATTGCCTAACATCTGATATATATATCCCCGATACCCAAGATATACTTCCCTTAAATCCCCCTTAAGTAGCGCTAAAACCCGTAGCTGCTAACGCACAAAAATCATACCAACTCAGCACTCCAACTACACAAACCACCCTGCTTAATCACTGCTGCTAAAATTATTGCTTGTTTAATCTTATGTTTAGTATATATGATTAATAATATTTAATTTCCTTTCACAGCTTCAAGGGATCTCGTGACCAGGGACTCAATGCCCGCAAGGGAAGGTGAGTTGTCATTGAATCTGAAAAAAAAGTGTAATATCAAGAATAGATAGATTCCGCATGTACTTCGAAATTCTCAAATTGAAATTCTTTTGTTTTCAATTTTTCAACTACTTTTGGAAATGCTGCGTCTACAAATATTTGAAAAATATTCATAAATATTCGTATATCAAATTGATTTTTTTTGTATCTATCTATGTATTATCTATGTTACTGGCTATTATTATTATTATTATTACTGTGTTTTGCGTATTTTGTTCGTTACTTTACCATTTTGTTTTGTCTCTTTTTGATTCTACTTTCATCTTGTCTACGCCACTACGTAAACGTTGCTCATACCGCTCGAATATCAAAATATATGCATCTTGCCGCTTTATTTGCCTTTGTCTATGTCAAAAACCATATCTCTGAGTAGTCGTCTCACGCCCACACGTGACACGCCCGACAGAGATCGCCTGCCGCACTATGGCCCAAGATTCTCGCCAAGGTAAGTCCTCGAAAACCTCAAATATCATCCATTTCATCTCAAGCTGTGCATGTCCTTGTGCCTTGTCTTGTTTGCCTGTAGTTTAAATTATTAAAATGAAAAATCAATCAAATTAAGAACTTCTTAATTAAAATATTTAATAAAATTTGTAATTTAGCACCGCTGGACCGGAACTGGACTTCCGTTCGCCACGCGCCAGGCTTCTGTGGAACAAGTGGCGCGATGTCTGGATGCTCTCATGGGAGCGCCAGCGTCTGCTCAACGATCATCTCCTGTATCTGAAGGATGTGGAACGTGCCCGCAACTTCAGCTGGGACGATTGGCGCAAGCGCGTAAGTATCTTAAACTAAGATTAAGATCATTAAAAACTTAAAATTTATTTGTATTTTTTTTATCTACTTAAAGTTCCTGAAGTACATGAACCACAAGAAGTCGCGCTTGACGGATCTGTTCCGCAAAATGGACAAGGACAACAATGGCATGATTCCACGCGATGTCTTCATCGATGGCATACTCAATACGAGTGAGTTTTTATAGCTAACTTCTTGATTTACAAACTTATAATTAAACGTTAATAATTCCTTTTAGAATTCGATACCTCTGGCTTGGAAATGAAGGCTGTGGCCGATCTGTTTGATCGCAATGGCGAGGGACTCATCGACTGGCAAGAGTTTATTGCTGCCCTCCGTCCCGATTGGCAAGAGAGGAAGCCGGCCAATGATTCGGACAAAATCCATGACGAGGTCAAACGTCTGGTCATGCTGTGTACTTGCCGACAGAAGTTCCGAGTATTCCAAGTTGGCGAAGGCAAATACAGAGTGAGTTAGAGGAAGTAACTAGTTTAGATGAAAGTATCTAATGTATGTGATGTATCTTTCAGTTTGGAGACTCCCAGAAACTGCGCCTGGTTCGCATCCTTCGCAGCACTGTTATGGTGCGCGTGGGCGGTGGATGGGTTGCCCTGGATGAATTCCTGCAGAAGAACGATCCTTGCCGCGGTAAGTGAACCTTCTATCAGAAGCTATCTAAGACACTCTATTTAGTTGTGTTGCGTACACACATTTTCGAAATTTGTTGGACTTCATCCATACCACATCAGTATCAATCGTCACTTACATACATATCATACTATATACATACATATATATCTACAAATAATATTCTAAAGTAATCTTGTAGTTCACATATATTTTTAATATTCCACCCAAAAATCATGCATTTTGTCTATACCCAGATGCTGTGCATCGTTTGCTCATTTCATTTAAACGCATTCATTAGGTACAGTTGTGCTTAACAACTAATTATACTATAATAATTCCAAATAATAATAATAATAATAATAATACCAAACGGATATGGTCATTTAACCAACCAACAAACAACCAACCAACCAACCAACCAATATAAACTACTGTGCCTAAAAATACTAGCCGAAAAAGAACCTGGAAAATATTTAAAGAGAAACCTTCGTCTAAAAACCTCATCATTAATTCTGGTCCAAGAGTTGCCTTAAAACAAAGCTAAAACGAAATTAACAGTGCCGCCCTAATGGGTGAATTTTAATTTTTAATTTTTAATTACCATCCAGCCAGCGCCAAAAGCCACCATCATACACAATAACCCAAGCCAACCAAAATCAACCACAGCGAACCCAATGAAACCCAAATCTAGCCAAGGGTTTTGCCATACTTTACTCATGCTCATTCTTGTCGCTTCGTAAATCTAACTGCGTAACAATTTGTTTCCTATAAGACCATACAAAAACCACACACACCAAAGCCCACCCTAAACTATAAATCCTGCCTACCTACTGTAACTATTAGTTAGTGATATATTAACCAGGTTTCTCCACCCAACTTTTAGTGGTAGTCGATATAACCATATAGTATACCAGTATTTAAGAATGCTTTTCGTTAACCTCAAATCCGCTTTAGTTACTAACCTTTTGCTTTTACTTTTTGTAACAGTCTAGCCTTGCTCTGTTAACTAACAGTGGCTAAGCTAACTGTACGCTTGTCACCCATTTTATGTTTGAAACCTCACCGATTTCGTTGTGCGTCGTCTTTTAGTTAATTTTGAAATTTTTGTATTAATTTGTGTTGATTTGTTTTTCGTTTTTTACTAATCAAATTTTATGTTTACCCCTTTTCTTTTTTCCAAAAATGGTTTCCTTTATTATACCGAAAATCGATTGAATCTTGATAAATCGAACCCGATATATATGCATATATATAATGTGTATAATCTTCGCTTGCGCTGCCCGCTCGCCACGCCCACGACCACGCCCGACATGCACCCGCCTGTGCCCACCACACCACAAATACTAAAAACAACAAAAAAACCAAAAACCAAAAACAAAAAACAAAAAACAAAAACACTCAAAACTGAAAATCAAATACTTTGCGGTAACGAATTTTCGTTGTTATTGTTGTTGTTTATATGTTCGCCCTACAACAAAAAACATTGCATATCCGTGTGTATATATGTGTTATATATATATGTGTGGGTGGTTGCATCTATATATGCCATGCCAATGCATATAAAATGCATCCCATGCAATCTGAAAACTGCAATCGCTGCTACCAAAAACCAAATGCCACTGTTGTTACCCCGCTGGAGCAGCCAAGGGACGCACTAACATTGAGCTACGCGAGCAATTCATATTGGCCGATGGCGTATCTCAGAGCATGGCCGCATTCACGCCCAGACGTTCCACGCCCAATGCGGCCGCCACTGCCTCCTCCTCACCCAATGCCCAGAATGGCGGCAGCTCCAACTTGCCGCCATATATGAGTGGACAGGGTCCCATCATCAAGGTAAATCAAACTGGAAAACAGCTAAAGAATCAGCAAGAGAAAGTAAAGAACTACTATAGAACCTAGTCCTTATTTAAATCTTATCAGATTTGTCTTTGATCGGTATTGTTGCGGTTTGGTGCTTCAGAAAGGCTTAATACCCTACCCTAGTGTTATATCTTCTAAATTGTCCTTACTTGAAAATTCATCAAACAAAGTTAAAATACCACAAAATATGATCTATTTTACTTATATAACCTTGATCTGGCTCTATATAGAATTAAAAATCTTAAAACAGTATAAAACTGTATTAACTTGATGAAGAAGTAAAACTATCATCAATTCTGATAAAGATAAATCTGAAAGAACTTGAAAAATAAGGACAGAGTTAAACCTTTACTCCAAAACCCAACCCAAACCATTTACCCATCCAACCATCTCCTCATCCTGCAAGGGCACAAGGTAAGTGCTCCTTTCTTCCTACTTTTGGGTTCATTGTGTGTGTTGTTGACAAAGAAAAGCTCTCGCTGCTGCGCCGCCGCCGACTCTTTATATATATATAATTTATATATCTGCATGAGAACCGAATACTTTCGTATCAATATGTTTGTTTAAATCGTATTTCATTAAGTATAAAAGTATATTTTTTTTTACGTATGTGCGACAATTTTGAGTTATTGCTAGAGTACAGTACACCCTACACTATATTCATGATGAGGTTATTAGGCTATTAGGTTACTATGGCCAGGTTAGGTTATTGTCCAATGGCTTAAATGATCATAAACAGTTTGCCAGCTGATAAATCAGTCTGTCCATTGTTGGTTAAACGTATCGAAATTAATTCCTTAGCCGACGAGCACTTGGCCGAGCTTATGCCAATCTTTGAGAAAATCCGCGCTCAAGACCAGGTTCCATGCGCCTTTCCCATTCACATGGGTGCCGGCGGCACGGTATTCGTCCGTTGCAATACCAGCCGCTCGGTCCCGCTGAGTCCACACGTACTGCATTGTCATCCAACAACACACTGGGTAAGTTCGCAGACAGCAGGAGGAGAAAAAGCTGCTCCAGGAGGAGTGCCCGAAATTGGTTCCATTTTCACGGGGGTCATGAGCTTACTTCGAATCCGTACTAATAAGGTTTTCTTTATTTTTTAATATAGGTGCGCGAACGTTCTGTTCGTTCTATACCCATGTCGCGACCATCGCGCTCATCACTCTCGGCCAGCACTCCCGACTCTCTGAGCGACAACGAGGGCAGCCACGGAGGACCTTCGGGCCGTTACACACCCCGCAAGGTTACCTATACGAGCACGCGCACAGGTCTCACGCCAGGAGGCTCACGCGCTGGCTCTAAGCCCAACTCGCGCCCGCTCAGCAGACAAGGATCGAAGCCGCCGTCCCGGCATGGATCCACGCTGTCGCTGGATAGCACTGGTAAGTAGTCAGTGGATGTCGGATGATGAACTTAAGCTTATTAGCTTTCTTAATTTCTTTAGACGATCACACTCCCTCACGCATTCCGCAACGGAAGCCCTCGACGGCAAGCACCGCCAGCGGCACCACACCGCGCCCAGCGCGACTTTCGGTGACCAGCACTACGACTCCCGGAAGTCGTCTAAATGGAACCAGCACCATCACCCGCAAGACCGCCTCCGGTTCGGCCAGTCCGGCACCCACAAGGTAGGATTTTAGATTTAGATCATATCACATCGAATCAATAATAGCGGGGGATCATTGGGCGGGATCAAACACTATTAATTATTCAAACTTTTATTAATTTATTATTTTTATTTTCACACTGTTTTCGGTTGAACGCATTAACTCTTGACCAAACACCACTCACACAAAAAAAAAAAACAATCAACATCATGAAAAACGCTAACTTACCAACTCCAATTGGCATTTGAACCATTTGAAATTTGCTTGAACGCAACTAAACAAAAAATGCAACTAAAACTCGTGCCTGAAACCCCTCCCAAAACACAAAAAAACTTAAATATTAATAAAAAAAAAAAAAAAAATGAAACAGCAACGGAGGCATGAGTAGATCATCCAGTATACCAGCACTAACAGGCTTCGGCTTCAAACCAATTAGGTAATACAGCCCCTCAAAACGGCATCAAACACTTTAACATAAATAAATACATACTCATAAGTTTAGGCTAGATTTAAGATCAAATCATGTAAGCTCAGGCAGCGGTTATGGTTTAATTTTGCTAACTATCGTTGTACTTACTACCTCCTACCCAAAAAAAAAACACCATAAAGCCGGCCATCAAGGATACCGATTAAGATACCCTCATTCGATTCCAAGTCAACATCGCCCAGCTCGGCTACGAATCCAACCAGCTTGGGGTAAAGTTAATAAGCTTACAACAATGACCATTAACTAGTCAATTTTCAACTCAGTCTATAGCAAGTAATTATGATTTATACTTTAAACTTTAAAGTTATTGTTTAAGTTTCCCTGTTTGTCGAACCTTTTCCGAGCATGTAAATGTTGATGTGCATGTCCAGGTCATGAAAAACCCCAAAAAAACCAACGAGCAAAAAATGCTTTCGACTAATGCTTAAGTTCGATTATTGGATTAAAATTGATTTATTTCGTTCGATTTATGTGTTATAGTGTGTAAAATTGGTTTGAGTATAGTTACTAATCTGTTTATTTTTGATACCAGGCGGAATATCAGCGGTAGCTCCACGCCATCCGGCATGCAAACGCCGCGAAAGAGTTCAGCAGAGCCCACTTTTAGCTCGACAATGCGACGCACTTCGAGGGGAACCACACCGACGGAGAAGCGTGAACCGTTCCGGCTATAAAAAGGACACTATATAGATGAGGATGACAATAGAGAAGCAAAAGAATGCCAATATTTAAAACACAACATACACACACAACCTTACGTACTAACTACGCACTGAAGTTCTAAACTAAATCCAAAACCCTCCCAAAAAAAGAAGGAAAGAAATTAATCAAGACTACATTAGCAATGAATGTAGCAGAGGAACAGCACACAGTTTTAAAGAGACTAACATTGAAGTGCCCTAATGGAGTGGAAGAGAGAGAAACAATTTATAGATGTTTATACTATATATATTTTGTAAAAGACACACACAGTTAAGAATGAAAAGTTATGCAGACATATAGCTAGCACACAAAGTTGATCAGACAAGCAACCTACTTACGAGTACTACTACTATACTAATACTACCTTTTGCTACTACTAATTTGTAATGCCCACTACCCTTTATTCACTAGTTATACACGTTTCCAAAATTATGATTTGTATATACTTATAAAGCGAAAAGCAAGCGTAAATTAATGAAAAATACACTCCAAGTGCTCTAAGGCAATTAAACAAAATTAAAAAAAAAAAAAATACAAAGAATAAAAAAACAAAAAATATATAGAAAAAAAACATTCGAATGAAATGTCGTTGCCTCTGCTGCAAAACCATCTTGAGTTTAAGGTCTCCACTGGAATCGCCAGTCTGGTGGATACACTTGGCAAAGATTGGGGCGGGGCAGAGGCGAAACGGTCAAAAAAATAACTAAACCCGTTAAAAAAGAGATAAAATTTGATTTTGTTCTGTTATTAAACTAATAGGAAAGTGAAAATTATAAGCCGCATAAAAGAAAATATTTAATTATATACTAAAAGTCATTACTATAAGTTTAATTAATATTTAACTGTTAAGCGACAAAAACACACACGCAGATTTTTTTATTGCATAATTATTTTGTTTTTTATATGCAATATCAGCGAACGAAATACGATTCAAAAGGGCGAAATGAAAACGAACCCGTTTATATAAATATTGTAAAATACTAATACTAAATTATTTTGTTGTACGAAACGAAAGAAATGCATTAAAACTCGTTTTTTGTAATTCTATTAAATTAAAACAATTTAAATGAGAAATAAACATTTACAAAAAATAACAACATAACATAATGCCTTTTGATATCCATATAATCTCCTCCCCAGGAAGTAAACAACAGATTCAGTTGATTTCCGAATTTGATTTATTGGTTTAAGTTCTCAATCGTAGTATTTTATTTGACACATTGAAATTGAATTTTCGATATAATACCATGATCGATCCGTGCGGATCACTATTCGGTTTCCTACAAACACTCAATTAATTGTGATATTTAAATATGTGTGTGCATGCATGCTAATGCAAATGCCCTGTTTCGGGTTTCTCCTCCTCGACTGCCTCCTGACCACACTCTCCATTTACTGACTAGAAATGCCGCTCCAACTTCAATCGTCCAACTAAGTCAAGAACAAGCTGGGGTTCTTACGTTTCTTTGTGCTATAGGCTGCCAGAGAGGAAACTATTTATACTAAACTTCGAAGTGCAGTTGCAGTTTTATGCGTAAGTGGATATCAATACGGTCATCGTCTCCTTGATCCTCACAATGTTAGGGTGTCATCACGTCAACGCCAGCGCTGCCAGTTGGTGCTGCTAAATACATGCTGCTCTACGCTCTAGCTATCAAAGGCCCTACTAATATCGGCTCGGCATGGTGCCGCAAGTCTTTTGTAAATCATTACAAATATCATTATAGTTAAGGTACAACTAAATATCATTATTAAATATAATCCAAATTAGCTAACCCGGCTCGCTAAAGCTAACTAAACATAAATATATACGAACATACGAACTTAAAAATTCACAGAAACGAGTGCGCCTCACGAAATTAAACCTGGGCCGTTTGGGTTGGTGCTTCATTGTGTATTAGCAGCATGGCAACGCAATGGGTATCCGGATCCCCATCTCTTCCGGAAGCCATCGTCACCTGGCATGCCCGGAGCTGGCTGACTGGGCCTTTGCCTGCTTGCCGGTCCCGGTATTCGATGTAGAGCCACCGGCCGTGGCTTGAGCCGCAGCCGCATTCTGCTCTCGATCCCTTTCTGCCCGATGATGGTGTCCATGCTGATGATGATGATGGTGACGCCTGCCACCGCGATAATGACGTCGATTGTGGTGATAGTTGTTGTTAGTTGGCTCTGGCATGATGCGTTGAGTTTCCTGCACCACGGGCGCAAATGTGGAACTAGTTGTTGGTTTGATAGCCTCCTCTTTAGTCGGCCCCTCTAGCTTCTTGGCTGCCTCGGCCTCTTCGCGGCGCCGCCTGCGCCTGATGTCCTCCTCCGTCTCGATAGAAATCACGCCGGTTCCCTCGGACTTCACATCGATAATGGCGCCGCGGCTCTTTTGCTGGAGATAGAGCTCCGACATACGCTGCTGCATCTGACGCAGCTCCTCAGTAACCTTAAAGTCCGGAGCATTCAGCAACTCGGATGGTGGCATGGCGCATTTAAGACTATCAGTTTCGTCGCCGATGTGCTCCCTGCATACAGGGCACAAGGCCTGGAAGGGATCAGCCGTCTTCTGTAACCAGGCGGGTAACTTGTCAAACTCCTCCTGATAGTTGCGACGCAGGGCATTCAGATGACGGGCCAAACAATAGCTGTGCAGGTAGTGGAAGCACTCGGTGCGGGTAAACTCGTCTCCATCGGCGAATCCATAGAGGCAGACTACACACTGGCCACTAGGAAGATTGCTGCCGCTTAGGTGCTCTCGGACCACTTCGATTAGGTCGAAGACGACCGGAAAGCCTAAGGATTCCTTGATCTTGGCATTGCAAGCACTCCGGATGGCTTCCAAGCGGGCATCGTCCAATCCCCGTGGGCGCAGAAGCTTGAATGTGGGACTCTCTTCCGGATATCCAGGTGTCGGGTGTACCTGTAAGGTGACACACACGTATTGCTGCTCCTCCTCTTCGCCGGTTAGAGGCAACACTGTGGTCTCGATCAGCTCCACCTCGCCGCTTTTTAAGGTATTCGAATATCTACTGTAGTATAGTAAACATATTAGCTATCGCATCACTTACCTGGGCGTACGTTTGATGCAAACGTCGTCCATTAGGATAGCTTCCAGCGACTCCACTTCATCTTGTAAACTGCAAAAATCTTCGTTGTTAAAATAATATCTAATATTTAACACTTTTATAAGCTTACGCGTCCATTTTTACCACCGGTTAATTCAGTTCTTTGAGTATATCCTAGGGTTTTGTTTAAAAAATCGATTTGAGACACCTGAAATTTAGCGAAAACACGACGGCCGTTCGTTGCTTTGATGAAAATACCAATAATTAAGTTTACAAATACATAATATACGGCCTCACTTCAAAAATGTAATTCGTACACAGCTTAACGGTCACACTGACCTGCATAACAATATTTTATTCACAAAAATTAGAATTGTTAGTAATAAATGTTGCGCCGATGCCTTTTTTCTGGGATCAACCCAAAATTATGGACTCGCCAAATGTCGGTGGTGGCTAAGTCCTTGAAATACACACAACACGGAGAACCACAAGATGTATTGCAACTGGTGGAGGACAAACTGCCGGATCCGAAGGACACACAAGTGCTGGTGAAGATCCTGGCGGCTCCTATTAATCCGGCAGACATTAACACCATCCAGGGTAAGGTGGACACTGATATGAATATATTATAAATATATATTCGTCATTTCTGTTATAAAATATTACAACGGGCACTAAAAGGGTTATCATTTGGTTAAGTAGTACAATAAATAACCTCTTTATTAAAATATAATAAAAACCCATGTCTAAACTACGGAAGTTATAGCCATTGATTGATTTTAATAAAATTTTAGAAATATTATCAGTTAATCTCTGCACTTTGAACCAAGGTTCATCTAAAAAACTAAAAAACACCGCAGTTAAGAGCCGGCATTTTTGAAAAATAAATCATTATTTGAAATCTCAGTTCTATTCCATTTTAGAGGAAATTTAAAATAAAAACAGTAATTTTCAGTTCAAATTAATATATGGTTTTACTATTGGCACACTAATGATGCATTTTCAATCACATCACAGGCAAATACCCGGTCAAGCCCAAGTTTCCAGCTGTTGGTGGCAATGAATGTGTTGCGGAGGTCATTTGCGTGGGCGATAATGTCAAGTGCTTGGAGGCCGGACAGCATGTCATTCCCCTTGCCACAGGCTTGGGCACTTGGACCACCTATGCCGTCTACAAGGAGGATCAACTGATGGCCGTGTCAAACAAAGTGGGGCTGGCAGAAGCAGCAACATCTACGGTTAATCCCCCGACTGCATACCGCATGCTCAAGGACTTTGTGCAGCTTTCCCCAGGAGACACGGTTATCCAGAATGGAGCCAATAGTGCCGTTGGGCAAGCAGTGCATCAGTTGTGTCGTGCCTGGGGCATCAACAGCGTCGGCATCGTCCGCGATCGACCTGAGATTGCCGAGCTAAAGCAAATGCTGCAGTGCCTGGGAGCCACCGAGGTTCTTACCGAAGCCGAGATCCGCACCAGTGACATCTTTAAGTCGGGGAAATTGAAGAAACCCCGCCTGGCCTTTAATTGTGTAGGCGGCAAGAGCGCCACGGAGGTGTCTAGGCATTTAGATAATGCCGGAGTGGTGGTCACCTATGGCGGCATGTCCCGAGAGCCTGTCACCGTGGCCACTGGACCCCTTATTTTCAAGGACATCGCATTTCGGGGTTTCTGGATGACCCGTTGGTCAAAGGAAAACTATAGTTCCCCCGAACGTTCGAAAATGTTCCAAGAAATATTTCAGCTGATGGAGCAAGGAAAGTTCGTGGCCCCCAACCATGAAATGGTTCCCTTGACTAACTTCAAAGATGCAGCGGCAGCTGCCTTGAACTTCAAGGGTTTTACGGGAAAGAAGTTTATCTTGGACATGAGCATTTAGATGCATAATTGGAGGCTGAGCCTGCCTTTTTATTTACATACATGTTTTGTGAATTAAAATTGTTATCAACTGTGATACAACTCAAACCATTTCCACTTCATTGACCTGGTATTTTAGCTGCAAAGTCATAGCAGTGGGTGATGTGGCATCAGTGACCGTTAGCTGCTGACCATCCTCTAGGCCCAGTTCGCCGAGCGACTGTGTCAGATTCTTGCGAGTGGCCTCTTCAATGCTTTTAACCGTGGACATGTACAAAGTCCGCCGCTTGCCATCCTTCATCACAGTAGTAAGAGCCGGGTTCTTAAGCTGAAAGCGTGGAGAATCGCACAGCATCTTTATGACATCCTCCAGAGTGGTGGTGTTGGGATCCTCTATGGGCAGTGACTGCGGGGTGTTGCTGCAGGCCAAGCAGTTCTCCGACTTCTCAGCCTCGTAGGTGTAGGTGTAGATTCCGTCCAGATCATTGAAGTTTAGATAGTTAGCCATGCTATCATAGCAGCTGGTGGCCAACTTAAAGATTTCGAGTGCGCAGGCGGCGGCAATGGCAGCATTCGTACTGGCCACGGCGGGAATAATGTGCTTGACGACGCCCTGTACCAAGCGATAGGTGACTCCAGTGATGTTGAACTCGTTGGCCCGCTCTAGAGCCCGTTCATAGACCCAGCCAATGTGCTGGGGGTCGTCGCCATCAAGGGGCACACCAAACGGACTCTGTTTGTCCCACTGAATGATCTTCACGTACTCAATGCAGTGTTCCGGCAGACGCGGAGTGTTTGCTATTGTGCACAGAGGATAGTTAACCTGCGGCGGGAACAGGTCCAGAGTGCACTCAATGCAGGCCGTGAATCCAGGCAGGATGACGCGGGCATTTCCCTTAAAACCCTCTGTTCCACCATCAATCATCGGCACTATAGAGCTGGCATCTATTGTACCATCCTCTTCATATCGGAGCATAGAGAGCAGCATGCCATTAATCCAACGTCGGGCCACAATTGAGTCCAAGCCACAGACAACCAAGTGGAATTGCTGGTAAAACGACTCGTCGAAGTCCTGGATCTTTTTAAAGTGCGGTGTCACCCGGCATGTGGGCACTCTTGAGTTGATAAAGCGAGCAGCACACTCGGCCTTGGAGGCTCCAATATCAGTCCGTCGGAACAGGAACTGGCGATTCAGGTTGGACAGTTCAATAGTGTCCATGTCTATGACGTGTAGGTTGCCAAAACCCATCAGAGCCAAATCCTTTAGTAGTTCACAGCCTAGACCGCCGGCTCCAATAATCAGAACCTGGCACTTGGTTTGCAGAAACTCCAGGTTTTCTGTCGAGGCTGAAAAATCGTCCTTGCAGAAGGGACCCTCGCGTTCTAGAATATTTCGAAGTCCATTGAAACGTTTGCTCTGCAGGATCAGGGCAGGATTGGGTGAGTGGACAGACATTTTTGAAACAAAATCAAGACTGTGATTCGTTTTACCACACTGGATCAGTCAAAACATAAATTAGACGAGGTAGTTTTTAATAATGTTGAATATATATTTTTAGTATATTTATTTATTTTTTTTATATTTAAATTTTAGAACAACAATTTTGTAAATTCTAAAATATTTAGATATATATATCATTAATTGATATAAATTTTCCTTAAATTTACACCTTCAATGAAAATCCGAGGAAATGAAAAACATAAATACACACATTCAATAAATGTAAATAGTTCAGTTGACTTTTCCTACTCATTAGAATGTGAAGATATTCTACATGAACAGCGCAGAGTTTTTTATATAATGGAAAAGGGCTACAATTGAAATTATGTTTTTGTAAAATAGTTCAATGAATTCCCTTATTATTATTTTACTTCGCAGCCCTTTTTCTCCATTCGCAAACGGTCACACTACGGCATGGCGTCAATTTGAAAACAACGGAACTTGAAAAAAAACTCCGCGTCCTTTGCAGCGTGCTCCGTATTCAATACATATTTATTGCATATAATATCTATTTTTTGGAAGAAATTCGTGTTAAATCAAGGCATCCAGTGAGCAGGCAGTCCCTGCGAGTGAAAACCAAATCCACAGATAAACGGAGCAAACCGAAAATGGCGCTCTCCGCTTTGGCGTCCTTTGATGATCTGCGACGCTGCATGCAAGTGCTGACCGATGGAACTGCCGAGGAGGGTGAGTTAAAATTCACTAAGGCGATTTAAATGAATCCTTACATCTTTATATATTATCTAGAGTTCCTGCGGTTTCTGCGATTGTTCGAGCAGTACCATGAAAAGTGTTCTGGCTATGCGGCCGAGACAGCCAGGATTCAAAACGAACTGGACAAGTCACTAACCAAGATGGGCGATTTGGAGGGTAAACTCTTCCATGCCCGTCGCATCATCGACATGGAGATTAAGGCTCGTCGCCAGGCGGAGCACGAACGTGACGCCATGGAGAGCAAGATCATGGCTGTGGCAGATCTTCTGCGTCACGAACGTAATCTAAACAACGAGACCCGCGATAAGCTGGCCTTTCTGCACACACTGCCCTCCTCGAGAAAACGTAAATCACTGAATGCCGTGCGCGAGGACAAGTCTTATGGCGACATCAACTCCACTGGCTCGCTGCTGTCAGATCTTTCCATCACACACTCAGAGGACGACTTCCTCGATGTGCGCACATCAAAATCCTGGCGGGAGCACCGACCTTCGCTTCCAAAGAACCCAATTCCTTGTGTCGGAAACAAGAGATCGCGCCTGAGTACGGGTCTCAATGGCAGTATGTCCGGGAATACCCCAACCACAACTAAGTCAAGACGCTCTGGCGTCGGAATCGGAGTTGAGCAGCATACAGTAGACGTGGGTCAGGGCGTTGAGCGCTTTTGTGCTACCACCAAGGTCACAATACCTCAGGATGGACAGGGCGTTATTCGAGCAGAGTCAACCATTGAGTCTTTACCGGTGATTGGCGGCAATGATAGGATCGGTGACGGTTTGTCCTCGACACCGCGACGATCGGTCCTAAAGGAGGCCACAGCACCGCCCCTAACGCCGGTGAATGCGATGGCACCGCACGTGACTGCTGAATGCGGAACTCCTCTTCAGCATCGTCCGCTGATGAGGAACCACACATTCGCCCAGAAAACGTTCCTGCGCGGCGACAACTGCGTTCAGTGCCAAAAACGGTAAGCATTATTATAAGTTTTATTTAAATTTTATTTTTGATTTATTAAATAATGTACCTTCTTCAGCATTCGGTTTGGTGCCGTTGGCCTGAGGTGTAGAGATTGTCCGGTGCGCTGTCACATCGATTGTCGGTATTTGCTTACCGTTAGCTGTGTTCCACAGACAGGAACGCCTACTACAAAGACCATGACTGGCTACGTCACCGACTTTGCCCCGTCCATTGCACCCATGATTCCAGCCCTGATTGTGCACTGTGTTAATGAGATTGAAGCTCGTGGTCTGACCGAGGTTGGACTTTATCGGTTATCCTCTTCAGAGCGGGAATATAAGGCCCTTAAGGAGCAGTTCCTGCGAGGCAAGGCCACTCCGCATCTGGGCAACACAGACATTTATGTGCTGTGCTGTTGTGTAAAGGATTTCTTGAGATCTCTCACCGAGCCTCTTATTCCGACAAGCCAGTGGAAGGATTTCGCCAATGCTGTGCAGAATCCCGACACCAACATTGCCCAGGATATGTTGTACAAGTCGGTGAAACAGTTACCACAAGCTAATAGGGATACGCTGGCCTTCCTCGTACTACACTTCCAGCGCATTGCCCAGTGCCCAGTTGTGCTAATGCCTATTGACAACATATCGCTCATCTTTGGCCCCACAATTGTGGGTTACTCCACACCGGATCCCGACCAGCACGCGATCTATACTGAGGTGTTTACCCAGAAGCAGGTGATGAAAGCGCTACTTGAGCTGCCCGTGTCGTTCTGGGAGCAATACATTGTTATAGATCCGACAAGAACGCCGGCAACTGTGATTAAACGGGTACCCAGTAGCAAACATGACTTGTTGTCGCTTTACGGTAGGTAATATATGATTTTTAACGATATGTCTTTTTAAACATCCTTCTATTTCTGCAGCCACTCCCTTCAAAGGCGGCACCATTAAAAAACGAAAGTTTTATGGCACACCGCCGGCATCTGCCCACAAGAAGTAATTAGCCTTTCCTTGTTGGAAAGCATTTGACCTGTTACTTAAGTTTACTTCAAGTATTTGCAGTTTTTTGTTTCCGGCCAGCCGCCCCCGGGCTGTATTTATATTTGTACCCAACTAACCCTTTGAGTTTTTCTTTATAATTAATACGTTCGATTATAAACTAAAGCACTTTATTCGTACTAACCTAAGTATACTCACTTTGAGACATAAAGTAAAATATGCATTTGAAAAGCAATGAGAACAATAAATCAATAGAAGAATAAATGAAAATATATAGGTTTATATTAACCAAAATACGATGTCATAATTTTATTTATTAAAGTTAATTGCATATGGAATCCTATGTCCATTTCCGCATTTGAGATTTATAAGCAATTTAGCCTTTTAATATAATAAAGGGGAATATATTGTGTGTACTTTCATACTAATTATAAATATTAGATATGGAAAGTCCACCTGATAAGTTTATCTGAATATAACAACAAAATCAGCCTTTGATATGTGCAAAAAATAATCAAAGCCGCTTAGAAAAGCCCATGATAAGTGCGTTTTTCTCAACTATCGTCATATCATCGTCAAACAGGTTTGAACACCTCCCGCAATAATAGCCCTAACAGCGGCTTAGAACTGGCAGTCGCTTATTGAAACTCTTTCGGAATGTTCGAAGGCAATCAGACTCGTTCTCTGCAGTTTGCGGTTATTCTCTCCTTGGCGTTCGCCAGTTGCCTTGGATTATCCAACTTCACAAGCTGCGGCCATAAATGCGGAGGAGGCGACTGCATTCAACTGGATCATCTGTGTGACGGCACTGCCAACTGCTTGGATGCCTCCGATGAGACCGCCGCCATGTGTAAGAATGTCTGGTGTCCAGGATACAGTTTCCGCTGCAACTACGGCGCATGCATAGCTAGTACAGCGGTTTGCGATGGTGTACGGGACTGTGTGGACGGATCGGATGAGGAGGGATGGCTCTGTAGAGCCCAGATGCAGCAGGCCAACTGCGACAATTGGGAGATGTATTGCTCCTCCGGCCAGTGCATGCCCTACTCAAAGCTTTGCAATGGGATCAAGGACTGCAGGGATGGAGATGATGAACTAGAGTCGCTTTGCGAAGGCGTCCCTATTCCAACTACTATTGTCAGATCCACAACAATGACCACGGGAATAGATAGTTTTAGAATAACCACAGCAAAGACGATGAAAGGGCAATCTCAACCGCATCCCATTCAACGGAATGGGGACTGCGTGATTCCCCAGTTGTCAAATGTCATAGTTAAGCATGTCAGTGATGTCATTCTAACTGCAGGATCCAGAGTGGCTAATGGAACTCGTATCTACTACGACTGTCAGGCTGAACATTCTCTGAAAGGAGAGAAAGATAACTTTTGCCAAGACTCATTGTGGGTTAAAAAGTTTCCCTACTGCGAAAGTGAGTTAAATTTTCAAGGACACTTTAATTAAATATTTTAAATTACTTTATATATAGCACCCGATGCCTTTATCTTTAGCCTGGTTATATCAATATTCTCGTTCCTTATCCTTGTGTTGATATTCTTAATTTGGCGGGTTCGTCGGGAAAATGGGGAAAGAAGACAACGGGAGGAGCACATTTGGCTGGTGGAGACCAGCAGGAGTCACCCCCAGCAATCTGACATTCCAAAAGTCTGAGGATAATGTACTAGATAATGTAATGTAAAGTTATTGTGATCAAAGTATTAAATTTTATCAAAGTTCAAATTGTAACCGTTTTAGTATTGGAAAACTTTGTTGAATCAGTAATGAGAAGCACTGTTAATTTTAACACGATTGCACTTAAGTTCAATTACTGAGATAATTGTGCACCATAAATATTATATGTAATTATAATTCAGGTCTTTTCCATTATCTTTCTTGTAATATTTACAAATTTATTATTTTCAACTGCCCTCTTTTATCTATTGTGAAAACCACTTGTTGCTGTGACTAAATCGTGACTGAGAATGAAGGTATTTATGGCGGAAAAATGGGCGTTCACACTTTTCCCTCGAGTGCGCCAATATTGCTCCAGTGCTCCAAAGCGTAAGTACCCAGACTAGATTGGCTCCCATACTAGATCTCCCACATGATTAGATAACGAATTGCATTTGCAGCCGGCTAATAATCCTTGAAAATGGCCAACATTACTAAGATCTTCGCCACCCGTGCCCAGGGCATCCTGCAGGCAGCTGCCCGACAGCCACAGGTGGCCACCCGTTTCAGCAGCTCCTGTAAGTATATTATTGATTCCAGGGAGATCAAAGTCCACACTTTTATATACATGGAAAGCTGCACCCTAAGCTAGAATACCAAGATATCAAGTGCCGGTTTCTAACTACATCTCGGTATTTTTCCAGCCAAACATTGATTGCGTAATATGCACATACGATCACCTCATAATGCCGTCTCTTTTTAGCCACCAACAACTGGGAGTACATTAAGACCGAAGTTGCCGGCGAGGGAAAGAACGTGGCCGTGATCACTCTCAATCGCCCCAAGGCCCTGAATGCCCTCTGCAATGGTTTGATGAAGGAGCTGTCCACCGCATTGCAGCAGTTTGGCAAGGATCAGAGCATCGCCGCCATCGTTTTGACTGGCAGCGAGAAGGCTTTCGCCGCTGGAGCCGATATCAAGGAGATGGTGGGCAACACCTACTCGCAGTGCATCCAGGGTAACTTCTTGAACGACTGGACCGAGGTGGCCCGCACTCAGAAGCCCATCATTGCGGCCGTGAATGGTTATGCCTTGGGCGGTGGCTGTGAACTGGCCATGATGTGCGACATCATTTATGCTGGAGACAAGGCCAAGTTCGGCCAGCCAGAGATTGCCCTGGGCACCATTCCCGGAGCCGGTGGCACCCAGCGTCTGACCCGTGTCGTTGGCAAGTCCAAGGCCATGGAGATGTGCCTCACTGGCAACATGATCGGAGCCCAGGAGGCCGAGAAGCTGGGTCTGGCCAGCAAGGTGGTGCCCGCTGATCAGCTGCTTGGCGAGGCAGTCAAGCTGGGTGAGAAGATCGGTACCCACTCCAATCTGATTGTGCAGTTGTGCAAGGAGTCTGTGAACACGGCCTACGAGACCACGCTCCAGGAGGGCCTGAAGTTCGAGCGCCGCACCTTCCATGCCACGTTCTCCACGGTAAGTTCATCCTTCTTTTTTTTGTTTTATAGTATATAGTCTATCTTGTTATCTTAACATCTTTAGGCCGATCGCAAGGAGGGCATGACTGCCTTCGCCGAGAAGCGCCCAGCGAAGTTTACCAACGAGTAGGACAGGATATAAACCAGATCCCTCCCAGCCAGCAATGCATTTATATATTGTCATAATACAATCTGTTGTTTGTACACAATTAAAACTTTAAACGTGATAATTTGAAAATGTACAGTGTACGATAATTTGTTTGTACATGACAGAATGCTAGCACGGCTGTCAGGTGGTAATCTATGCCTTTAAAAAAGATATATCCACCTGACAGTCGGGCTTCATGCTTTGTCCTGGTTCTAATCAAAACAAAATAAGTGCATAGGCGACTTTGAAGGTTTTGTGGAATGCATTCGTTTTTTGCTGTCGGACTTGGAGGACACACTGGTTGGAAATGTGTGTGATGAATAACGACCCATCCGTGATGAGAAGACGTCCTCCTGGAAATCTATTCCTCCTCGCATTCTTCCCGATCCTGAAGGACTTTTGCTGTGCCACGAGACATCGGAGTCATCGCAGCATCTAGCTGAGTATCGACGTTTTCTTAATCGAGAGTTATTTTCTTTATCTCTGTACATGGGACAATGTTCGTTTGGTTTCACCAAGCAGGGATAACTGAGTTGTGTCGAGAACTCATGGTTTCTATATGTTACGATTCCTCGGCGAATGTCCGGATTTCGTGCATCCGTTGGCCTTGAGGTGAGCAAGTAATCAGTACATGGCCTGCAATTTTCCATTTGTTTTCTGGCTCTACTTCGCTCGCGATGTTCCTCCCATTCCCGCTGCGCACGAGGCACCAAAGGTTGAGGAGCTTGGCAGGCAGATTGCACAGGTTGACTTGCGATTAAGCAATGGTCATTTGACTGGCTGCCACAGCTGCTGGATTGGCTACGTGATGAACTTCTCTTACGTCGGAAGGATTTTCTTGGATAGGACATCTGATTCTTTTTAATTTTTGATGGCCGTGTGGAACAGGATGGTTGCTCAGAACACGAGTTGGTCGGATAAGTGGTCCTTGTTTTGTTAATAGCGCTTCCGGAGCCGGAGGATAGCTGTAAACTGGTAAGTTGTCGTGTCTTTTGATATTTATTTTCCTTTTGACTTTGTTTGGCCCAAAACTTAGGATCTCTTGGTCCCCTGAAGTCTTGACTTCTATCCTGATCCCTAAAAGTTATTTTTCTTTCTGTAGAAGAAGAGCACAATCCTCTCTGTTCTTGGCTAAAAGTATCCCGAAGTATTCCAAAACCACCTATACTAGAATCTCTGGACTGCGGACTATTCCTCGGTAACTCGTTTTCTGATTGTTTTGACTTGATATGAAGACCTTTAGCACCTGACCATAGAAATCTTTTGGCCAAAGCATGAAGTCTTGGCAGAAGTCGCGGTTTCTTCATGACGTGTGTATCTGTCTCCGAAGCTAACTTTGTTGAAACTAATCCTGTCCATTGTTGATGACTTTTCTTAGGTGGGTTATCCTCTTCCCAGACTATGGAACTGTTATCAGAGGCCTCTTTTCCATTCCTAGTGCTCCTTTGGATAAAGTATTTTGATTTCTTTCGTTGTGAACGATATGAGCCATGGTGGTCCTCTAAATCAGAGCTGCTTTTCTTTACAAATTGGTAAATGGAGGATCTACTACAAGTACATATATCAAGACTTTGAGCTGGACTGGATCGTCGACTTATATTGGGCGGATGGGAATTGCCGCGCTTACTATCAATCTCCTTCAATCTCCGCTTTGTTTGGGATCTTATATCTGGATTCGTTTTGGACCAGTAGTATGAATATGGATTACTTTCTGGATATAATTGTCGTTGGTCACGTTTGTGTGCCGCCAGACGTCTCTTCTCCGTCTCCCGAATATCCGGATCGACGGCGGACCACAGATAGCAATACGGTGGTGGCTTTTTCCTCTTGCACTTCAGGATTGGACCACTTTGATCAATCATTTTTTGTTTTTCGGAGCGCCTTACAAAACTTTTGTAACCTGTGCTAGCTTCCCTGCGATTCGGAGGAATTTCTATATCGTTTTGATCATAGACATCAGGTCGAAGAGAACGATGGCAGGAGATGGATTCGTAAAAAGTGTTTTCCGGAGGAGAAGATACATGTAGGTCACTCTTAATCTCACAATGATCTTCATCCGAGCTACTGTCCGCCTCCTTGTCTGTGGTTGTAATGGAACATATTTTATTATCGCTGATGGATTTTGTCTGACTGGAGTTCCTCGGTTTTTTACTACCATTTCGCGCAGTATACTTTGTTCCTTGAATGGCTTTGAAAAACGGACTCTTCTCGAACTCTATGCAACGAGGATCACGGGACTTCCTTAATCTTGCAGTCCTATCGGGACATATCGTTTGGTTTCGGAAATTCGGCAACCATTTGGGTTGACCAATGGGGCAAGGACAATTCATAACCTTTTCCATGGGAGTTAAACTGCAATGAGATTTGGATTCTGTTGGTTTTGTCTGAGAGCTGTATTCCAAGTTGGTTTGTGATTTGGAAAACAGTGGCTTAGTTGGTTCTGGATTTGCCAACGGCGGTATCAGAGATGGATTACTCGCATAAATTCTATGTAGTCTGGTACTGCTGTTCAGCTGGCCTTCCGTTGGCTTGAGATCACCCGCAACGTCCTCTTTATCTCCTTTACTTTTACTCTTGATTTGATAATTTTGATTTTCATCCAACAGAGAGAACTTCTTTTTGGACTTCGTTTTGGAAATCGGTATATCCTCCAGACTTAAAGGTGCAGGCGGCGGAGATTCTTGTTTCGGAGGACAGCATGGTTCATAGTGTCGAGTACACGCCGTATTCAGGCAGGAGAACTCCAAAGGGGCCGCTGTATCGATTCCCGGACGCATGTGGCGCCTCTTGGCATCCGCATCGTACTTGTAATAGGAGAAACTTGGCTTGCGAGACAGATACTTCCGCGGAAGCTGAGTATGACCCCGCATCCTGGCATGGTGCTGCTTGAGAAGGCAAAGGAATTCAGGGGACACCCTTCGTCCAGGCAGGGAGTAAGTCGCCGCCTTATCCTTTCGGCGTAGAGCATGCCTTACGGGTACTCGAAACTTGAAGCAGAACTTTCGTTTGGACGGCTTGATCTCGGCTGTAGATCGTCTTGTATTAAGATACCACTCCGTCGCCTTGTCATCAACATCGTAGTACTTCAATCCACGTCTGCAAATTCGTGGTGGTCCCTGAAGTTCTTGCTGTACAGGACGATCGTGCGGCAGAGTGGAGCACCTCAAGGAATCTAGACAGGTGTATCCACAGGTCAAGAAGTCGTAGTAGGAAGTACATGTATTCTGCAGGTTTAGCTTCCTTGTCTTCAGAGCACTTAAAATATTCATGGCGAAAACAGAATTTTGTTGTATTAAAACTACAAAAATAATGCAAATAACCCAGTTTTACAAAGGCTGGTAGATTAGCCCATAAAAGAGGGTAGTTCCTTAATACTGAATTGTTTTAAGGGTTTACGAAATATTATAAGTACTAAGACCGATAAGTAACCTAAGAAAAATAATAAGATATAAATCCTATGATTTTCCTTAGATTAATTTTCGCTCTGCAGGTTGCTTATTAATATTTTAGATGACAGGTATCTAACAGATCTTTTCGCAACATTGCTCCTGTTCAAGTTCTCGTTCTCTTCTTCGCATTTTTTGGTAATACGAACGAAGTTCATATCGACGCCTTTGGACCTTTGCTTTCTGAATCAAAGGCGAGTCCTTTTGTTCTTTGCCTAAAAACTAATCGTATTAGTAGCGAATAGCAAAAGGAGAAGCTTAACATTACCTTTTAAAAACAAACTACAGATATAGCAGTCACATTTTCTCCTCTCTGTTAAACTGCACGCTGATTCTTCTGGAGGCGATTTTGGATTCCTAGATTGATAAGGATCCAAGTGGCCTTTAGATAATCCTTTAGAATATCGACGTATTCTTATGGTTTTCGGTTGATCCCTTTTGGAGAATCTCATCGTATGGTCCCCGGGCACTGTCAATACCTCATTCAAGGTTGGGTACTTCTCTCGCTGTTTTACTTTCGCCTTCGTGTCGGATTTTTTATTCCGCTTCAAAAGCCCTATCCTAAGAATGTTTTCTGTAATAAAATCTCGTGGTGGTCTTAAGGGTTGAAAGTCTTGACGTATGGACACCTCCTTCATAAGCTCCTTGATGCGGTTCTCGACAGAAGTCCGTTCGTCTATGTATAAATCCGGCCTCCACTGTTCTCTTAAATTCAAACCTATTAGGTACTGGCTCTGACAGGACTTTACCTTCTCATCCTTACTTTCCCCCTGCTTTGGTTTCGCCAACATGGACTGGGCAATGGAGGTAGTACTAATGATCGATCCCGCAGTACGAGATGTCCTATCTGAAATAGACTGATTGGATGTCTTGCTATTTAAATCAGTTTTATCAGTTGAATACATCTGGCGATATATTTTCTTATCTGGTATTGAATTCTTAATATAATGGTAGAACTCCTTGAGACTAATCCTATCGCCACGAGAAGATGAACTGCGCGCCTTCGACACAGATGACTTATTCGGCCTTAGCGATATCTGATCGTAATCCAGAAATGAACTCGATCGAAATTTTGGTTGTCTAGTCGTATTAGCCTCAGGTTTTTGCTTACGCACGGGACGAAGTGCTGGAGGATGGGTTTCTCTCCATACTAGAACGTTTTCAAAATGCCGTGAAGGCTCGTCTTCCTTAACGGTTTCTTTTTTTTAGGAAGGGGCAACTCTTTGCGATCAAGATGTGTCGAAGCTTTGGGTTTAGCTTTTGCATTAAATATTCTATAGTTGCTTGCCAAAGCCCGGTTGAGTTCTGGGCTTGTGGTTTCTGTGTCCTTTATCATTTCGTAGAATGGTTTTGAGGGACTGGCCATTATATTATCGACGTTTTTAGGCTCGGTTTTAGGAGCACGAAATCCAAAATTTGGTTCCAGTTCTTTTCCTGCAGACACCTTTCCTGCCTTTTTTTCTACATGCTTAATGTTTGAGCCCAATTCAGTCCTGCTTTTGAGAAGCGGAATACGTTCAGGCATGTCCAATTCGCTGTCTTTGATTAGATCTTTAAAGGCCTTTGGATTGAAATGTTTTCGAAATTTAAGCACTTTCTTGGATTCCCATGAAAACTTGGCTCCTATTTTAGTAGTTTTTGCTTTTCCCTGATTGGTTTCCTTTTTAATTTTATTGTTATCCTTCGATGACGTAACTTTTAAACGCTTATGTGATTTTAACTTTGGTTTAAGCTCGGGAATTTCTTTTGACTTACTTTTAAGCACTTTCTGAAAGGTATCTGGGTGCTTAGCTGGTTTTTTTTTGCGGTCGAAAGAGTTTTGAGTTTTATTTTTTGGCTTAGAGACTTCTAGTACGTGCCGACTCTTAAGAGTTGGATGAAGTCCAGACCTCATAGTATCCTCTTTCTCAAGGCTCGATCCGAAACGTTTTGACCTCTTTGGAACCCCTTTGTTCTTGTGGTAAAGGCCGAATGGAGTGCCTACTTGAGTTAAGCTCTTTTGACCCCTAAAACTTATTTTAGTCTTGGAAACTTGTTTTAGTAGAGATCTTTCAAAGCTATCTGAAGAGGGTTTTGGCTTCATTTTTTTAAGTAAACTAGGTGCTTCCGTTTTCGATGGGTTACGATACGGACTTTCCTTTTCCATTTCAAGGCTCCTACGAGCGGTCTGCGTTTTGTTTAACTCTAAATATCGCTGGAACTTGTCCATGGCTTCCCTTTTCCGGATCCAATTCTGTGTAATGAGTTTCTGCTTTTCCAATTCCTGAGCTTCGGCATTTTCTTTGAGTTTTGTTTCGTGCTCTTTTCGCCATTTGGGCGTTGTGTTCTTAACGATGGGCGGCGTGACATACGAACGCGTTATTTTGTCACGCGGAGGAGCTTCTGCTATCTTTGCAGGCCTAAGTTCCTTTTTTAGATTCGCGGGTTTTCTTTTCTTGGGAGCACAGCACATTTCGTATGCATCTTTATCGGTTTTTGGCCATTTTTGTCTGTTAACCAATGGACCTCGAGGGCTCTAAAAAATAGGTCATGCATCGTAATAAGGAAATAACTAACTGGATTTTTACCTGTAAATTAGGAAAGTTAAAGTCTTCTTCATTATTGAGTGCAAAATGATTTTGTATCTTCTGCCGTATCTCCTTGTAGCCGTTTGGTATGCAATCATTCCAGCAGATACTGTGGTACATAGCCATATTAATTTGCCAATGCAATTGCTCTATAAACAAACAATTTATTGAACTTTCCCAAAATATACATCAAAATTTGAATTAAAAATCAAGGATGGCCACACTGGCAGCGCGTAACAGCACGCTGTTAAGTGAACAGTTAACAGAGCCATAAGATAACGCGGTTATATTCTGACTGCTCCGACATATATTTGGCAAGAGTCCTGCGCGCTGACAGTCGAAATTCCGTTGAGAGCGAAGCTGGCAAAAAGTAAAAGTGAAAATCAGGCCCTTGAAATTTGTTCATCAATTATGCATTGATTACAACGAGCGAGTAAATTGAATTGTTTTGTGAGCGCGTTAAACGGAAAGTGTATTTTGAAAAGATAACAGAGTGCCAGTTAGACGTATATTTATTTTTCATTCTGTTCCGTAATCCATAATTGCGAGAAAGCACTCGAGCGCACCCACCCACACCACACACCGTATATATACACACACAGTTGTGGGTGTACCGCCACCATTACCACCACCACTTTGCCCTTGGCCCCACGGACCCAAGAAGCTTCGTTCGATTTTTCACAACAGCTAGTGAAAACGCCAGTGGAGGAACCCTGAGAACCACGAGAAACGCGAGAACCGTAGACCTATTATCACCATGGACATGCTCAACCAGATACTCAGCATCAATAACGGTGGCGCCTACGGGGGCGGGAAGGCTGGCGGCGCCTTCGACCCACTCACGTTCGCCATGAAGCCCCAAGTTGTCATCAGGGCCCTCTGCTGGGTGAGTTTGGACAAGCTCCGCCCGGGGAATCGCTGGGATTTGTGGACGCACACGACACTCACACGACCCGATTGTCACACTGTTTACACCGAGCATTATTCATGAAGTAATGGAAAAACAGGGTCCTCCTTAGATAGTCTTACACAAAAACACTGAAAACTAATTCAGTTTTATTTCTCAATAATATCTGTTTTTTGTTGATACAAGATACAGTTTGTTTCAAGGCTCATAAAGTTAATGAAAAAATAATTTGGAAAAAATAAATATAACAATTTTCCTGGTATTTTTTTTAATCTAATTTAACTTTGTATTTCTTATAACAAACTAAAGAAAGATTCTTTCATTTTAATCAAGCTTTTAATCCTACTTAATTTTAACAACATTGCTTTTAAATTGACGCAATAAAAGTGACTTTTATGTTCAATTTACCTGACGATTGCATCGTGAGCTCGTAAATGTTGCATAAACCGTACGTGGGTCTTGGAGTCTAAGTAAACCGTGAATGTGACCACATAAACGCAGTGGCACTCAAATGTCCGATTTGTTTACCCCCGCTCAGCAGGGACGTTGGGGATTTGCAGCAATATCAAGGGGGAGTTCTATATAGTGTTCAGCTGCAGAGGGCCAATAAAAACTCTCACGCCCATGAAAGCTTTATAATTAAATGTCGTAAGGTGACCACTAAGGCTTAGAACTTTATTTTACTACCAACTTGATGTGCGTCAGTATCGAAGTGGGAAAACGGTATAACCGAGGGGGCGGTAGTTTTGTGCCTGTTTGCTTTCCATTTGTGTATACGTAATATTTACCCACTCTGTTGACCAAGGATTCTTCAGAACGATTCCCGCCCTTCTTCTGGCCAAACAAACTAAACTTGGCCTTCATTTCGCAAATTGGGTCACAAACATAAGTACGTGTCTGCCAGGATGTCTGTGTACTTGAACTTCTGGTTTGTTGCACCTTCTTAAGAAAATCAATAGTGGAGTGTGAGTTCTATAACTGAAGAAATGTATATACTTCTTTTGGTCTTAATTTAATATACATAATATTTAATATTACAACTTGTTGAAAATCGTTGATTCACGATTAGAAAACGTTTTCCACTTAAGCCATAGACTAAATTGATTTATTTTTATGACACTCAAGTCATATACTTCTTTAATGCCATTTTATACATTTCTGTGTGGAACAACGACGTGCATATAAACGCAGCATTAAAAGTTAATGTATGCCCTCATTCATAAGGAATTTTCTTGATTTTCCAGCTCTTCTCGGTGGTGGTCTTCGGGTGCATATCCTCGGAAGGGTGGACGGAGAAGGATGGCAAGGAGTACTGCCTTTATAATGGCGACGGCATGGCCTGCAAATATGGCAACATGGTGGGCGTCTTTGGTTTTCTGGCCTCCATGGGCTTCATGGGCGGCGAGTTCCTGTTCGAACGGATGTCGTCGGTGAAGAGTAGAAAGCGTTACGTCATGGCCGATATGGGTTTCTCGGGTAAGTAAGCTCAGTCGACATTACTTACAGTACATTCCTTACAATATGACCCAAATCTATATGGCAATCCTTTATTTCAGCCCTCTGGACCTTCATGTACTTTGTGGCCTTCCTTTATTTGTGGTCCCAATGGAGCTCATCGCCCCCACCACCACTGGGAATCGGGGCTGGCAGCATGAAGACCGCCATTTGGTTCTGTCTCTTTTCAATTGCCAGCTGGGTGGGTAGATTTTTGTCCTCGTACTGCCATAAGTTTTGTGATTTAACTGATAACTCTTTGTTTAGGCCCTTTGCGCTCTGATGGCCTACAAACGTTTCCTGATCGGCGCCGGCGATGAATTTACCTCGGCCTTTGAGACGGACCCGGCCAATGTGGTTCATCAGCAGGCCTACGGGTACTCCATGGACAACGATAACGACCAGTACAGTGCATCACCATTTGGCCAGCCCCAGCAGGGTGAGTTTATAGACCAAAATATAGTAGAGTAGATACAAATTTAAAAGTAATTTTCCTTTAAGGTGGCATGGAGCAACAGCAATCCGGAATGGAGTACCAGCAGCCCACCTACTAAGGAATTATCCACACTTGCTCCTCCGTTGTCCGCACACACTCACTTCGATTTTGTAGTGCAACTGGCAAGGTTTTTACACAACTAAACAAACAGCTAAATACAAGTTGGCTTTACCATATACACCGATGTCGAACATATAACAAGAGTAACCGAAACAATAACAGTTGATACAAGCGAGCAGCAGCAGCAGCAGCAGCAGCAACAGCAACAGAAACCAAATCCACGCACTGGCTTTAGCTATCGGGAGAGTCAGCAGGGGTTATATCTGATACCAGAATTATCGGGTATATACATATATAGTTTGAATAACTCGTAAGCTAGCCCTTTAAGTTTGTGCAGGGTGCAGTGTGCAGTTTTTAGTAGTGGAAATTGGTTGCAATATATTATACTGATATACAACTAGTTATATATCTCATATGTATACATGCTACCCGCGCTTTCAACGTTGTTAGTTATTTAGTGTTTACGTGTATGTACTAAACTATATGATTTTTGATTTGTGCCAGACCCTGGTCCCCCGATGATCAGCTTGTTAAACGATGGAAATAGCTTGCAACAGAGGGAAACATGATGTTTTTTAGATAAATTTACACAAGTGCAGTGCAAATACATAGTTGAAACATAAAGAAGCAATTCGGCCACCGGAAGAACAGAACAAAACCACTGCTCAAACCACATATCCAATTTACCATCTGGAACAAAAACCCCACTAAATAGACCTGCGGCCAGGGTCGAAGCTTGGTTAGATGAGCAGCAACAGCAACCACTACAATAAACGCCAAAACAATATGTAAATTCTAAACCATAAGAGAGATCTTTAAACCGTAGAATTGTTGTGAGGGAATTTAGTATTTGGGAGATTACTGCAGGTATATTACTAGTTATGGTTCACAAACACGCTGAAAATGGTATATAGGGCTTGTTCAAGGCTTATTGTTGCCCCTTCCCAACCAAAGATTTGTATAGTAACTATAAATACCACACCCTCTCAACCCAAATAAAAAAAAAAAGAGAAAACAAAATGGAAATATACTTATGTGTAAAATATCCATTAAAGCATTGTAAAAAGGGGCGGTCACATCCCTAGGAAAACTGGGTGGGATGGCTCCTTGGATATACTCAAATATCAATGAATGTAAACATATTGATTACATAAATGTTCACTTAGTGCAGCAACTTGCGATAACCTACAAATGTATTTGTTAAATTAAATACTATATACATATATATTATATATATTTACGGATTGTATGTGTAATACGAAGCGCCCTGTTAAATGCAACAAGGAGATAGGGATCTCAGCAAAAATATACAAATATAAATTAATCATGTAGAGTTCGTGTGCGTTAAAAAAAAGGTAGAGAAAGAAACAAAAAACCAAATTTACTCATTTAAAATATAAAGATCGATATTAAAATAGCGAACCCAGCCCGATATCGGCTTGAACATTTGCGAACACTATTGTAACAGAGAACTCCTCAAACAAGATTCTCAACTGAAAGCCCCTCAAATAAAAATAAATACATATTTTTAAAAACCAACCCAAAATCACTTAAGTATTTTTTTTTTTGGGTTAGTTGCCTTTTTTTAATGTACATTTGTGTCTTAAAGGTGAGTTCATTAAACAACTGGAATCCGAAAAGTAATCATATAATAATGGTTTTTGTTTTCTTGCCAACTTGGTTTTCAGTTCCAGTTAAATGGTACATCATATTTTGGTTATAGGTTCATATGGTTCATCAATCCAAGTTAATCTGTAACTTAAAAACTTGTATCCTTAAATTCCAATTCTTATCTTACTATTTCTTACCATTAACATTTCAAAACGATTCTCATCTTCATGGATTTTCCACTTTAAAGTTGTGGATTAATTATAGGTCGCTGTTTGGTTTTCCATTCTTCAATCGTTAAATCACTCCACTGATTAACTCCCTTCTTAAAGGAGATGGTTCCTAATTCGAATTGCTTATTGTGCTTCTGAATCGCCTTCCAGTTATCACAGAAGATATTTCGGCGTTTCTCGAATTCCAAATCATCTTGATATTTTGATCCAAAGTCAATCTGAAACATTAAATCAAATAAATTTGAATTGAAATACATTTGAAATTTTAAATCCCTTACCAGGAATTTTTCCCAGGCAGACTGACATTTATCGTTATCTTGATCATCATTAACTGGTTTGGCTGTAGTGATTTCATCCTTTGGTATGAAGTTGGGACGTTGACTCTCTTTCCATTCCTCAATGGTCAGATCACTCCACTGATTTATTCCCTTCTTAAAGGACTCGAAACCTAATTCGAATTGCTTATTGTGTTTCTGAATCGATTTCCAGTTGTCACAGAATATATTTCGTCGTTTCTCGGTTTCGGCACCGTCTTGATATATTGGTTTAAAGTCAATCTGTAACACAGATAACTTGAATGAAGTACAATTGAATTTCTTTTAATCTCTTACCAGGAATTTTTCCCAGGCAGCCTGGCATTTAAGGTTATCGTTATCATCCTGTGTTGGCTTAGTGATTATCACTTCAGCTCCTGGTATACGCTTGGGCCGTTGACTTTCTTTCCATTCTTCAATAGTAAGATCGCTCCACTGATTTACTCCCTTCTCGAAAGACTCGATTCCTAATTCGAATTTCTCATTGTGCTTCTGAATGGCCTTCCAGTTGTCACAGAAGATATTTCGTCGTTTTTCAGTTTCAATATCATCTTGATATTTTGGTTTAAAGTCAATCTGTAACATGGATAACTTAAAACAAGTACATTTGGATTTCCTACCCTCTTTTACCTGGAACTTTTCCCAAGCAGCCTGACATTTAATGGTATCATCCTTAAGTGGTTTGATGGTTGTGAATTCAGGTTCGTGGATAAACTTGGGCCGTTGACTTTCTTTCCATTCTTCAACCGTAAGATCACTCCACTGATTTATTCCCTTCTTAAAGGACACGACTTCTAATTCGAATTGCTCATTGTGCTTCTGAATCGCCTTCCAGTTGTCACAGAAGATATTTCGGCGCTTCTCCATTTCGATATCATCTTGATATTTGCGCTGAAAGTCATTCTGTAAGATAGATAAGTTAAATTACGCACATTTTAATTTCCAACACTACTTTACCAGGAACTTTTCCCAGGCAGATTGACATTTAATGTTCTCATTATCATCGCTAGTAGGTTTTGTGGTAGTGATTTCAGGTAATGCTATCAACTTGGGACGTTGGCTCTCTTTCCATTCATCAACAGTAAGATCACTCCACTGATTTATTCCCTTCTTGAAGGATTCAACTCCTAATTCGAATTGCTCATTGTGCTTCTGAATGGCCTTCCAGTTGTCACAGAAGATATTTCTACGCTTTTTAGTTTCAATATCATCTCGATATTTTGGTTTAAAGTCAATCTGTAACATGAATAACTTAAAACAAGTACATTTGAATTGTATACCCTCTTTTACCAGGAACTTTTCCCAAGCAGCCTGACATTTAATGCTATCATGATCATCCTTAGGTGGTTTGATGGTTGTAAATTCAGGTCCTTGGATAAACTTGGGCCGTTGGCTCTCCTTCCATTCTTCAACCGTAAGATCACTCCACTGATTGATGCCCTTCTTGAAGGACTCGATTCCCAGTTCGAATTTCTCGTTGTGTTTTTGAATCGCTTTCCAGTTGTCGCAAAAGATGTTTCGGCGAGTTTCGTATTCAATATCATCTCTATATTTTGCTCCAAAGTCAATCTGTAATATAAATTAGTTAATTTAAAATTTCTTTTAAATTGCTTTAATTTTACTAGGAATTTTTCCCAGGCAGCCTGGCATTTAAGGTTATCATGATCATCGTTAGTCGGTTTGATGTTAGTGCTTTCATCTTTTGGTATTGGCTTGGGGCGTTGTTTCTCTTTCCATTCATCAACCGTAAGATCACTCCACTGATTTATGCCCTTCTTGAAGGACTCGATTCCTAATTCGAATTGCTTATTGTGCTTCTGAATCGCCTTCCAGTTGTCGCAAAAAATGTTTCGGCGTTTCTGGAACTCGATATCATCTTGATATTTTGTTCCAAAGTCAATCTGTAATATGGATAAGTTAAATTAAGTACATTTGAATTTCCACCCTCTTTCACCAGGAACTTTTCCCAGGCAGATTGACATTTAATGTTATCATGATCATCCTTAGTCGCATTTGTGGTAGTGATTTCATCTTTTGGTATCAACTTTGGAAATTGTTTCTCTTTTCATTCCTCAAAAGTCCAATCACTCCACTGATTTATGCCCTTCTTAAAAATGTTATCTCTCGACTCGTATTTAAAATCGTTCTTCTGAATATTTTGCCACTTGTCGCAGAAGCCATTTCGACTTCATTCTTGTAGTGTACATTAAAATCGACCTTAGGCAAAAGATTTTCTTAACCCATTCCTGGAAGTGTCTAATCGGAGCTTACCAAGAACTTTTCCCATGCAGATTGGCATTGACTCTCTTCCTCTGATAAAGCTGGAATGGTTGCAACTGGCGCACTTGTGATTTCTTTGACTTTGGATGAGTCATTGCCGCTTTTCCCAGTAGTGACCTCAATTTCGGAATTGATTTTTGCAATTTCTGGTGGGGAATTGGTGGTGGTCGTAAATGTGGGCATGCCAAAGGCCACGCCCATCAATAACAGGATCACTGGAAGGCCAGCAATAATTAGAGCTGAGCCCATCTCAAAAACTTTTCTCGTACTGAGCTGTGGACTGCGAAAATAGCAAATAAATATATAAAAATATTCTCAAAAACAAACTGCAACGAGAGAGAGAAAGCTGCTCTCGCGAGAACAGTCGATCTGGATTACTCACTCTTATTTAATATTAGAGGCTTATATATTGCTTAAGAGAGGTGATGTCTTTCTTTGGTTTTGGGAATATAAAATATGTTACACTCTTTTATTAATAATTTGATTTTTACAAATAAATTTTTAAAAAATCATCAAGCCTTGTAATAGATTTACTTTGATTACTGTCGTTTTTATAACATTTTTCTAATTTTAATGTTATTATTTTATAAATAAGCTAATAGGGCATTCTCACTTCGGCTATCGCATTCTTTTGCTCTCTCTTTTCGCCTATGCACTGTTTATGCTCTGCCTGCTATCTTAAATGTGCAGCATTAACTCTCATACGTCAAATAATAAATAATTTCTTATCTTAAAATTACTTAGTTCATGATTCAGAAAATCTATTAAAAAACTTAAAGACTCATTGTTTGAAATTGGCTATATTTAGTTTTGAATTTTTTAAATGATGTTTCTTTGTAAAACAAGAAGAAATCAGAAAATACCATTTGTTTATCAGCAAATTTAATTATTTTTTTTAATTAGGTAACATTTTTAAACTTTTTTTTTCTGTTTACTGTAAGGTATCTTCTCATTAACATGCCATTCACATCGCGGCCAATATATTCATGAAACATTTTCCCAGAATTATAAACAAAAGCTCATAGTAAACGTACACTGATAAGGCACTTTTTTATTTATTGATTGAGTGACTCATGAGAGAGACTGCATGCCGTCACTGCAAAAGGCTACATACTACAGTAACAAAGTTATAAATTCGTGTTTTCTTTAATTGGCTATACTATCTATCTAACTATATTACATAGTTGGTTTTTGTGCCTACAGAATGGGGTAGCTGCACTCGCTGGCAATTCCACAGAATCCACCGGCATTACGGATCAGTCGCATAAAACCGCCCTCGCCCCAGTTCTGGGAGTACGAGTTTTTGATGATCCAATAGTCACGTCCGTTCTCCGATCCATAGCCCACAACCGTGACCGAGTGATTCACTTCACCCTGGTTGCATTCATCATCCTCGTAGATTCCACCGCCGTACTGCTCAAAAGAAATGGTATCCGCGTTCATGGAGCAGGCCAGTGGTCCCAGAGTGGCAATAACCTCCTTCATTTTCTCCTCATCTCCAGGGGTAATGGTGGCATAGTCACGGATCTTTACCAAGCTTTCCCTTGGAGGACGACCAGCCGTCTCGTTCTGACGGCATTGCATCTCTGTCTGCGTGTACGGGTATTTGTTGGCCAACGTTACTCCATGATCGCGAATATATTCGAAACCATACTCCTGGAAACCACCATCGCATCCCATGTTGCCATAGTCATCAGCACAGTCAACCAGATTCTGCTGGGACAGCGAGGCCAGCACTCCAGTACGCCGGAAGATGTGACCCTCGAGGGCTCCGGTGGTGGCGAACGACCAACAGGCACCGCAACCAACACCCTGGAAACCGGGCGGTGTTACACCTCCCTTCTCACGCCAATCGAACTTCTCCGGAAGATTGGCACTTGTCGGACTCTTCTTGCCTGTTATGAAGTTGATGTGGCCATTGGTGTATCTCCTGCAAGGTGAGAAGGGTTTTAGTTAGTGTTAAAATTAAAATGAAGTATTTTAAATTATAAATTTGTTAAATTAAATGGTTAAAGTTGGTTGTGTGTCTTGTAAATGTAATTAATCTAAAATCGTTTGTGATCTCTGTAAAATGTAACTAACTGTCATGCATTTTCGAATGTAATGTAAAAAAAACTGTTATGTAAAAGAGCTTACATTGTCAAGATCAGTAAATTCTACATAATGTTAGATAAATGTAGAATGGAATGATAATGTTAATACAATTTAATAAGACAAAAACAAAACGGTTTTAAAATGATAAAAGAAAAATAGTTAAAGTTAAAATATATATTATTCGAAATATTGATTATAATTACATAAAATATATTAATATATAAAAATAATCCTGTTTATAATTAAAAATAAGCTCGCAGAAAGTTAACATGCATAGGTATACTCCTTGTTTATGGTTCAAATAAAGATTAAACGAAATGTTTTTTAATCAAATTATGACTGAATTCCTAGAAAAAACAGACTATAAACATTTTTAGCGATTGTTCATATTCTAGACAAAATATATTTGAAGGCGTAATAAATTTTGTTTATTTGCTCCAAACTAGAATTATTCCCAAAAGGCAAACCCATGATAGGAATTTTTATGTTTTTCGGAGAACTAGTTTAGCATAATAGAGCAGCCGATAAGCGCCTACGTAAAATGTTACAAATCATTTGAAAAAAGAGATACCAAAACCCGTTTAAAAATTATAAGATATGTGATAATTTCTTTATCGCGGGGACTTCCCCTTATGCTTAAAATCTCTTTGATTACGTCAGAAGATCAGATGCTACTTACTCGCCAAATTCGGAGACCTTAGATCCCAGCAAAGTGCCGATTTCCTTCCTGGTCATATCAGCCAGTGGATTGACTCCCAGCCGGAATCCAGCCACTCCACTGTCGGCGTTCTTGTTGGACAGGGTGATCAGCGACATTTTGGCCGCAAAGATACTCTCACGATAGACTCGCTCCTCATCCGAGTACACCTTGCCGGTCTGGCGAAGGTAGTCGTCGAAGTTTTGAACATCGCAGAGCTTTGGGAACGATTGCAGTTGCTGCAATGACACAGCACCCAGCATGGCCATTCCCAACGCCATCTGCAGCCACATCGGTGAGCACATCCGCATCTGGAACGAGGGAAAACAGAAAGAGTGGAAAGTGTTAAGTAACCACTTGGCCAACACACTGTTACCCCATCCCTCGACCCCGTTTCTGCCACATCTGTCAACGTTAATCACAGGCAAATTTAGCCGGTCCATTCACCTTAAATCGAACTGCTCGTGGTTTATCTAATAACATTGTAACTTTTTTTTTTGGGGAAAACCCACTATTAATATTAATTTATTGGCTAATAAAACCAATGTAAAAACTTAAATATTTACATTTTGGAAACCATAAATCGAATTTGCAGTGGTAATTCGTTAACAAGATTTGGTCATCTTTCTGCAGATAATGCTTTAAGGTAAAAAATTCTTGTTAAAAAGTTAATAACAAAGTAGTTAATGATGACTTCTTACTAAAACTAAACATAACATGGATCAAAGATATTTAACTTCCTTTTTCTCTTAAAATTTAATAGGAATTGGTCAATAAATTGATCTTAAAACAAGATTAAAACGGATGTTTTTCCAAAAACAAAACAAACAAACCATAATTATTATAAATCTGTCATAGATCAATATAATTTAATCAATTTATTTGTTTTTTTTTTGTCTTTAGCCAGCATGTATTTCAAAAACTAAACCACTTAATGATCGGTACACCAGAAGACAACATGATTTCCTAGATAATAAACAACTTAATGATCGATTGGGCAGAAAAACAAATCCCGCAGATCATCTTCGTCTGTCAGCAATCGAGTTAATTGGTAATTAATCACCCACTAGCTTAAGCCACGTCTTAATTTTTAAACTTTGTTCGATTTATCGGATCATAATTAGGCTCTTGAAAGTGGAAGAGCATCCGTGGTTCGTTATTCCGAAGTGGTTGGCAAATTCGAACACTGACGACATGTGCATCATTATTGGTTGAATAAACTCATTTGCATATGCTTAACATAATTACATTTGATTCGTTTGAATTTCGACATTATTTTTGATTTTGTGAGTTCGACGAGACTCTCCTCGTATTTCTTTTGGCCAAAATTGGCCTGGCAGAGGGCCGAAAATAAATCAAATCTAGATTAGGCAACCGCAGGCTAAAATTTCACTTTCGATGCGATATGTAAAATATTGAACACATGCTGGGCCCGCCCGGTGAAAGGCGTTGGATTCCCCTTTTAAGTCCCGATTTCTATTCAAATTTTCATTAGTTTCTTTAATTGCAATTGCAGTTCTCTTGTCCGACTGATTTGCCAGTAATGATGCTCAAAGAAATGACACTCGAGAAACTGAAAGCACACCAACACACACACACACGGCACAATATGTTGCAAAGCCCGGATCAATCACCTTTTATGAGTATATACTATGGAAGATATATTATCTTCCGTGTTCACAGATCTGGGCGAAGATGGCGCAGACACGAAGACCGGCGAGGTTATAAGCGGCGCTCGACACACACACCTTGGTTTTATAGGGTCCGCGGAGCTCGGAGCTGGCCCGTGGGACATCTGGCCAAAACCAGATGGGCATCCAATTTGGCACCAACAGGCATATTCATCTTCATTCGGACTGGCTATCTGGCTTATGGGCATATAACTGTCTTAATTTTATGCATGTTTAGTAATTGTCTATTGGTCAATATGATGGTGGCTCTAACAACGTGTATTAACTCATTTGAAACAAAAGGGAAACAAGTCAAGCTAACATGCGTTAAAATGCAAACTGCTAGAGAAGTTATTAATTGATGGGACTGATATTATACGTTTCACGCATTGCATGATTAATTACTTCGTGTAAGCTAGTTTTTGTAAATTTAAATGTAGGAATGTAAAATTCAGTAAAATGTAGGTAAATTAGGAAAGTTTTTGAGTGCTTTGGTTACACATTTATGCATTATTTATTATTTTTATTATAGGCATTTAATGCCCGATGGCTTGAATTTGCGTAGGTAGATAGTTGACAAAAGCTTCGCTGAAGTCTATATGTTTTTAAATATTATTGTAATATTAAAACATAAAACTAATAACTGACTTTAACTTAAACACAAAGAGAAATAAAATCGAAATATTAAATGCAAAATGACTGTGAAACACCAAACGTGCTACTAAAAGATTAGTAATGCATTAGTAAAGCAATAAAGAAACGTAGCCAATATATTTGCATTTCAATTAACAGATTTTACGATCGTCTATTAACCTAATATTTTAGTATGACTACCAAAGAGTTCATTGACTGCTTTGTACATTCCCCAATGGTTTACATTTTTTTAGTTAAGCTTCAAGAAGACCAGCTTCCCGGTGTACCGCTTAAAATATGTGTTAGACTTCCGCGATGATGGAAATTGCCAAACAACTCATTTAGCACTTGGTTTATAGCAATTTAGCCAAGACTTCAAACGGGCCTACGTCTGGTGTTGCAATATTTATGGGCACCATGAAAGTATGAATGTGATTAATCATGCCCATGCAGAGAAGACAAAAATCTCAACAAGTGACGATATGTTGGGATTAGAGCTGCTTTTATGATGCTAAGAGCGGGTGGGGTACGGTTATGGGCTTATTTCTGAACTGGGCCAGTGGGGACTTCGAATTAACAGAGATACGAGAACCCAACGAATCGCAACGATACGAAACGGAGCGCATTTGACAAGTTTATTGGGCAAATAAAGCGCACCCCGACTTTTTCTTCTAACGGGGGCTTATCGAGACGACCCGGAATATGTCTATGGGTACTACGAATGAGTACTATATGTATATATATGCTGTACGTCAAGTGCGAATTCAAGGCCTTATAGAAATCTATTTGCACTTTTCTTGCGAAAGTAAGACGGTATGGTAAACTTCTATTTGCGTTTGCAATCAGAAGGAGAGTTGCCGTTGGCTATAAAAGACCATTCCATGGTTCTATGCGGCATCAGTTGGTTTGGATTTCGGTTTTCGTTATGTTCAAGTTGGTGCTTTGCTGTCTTCTGCTTTCAGCTGGAGGAGGATGGGCCTTTAATCATGGCCAGGATTTAACGGATTTTGAAACTTACGTGGTATGTTACACGAACGACATTAGGAAAATGGAATACTAAGCTAGTACTTATTTATTTTAATGTTTAAATTTCCTTATAGGACAACTTCAACAAGACATATGCCACAACTTCGGCTCGTAACTTTGCCAACTACTACTTCATCTACAACCGCAACCAGGTGGCCCAGCACAATGCCCAGGCGGATCGGAATCGCACTTCATACCGGGAAGTAGTGAATCAGTTTTCGGACATCCGTCTTATCCAGTATGCAGCCCTTCTGCCCAAGGCTGTATCCACAGTAACTTCAGCGGCCAGTGATCCACCAACCACCCAAGCAGCTGCTGCATCCTATGACATCATCACAGACTTTGGACTGACCATAACGGTGGAGGATCAGGGTGTCAACTGCAGCAGTAGTTGGGCCTATGCCACGGCCAAGGCTGTGGAGATTATGAATGCCGTGCAGACCGCCAATACCGCCCCTTCCGCTTTGTCAGCTCAGCAATTGCTGGACTGTGCAGGAATGGGAACTGGATGCTCCACCCAAACCCCCCTGGCTGCCTTGAACTACCTCACCCAGCTGACGGATGCGTATCTGTACCCGGAGATGGATTATCCGAATAATAACACTCTCAAGACTCCGGGCATGTGCCAGCCGCCGTCTTCAGTGGCTGTGGGCGTAAAGTTGGGCAAGTACTCCTCCGTGGCTGATAACGATGATGACGCCGTTATGCGTTATGTTTCTAATGGTTTCCCCGTGATTGTGGAGTACAACCCGGCGACCTTTGGCTTTATGCAGTACTCCAGTGGAGTGTATGTTCAGGAGACGAAGGCTCTTACCAACCCAAAGAGCTCGCAGTTTCTGGTAGTCGTTGGCTATGATCACGATGTGGACTCAAATCTGGACTACTGGCGTTGCCTGAACTCCTTTGGAGAAACTTGGGGCGAAGATGGTTATATAAGGATTGTGCGCAGGTCCAATCAGCCCATTGCCAAAAATGCTGTATTCCCCAGTGAACTTGCCTGAGAATAGAATATCTATCTATCTATCTGAATTCCTTAAATATTAAATATGAACTTCCCCATTTTATATTAAAACTGAGCTCTAGTGGTTTTACTATCTGCATAAAGTATGGGGATTTTCTGAAAGTAAGCAATCCTAGCTATTCGATCTTTTTGAAAGGCTTAAGGATTCATGACATTCAAGATGACTTAAGGCAATCCAAGCAAAGGAAAACTCAAGACTCTCATATTCTATAGATATTAACCATATATAGATAACATTTTCATGTTCAATCTTAAAAAGTGAAATGTTATTCCCAACCTAAGTAACCCCTTTGTTACTCTATTAAGTTTCGTTTTGTTTTTTTGTTGTTGTGAAAGCTTATAGCTTTTTTTTGTCTCCATTTATTGAATTTACCATTTTATTTAGTTTATTTATTGATTTTTCATCTACAAGCGGAGCTTTACAGACTTAAATGCTAAAAATTAACAAGTTCACTTTATTTTCTTTTCTTCTTGTTTTTTCGCATCATTTTTCTGCTCATGGATTTTATACTATTATTTCTGCTGTGTTTTCTTTTCTGTTATAGGTTTTTTCTTGCATAATAAATAAGTTTCCCATTTTGTTGCTATTCTGTGTTGCTGTGATATAAAAACGAAAAGAAATGATATTGATATATATTTTGAAGGTATTATATTTTATGGTTATAGAATATTCGACTCAGCCAGCGCAGACAAAAGCTTCTTATTTTTTGTTGGTGTGTGTGTTCTTCTTTTTTGTTTTTTTTTTTTTGTAGATTTCTTAACTTTTGTTTACTTATTCCATAAATCTTTTTAAGTTTCAGTAACTTGTTTGAAAACTTTGTATTATTATTAATAATTTCTCATTATTATATTTCAATTGCATTAAATAATTTGAAATATATGTATGTACGTTGTGTTTGCATTTTGTTTTTAGTTTAGTTTCTTTTTGTTTAGAATGTCTTCCCGTCACTTGTGAAGCAAAGCTCAATGATATGATTCACGCTGAAAGGTGTTTTAACTTCTTCATTATTATTATTATAATTATTATTATTATTTTAATATTTTGCAGTTTATAAGGTTTTTGCGTGATCTTTTTTTGTATTTTCTGTTCTGGATGTGCTTGAGTTTGCAATATTTTTGCAAATACCTCTTTCTTTTGGAAAATGTTTTCCGATGAAAAACAAAATTGAAATAAATATCCATCGTTTAGTTTAGTTATGGAATCTTAAGTACTCTGACTAGTTAATGGATTATTGATTTGAAATTTCTCCTCTTCGCTTTATTCATTTTTCATTCATCTTTTTCTATTACGATACAACGGCTAGTGTTTGTTATTCATTTTATAAATTAAAATTAGTTAGGTTTATCTACATATGCTCTCGCTTCTCTCTGTGTCTCTTTATCTTATTATCTTTCCGTATAATTCTTAATAATATTTAACTAAATAAATATAATGTTATATAATTTATGCAATTTTTCATGTGTATATATATATATATATATCTTTTTTTTTTTCTACACAAAATGATGTGTTTGTAACTGGTTTTGTTTTTATATGTTGGCTAGTGTTTCTGTTTATTAATATCTTGCCATGCTTTGTGTTGACTGTACCTTGGTTTTGTGTTAGTTTTGCTCATTGGGGACACAAATCAAAATGTTTATGCAATTTCCGTCTAAAGTATTAGGAAGATTTATGTCATTATCAGCCATGTTAGCAACTCCACTTCCACTCGGAAATCCTTTGGAAATGTCATCGGGATCATGGCCGTTTAGTTTGGTTTACTTTTCGTATCAAGCTTATTAATGGACAAAATTGATTTTTCTCTTTTCGTATTTAATATTTTATGGATTCTCTTTTTGTTTTCCAGATAGGCTTTCTTTCATTTATTTACTTCGTATAAATTTTGAATACGTTTCACTTATTTTTGGAAAATTGATTTTCGGTTTCGGTTTTTCAATGGGTTTTGTATAACAATTATTGCAAATTCTTTGCCGTAAAGATCGATGTTCATCCTTAGAATTTGCACTAACTGTTATCATGAAGGGTTTGCCTTTGAGGTTGGCCCTTCCCCATTTATGGGTTTAAATTACATAAAAACTGATCTAATTTTGTGTATTTCAACTTTTTGTCAAAGTATAAGTTTGGATTTAAAAAAAGTTTAATGGTATTAACTCAAGCCCCTTAAACTTGGAATTTAAAATAAAAGATAATTATATGAAAATAATGGAAAGTCCTTATTATTGCAAGTTATTTCCCATAAAGATAGATGTTCATCTTTAAAATTTGCACTCACAGGTTTTCGAAGGGCCTTCACCCCTTGAGGATTAACTCATTAATAAACTAAATAAAAAATTGCTAAAATAATTAAAAGTAAATAAAAATTTTTAGAGGGAACTTTACTATAGTTTTGAATCAAAAACCATAAGCCATGAATAAGAAAACCCTTTTAGCTTTTTACTAATCTCATTAAAAGACGGTTAATCTTACCCAGAATAGGACAGGTTTTTCTACATCATTGGCTTACTTTTCTGTGGATTATGACTTATATTAGATTAGCGATCATCTGTATTGTTTATTTAGGTTTTCTTTTTCGGGGTCGACGGTTGAATTTTGTTTTAGGCGGAGACATTTACTGGCAGTTTTTCTGTATTTTCAAAATGAATTTCGAACAAAGGCTTAAAAAACGTTCATTTATTACTGCCCCCAAAAGTGTGTGTTACCATCTCGTTATTTTGTTTATATAATGTGTTGAGTGAACCCATAAGGTAATTTAATTTCCATATTATTCTTATTATTTTTACGCTTACGAACACATTAAATGATATATATTAAAATAAATTATGCAACTAAATGAGCATCAACTGCAGTTTTGAAACGAAAAACCAACAAAGTTCGAAACAATAAGTTAAAAGTGAACTCAGTGAAATGCTAGTTCGGGCTCAATTTACGAGCTCTGGAATCGTATTGTGTGCCTCGAGTTCAGCAGGAGCGCCAATCCGGCGGAGAAGACGAGGGGCAGCATCATCCACTTGGCAACAGGTGAGTCGGCCCCGTTGCACAGATCCTTGGTGCAGGAGCAGTAGATGGCGGCCACATCGTGGGTTCCCGAGCGTCTCACACACTTGCTGTCGGTGTGTTCGTCTGGTATATATCCGCAGCCACGCACGATCCGGGTCTTCCCGTAAACTATCAAGGATATTAGTTTAGTTCAAGTAACTAACTATCAAGGTAACTGTTTTTTAAACTCACTCTTTTGAACGGTTTTGCGGCAAAGGGTGGGCTTGTACTTGTCCTTCAGGTGCTCCAAGGGCTCCTGTTTGCTGCAGTTCACCTCGCCAATGGAGTACGGTTCGAAGGGATCGCCGCAGCGGGGATCGAACTCGCTATTGCAGTCATAGCACATCAGGGCAGTGGTCACTGGAAAGGCAAAGGGAAAACTAAGAATTAGTACCAATGAAAATGAAAAAATAGCTCATAACTCAAATCATAATCAAATTATTACAGTGCGATTGAGCTATATCTAGATTAATCATAAAACTAAACCTTTAGTGGGTGTTATTGGCTTATCTATTGTATAATCTATTAGTTTTTAACACTATTCATGATTGAGTGGGCTTACAAATTGGCTTAAACAGACACATTTTGCCATTTTCATTATTGATGTTGCCATTTCTTTGAAAGCTTGATTTTGTATGCAGCTCAAATTGGATAAACTAAGATTAAATTTGGCTATTTTAGTATTCTCTTATGATGAATGTGTCTTTGTTAGTGGGTTACGGATTTGTAAAAATTAAATTTCAATTTATTCCGCCTTTTAAGTGATTTTTATTGCCTCTTTAAAATACAGAGCCGGTTTTTTTTTAAAAGATGAACTACTTAAGAAGTGAACTTTCGATTGTAAGTAATAATGAAATCTTTAGGTCACAAAATAAAATCCACTAAAATCATAGATCTAGAAATCATAAAGCCAAAAAGTAGTTAAACAAAACTGTGTTAAAAGCCAATATTTCCGTAACGTAAAGCTTTTAATGATGTACAAAAGTAATCCCTAAGGTCCGTGCCCTTTAAAAATGTTTCGGTGCAGCACGACGGCCACTTTCTCCGATCCCTGGCATTATGGCATTCTATATAGTGTATTTATATAAAGCCAAATGTCAGGGTTTGGTAGTGCGTCAGTGTATGTGCGTCTGTGCACATACATATACATATACATATACATACGTGTAACTGTGTGTGAGTGTGTTTGTTTTTGCATTGCATAAACTTTGGGGCTTTGGCTTACCTTGTATGCAGCAGAGCACGCCTAACAACAACAACGTCTTCTCCATGAATGGCGACATTTTGTATGTATTTGGGTTTATTGGAATTAATTATTTATGCTATGCTTGTTATTTTTATTTTTTTATGTATCCACGCTTCTTTGCCCGGCGGCTGGAGCAACAATTTGTTTGCTGGCTCAACGGATTTCGCTTTCGTTGGAATTGTTTTGCGAACTGATTCGATGCTAAATTAGCATGTTAGCCTGAAAGTGACGACAGATTATAGTGTGGTAAGCACCATTTTAAAACAAATGTATTTTCGTTGCCTGATAACCCGTGGACCCGTTGCCCGATAACCCGTGGACGATTAGCGAATGTCTTGTATATAATGCCACTGCAAAGGAAAGTGAAAATCGCAGTGGCAAAAATAAATCCAAAAGGGAAGACGAGGAAGAAGACAAGGAAAAGGGGCGAAAACACAAAGTGGGACGCAGAAAATAAAATACAAAAAAAAAACAAAGCCAAATGCAGTTGTTGGGGGCGGTGAAGAGGCGGTGAAAGGGACAGCAAAGCGACGGCGCAATGCAACTAAAGTGAACTCTCTTTCTCTCTCTTTTGTACCCCCTCTCTCAATCACTCCGATGACGTGCGCCCTCTAGCGACCCAATTAGTGAGCTTGTGGATCTCATTCCCAAGTGGAACCCATTCGAATGACGAGCTTCTTGGCCTTTTTTTTGTTGTTTTTTTCCAATTTTTAGCCGTGTTTTTTGTTTTTGCATTTCTTGTCTTGGGATCGACTGTCCATTTAATTGGATTGCAATGATTGCTCAAACGCAGCCCAAGCACCACCCCGTTTTTTGTACCCTGTCCACCAGCCAATTGATTTTTACAGCCAACACTGCCTGTTTTTTGTGGATGGTGGGTAATTGCTAACGGTTCTCGGTAGCTAGGTAACAAATTACCAATACGTATGTACCGCCTTCTACAAAACACCATTCCCCAGCCTGCTTTTCCCGCACCCTGGGGCTTTTAATAGTTTTGCCATCGTTTGCGATTTGTGGCCAAGTGGTTTCGATAGGCCAAGCCGCACTCCCCTTGCCCACCCCCTCTTCGATTGACGGTTCAATCTATTTTCCTTTTTTTACATTTGTCAAGCGAAAAGGCTTTGTTGGGCTTTGCTTACGGGATTGTCTTCAAATCTGATTAAATTGTTTCAAGTGGGGCTAAGAGCTATGTGGGTGGACTTCATGTATTTTTTTACTAGCATTGGAAAATCCTTAAATAATAATTAAAAGGAATATTTATGAGATTTACTACTTTAAAACTTGCTTTAAAATAAAAACAAATATTTAAATGATTTTGGATATTGGAAATCTTAAGTTATTATTGTCACCTTTCCATAAAGCCTTTTTCAGGATTCTTTTCTTATAGAGAACATTTTCCTTCGTAAGCCTTTTATAACATAATTTTGTGACAGAATGTCTGCTCCAGTTTTGAGGACATTTCAAAAACTGTTGACTAAACATAAAAATTTGATTTTTTTCACCTGCTTCCCAACTTTATAAAAAACTTTCTGGATTATCAAGATTTCTTCTAGCAAAGACTTAAAACTTTAATAATGAAAAACAGTTTGTTCCTACTTACCCTTTAGCTTAGAAATATAGAAATAAGTAACATAAATACATTTGATACTAATAAAATCATGCTCTTTACAAAATTTTGTAATTTGTATTGAAAAAAAGTATGCTCCTCTGATGAAGTTTAAAACATATTCACTTTCTCATGTAAACAGTTAAGATATTAAACTGAAGAAACCAAAGAAATATTTAAAAAAGCAGGGAATCTAAATAAGTGAATACACCAACCTATGAAACTTGTAAATTATTTACTTAAATCACCCATCGGAACTCCCTTTACCTAGAATACCTAAATTTAAATATTAAACACAGCCTAATCGACTCTACATGACTCATTTGTCGACCCCTGCTTTGACTTCACTTTGAATTTAAATAACCAATTTCCTGGTCACTCAAGTAATTACATTGTCAACCCATTTCCGGGACTGCCTGCAGTTCTATTGGCCACTTCGGTCTTAGACTAACCACAGCCCCACAGCCCCGTTGGCAACCCTTTGTGGCACGTAATCGGGAAAAGTGCAATGCACTGAAGCCATAGATTCTAGAGCACTGCAGTTGGGCCCACTCCAAAAATTGTGCCCAGACCCCAAGGAATGAGTTGAGGAAAAAAACAAAAAAAAAACAACAAAGTGGGCAGACAGATCAGAGTAAGAAATATTACGCATACGCCTCGTTGTAGGCAACAAAATTTGGGTTTCTGGCACACAAACACAGGTATCGGTATTCCCTACGTGCCAATGTATGTAAGATGGCTAAAAACCGAGCGAATGAAAAGCCAATCAATATGGTAGTCAAGGGGCCGTTGTCATGTCGGCCACTCAATTTCAACGAAATGGGTCTTCTTGTTGTTGCTGCTGTTGGCTTGGTCAACTGACAGGCTGAACAGGAAGAGTTCGAATCGACAGGATATATAACTATATATATAATAGGGGGTGGCTTGATTGAGTGGGCCCATTTCGTGTTAGTTTCCCATCAGCATTTGATGTTCAGTTAGTTGCATTTTGCAGGACATGCAACACCCTGCCTCTTCCACTTGGAAAATTCAATAACTGACCCAGTTCAGTTCCCAGTTTTAGCCCACTTCTCCTCTTGCACACCACCCCTCCTCATCACACATATATATTTTTTTTTGTTATCAACTGTCTCCGTCTTTTGGCATTTCCTGCGGGAAATGTTTTGAGTTGCCTTCCTGCCAACGGGCCTTTCTTCAAGCTCTGGTTCTTTTTGTTGTTATGTAATAGCCCAGACAATTGGCAGAAGCACGAGTCTGGCATATCGATTTAGCCATTAAAAAAGAAAAGAACGAACAAAAAATTGAGCAGAACAAGTGGCATGGGAAAGTCACTCAGGTGGCACAGGCAAAAATTATCTTGGGTTGGGTCTGCACTTTTGTTGTGTAATACCGTCGAAGACCTCGAGGATTAAAGGATAACTTGGTCTTCTAAGCGAAAGCTTATGAACTTGGCCAACAGTTAATTAGCCACTTTAAGGTTAGGTATACTCGTTCCAGTTTAGTTTAAGTTTCTTTTAATATTATTTAAGTCATATTTTTAGTCCATTTGGTTTCCAAACCATTTGCAGTTTCAACTTGTTTTGTAATCACTTATGCACTCCGTTTCTCCTTTATTTTGAGAAGTCACTTTTCACTTTTACTTCGGCAGTTATATAATACCATACCCCCCACGAATATTTGCAATAGTTTTCCACAAAGTTTTCCTTTCGATACAATTTTCTTTTATTTATTTACGTAAGAGTGGAGACATTCGGAATTTCCCTGGCTCTCGAACTATTTCAAGCTGATGACACCAAAGTGGAAATGAAAGGCCCCCGAAATGAAAAGCGAAAAGAAAAGCGGATGCCAGGGAAAAGGGCTCAGAGAGGGCGGGTGCGGAGGGGGCTGAAAAAGGTGGGAAAACGGGGTAGTTTGCGGGTGAACGGGGTGGATAGTTGTGGGTGAAGGGTTCTCGGGGGTGGGCTGATTTAAGTGCGATTTCAGTGCAAATTCTCTCGCAAGGACGAAGCACAAAGTCAAAGCGACCGAGAGAAACAGAGAAAGAGAAAGGCACAGACTGAGACTTAGAGAGAGAGAGAGATCGATAGCGAGAGCCAGTTACCCTCAGAATGAGAAAGAGAGGGGTGGACTTCAATAGAAAGAGAGGGGGCGCGAGCGCCCTTTTGAGAAACCAAGCGAAAAAAGTTAAATCGATAGCGAACCGCGCCACTGAAGCGGGATTATCTAACACGGCTTTATCGTCCGATTTCCCAAGAAACGCGAATTTTCGCCACTTTTCACTCGACTTGATTTTTAGGCTACCTTTTTTTCAGTCGCCAACACAATCGAATTCGGACTCACAATGGTCGATATTATGGGCCAAGGGTTTCCTTATTATATTTTGTGGACTTTGATGCGGTCACGCGACGCGATGCAACCCCAAACACGGTGAAATTCTTTCTGAGAGCTCCGTCAAATCCGCAGCTGTCCGCAGGCCGCTTCTCTGGCGGCCGGCGAGATTCCCCGAATCGTGTTCTCTATTGAGAAGAGGTCCTCGAGAGAGAGAGTCTGCGCAGTGAACACCCTGACAATCCTCACATTTTATACAAGCACAGTGGGTCAAGAAATCCATTACATTTTGAAATTGGAACATTATTTTTTAACTTGGCATAAAAACATACATTACTAAATTTAAAATGCATTTTTCAAATAGAGCGTGCTTAATTAAAATGTTGAATAACGTAAAAAAAAAACTGTAAAATGGGAGATACCGAAAAGAGCAAATCGTAATTTTTATTCCTTTTTCATTGATTTTAATTTTGATTTCCGTTTTCCTTTTTTAAGGTAAAGGGTACTTCCCCTTAACCAATATTTTTGAATTTCATAAGTGCTCGTCAATGAGATACTTTAGTTTTAGCTGCTATTTTCTATGCCTGAAATAGAAAAATCAACCCAAATTAATTTAACAAAATGTATTTGAAGAAATATAACACCCAGTGCTATGACCTATTCATATTTAAACTAACTATATAAGGCCTAACCTTAATATACACAAACATTTCTTATTAAAAACAATACCCTGATAAAAACCCTTATTTTTTATATGCTTCTAAAACCCTTTTCTTCAGCTCTTGATGGCTGCCATTATTTCTGTCCAAAAGGCCTGAACTTCAGGATCCTGCATTAGAATTCGTTTTTTAGCATTCAACACCATGTTGAGTATGTCGGCGTTTTTGCAACGATCCCGGCTTACAGATTTGCCATCTGCCGCCTCCGGAGAAAAGCCCTCCGGTTCCTGGTCATCCAAGAGAGTCGATTCCGCCGCCGGACTGCCAAGTTGTCCAACTAAATAATAATCATTATTTATTAAAATTCATTCAAAAACATTATTAACCCACCTTTCTTGCACTTTGTTGCTTCTGTTTTAGGTTTTTCTGTGCGTTTTTGATAGGGTTTTCGGGGTTTTGAAACATCCTTTGCCTTGCTGCGTTTCGGGTTTGGATCATTTGGTAATAATTCCGGACTCTCAATGGGATTATCCACATCCTGCTGCAGGCGCCGCTTGACGTGCAAGTTCAAGCGTTCCTTAATGTTCTGCTGCTCCAGTTTTACCTGTATATTCGGGGATTCTGCCATGTTTTTGCGTTTTTAAAACGAAAACAATTTCCAAAACAGTAGACCAATGTGACCCCTCTGTAAACATTGGAAAAATGTAATATAGACGAAATGCAGTTTATCCACTGACTCGTATTTAATAATATAATTTTTTAGACTTTAACTGCTTTTATCTACATATTTTATTTTCAAATGTCATAAATAATCTGCAGAGGGATTATGGTTGAATGGGAAATTATTTAATAAGAAAAGCAATGTTGATTCACAGCTATAGCAGATATATCGTTATCGATATTAGTAGTAGTGTGAACATTTCAGTTAGCCCACTTTTGGTTCGAGTCCTTACTAGTCCACAGTTGAGCTGGAAACCCAGGGTTGCATTCAAACAATAGGCTAAATTTGGTATTTTTCATCGCCGCCATGTTGGATTTCGCACAACAGTTAAAAGCAGCAATCGAGAAGTCACCTCGCACCGTTGAAAAATCAAGAAATAACGCCGTTAAAGTGCCCCCAACCGACGGAAAACATATGAAAAGTGTGAACCAATAGACAATCCAGCGATAAATTATTAATTGAGCGTTGAGCGAGCGCGAAAAGTACGCGAAATCGACGTTTTTGCAAACGTTCGCAATACGCGTCGCCATTGGTGTGCGTGTGTGTGTGTGAGTGAGCGAGGGAGTATTGGTGGGAGCGTCTGTGTGCTTGTGTGTGTGTGCGAGCTAGCGGCCTCTATGAAAAGCAACGACAACAACGCCAGCACAGGACCCACAACAACAACAACATCAGGGAAATTGTTTTAATTTCCATATAATGAGTGTCGCTGCAATGACTATGGACGATCAAAGACCCTTGATGAACAGTTACGATAAAATGCCCCCGACCAAATACGAGCAAAATCTAAATATCCTAAACAGCAGCCAAAATAGTGGTGGCAGCGGCGGCCCCGCCTCTCCAACGCCCTCGGGCCTAGAGGATGCAACGTCGTCGTCGCACCATCATCATCATCACCATCCGCATCCGCACCATCATCATCATCAGGAGCAGCAACATTTACAACAGCAGCAGCAACAACAACAGCAGCAGCAGCAGCAACAACAACATGCAGCAGCTGTTGCAGAGGCTGTTGCAGCCGCCGAACAGCGACAACGCTTGCTCGAAGGTATTTTGCACATTTTGGTACACTGCTATCTGATCAGAGATCTTTCTGATCTATATAATACCCCCTATATACATACATACTCGTTTTAAACAAACAAAAAAAAAGTGTCAACTCTGTGTAAATTGTATAAACAAAATGAGAAGAAAACAAGCGAACCTAGTTATTTAGTTTATTTATCTCCCCACTCCATTTGGGTTTTTTGTGCCATTTGAATTTGTTTATGAAAAACACTCGGAAAAGAACTCAACGTATACATTAATATGTGAATCGAATCGAAGCGAACACTCTTTTCTAACGAACATTCTTTAAACGGCGTTTTGGTTAAGTTTTAAGTTATTTTTTTATACATCACCTCAGAAAATATCCTATAAGTGAAAGTGTTATTAAAACGGACATCAAATAAGAAAATTAATATATCATAATACCTCAAAAAGAACTAAGAAAATGGGCAATAAAAGCCTCAAAATATCATGAAGTGCCTATCAAGTGTTGTGCAAAAGAACTATTAAATAATCATTAATCTTTAAAATAATAAATCATAAGAAGATAAGGTTTCTATAAACAAACAAAAAAAAGCTACGGCTTTCCATGAAAATAAATACAAATAAAAATAGCTAATGCTTCTTAATACACATTTTACATAATCTTTAATACAAAAGAAACTCGGGTTTCCAATTTTATAAAGAAAATTAAATTACTTAAAGAATCTAAAGCGAAGATTTCCAATTCTTCGTTTTTTCGCTCTTTCGTCGTCTTCGCGGTGTACAGTTTTCGTTTTGCGACCACTTTTCGTTTGCCTACGTGCCAGAAGAGGAAGCAGTTGAAGGAGGGGAAGAAGTGGAGAGGTGGAGAGAAGAAGAAGAGAGCCAACGTGTCTGCGCCCCTGCCCTGCCCCTAGCCCCATCTCTTTCTCACTCTCTCTATGCCCCCTCACACTCTTTCTTGCCGAGCTTAAAACAAAATACCAAAGAAAATAAAGAAGTAAATAAGTGACAGTGCATAACCAAAGAGAAAATAAATTTAAATTATTTTTCTGTTACAATTGTGGTGTAAAAAGTGAATTCCAAAAACATTGCCTCGTGTGTTAAATACAAAAATAAATATATTTAATAAAAGGCGCCAAAAAGTCGCAGACATGTGCGTGCGTGTGTGTTTTTGCAACTGATAAGATTATTAAATTGATTTATGAGCTCTTAATTGGCGCCAATCAATCAATTTACTGCAATGTGGGGCAACACACACGTACACACATATGTTTTGCCTCAATAAAATATTATTAATACATAAATAATCACTCGCTGAATAAATACAAATACAAAATAAAATACGTGTTTGCACAACAAATACAAAATAAAAAAGAAGAAAGAAAAAATGCAAAGTCAATAAACTTTTTGTATGACAAAAGAGTGTTCGAAAATGCCGCAAAAAAGAGAAGGGGAAAAGCTTTTCAAATCCATACATATAAATACATATGTATATACGGAAAAAAGCTTTCTAGAGCCCATTGTGTGTGCGCCGAGTTTTTTGCAAGTGTTTTTCAAAAATATTTTCAGTTTTGCCACAAAAAAATGTATATCAATATCAGTCGTCGTTGTTTGTTTCCCACAGTGTATGCAACTTCGAAAATGCCGCGAAGATTCAAATTCAATCAAGTTCGCCAATCAAGTTCGATGCAAATGCCAATGCAAATGCAAATCCTAAAGCGAAAGCAAGAAATCAAAATGAAAATAATGGCAGGTGTGGTTGTTCAAGTGCCAGAGATAATGCCAGAGATAACGAAGAAATCGAAATCGAAACCTATATCGAGATCGTGTTCAAGTTCAAGTGGTTGTGACCCTCGCATCGAATCAAAATCAATATCAATATCATTATCAGCCAGAGATTGACGACGGGATGCGGCCAATTCCACCGACCATGTCACGAACTTACACGAATGATTGCAACGCATTGGTATGATTTCGTATTAAGTTCCACCTAAAAACAAAACACTTTGCCTTGCCCAATTAAGAACTTGTAAAATATCTTCATATCTATATATATATATATATAGTACAATATTGTAATGTTTCGTGCAATACAAAAACAGAGTGGCTCTCTAAGCTTGGAATCTTCCCTTTCTAGACTCTATTAGCTAATCTTATCCTTCGTTTCGCAGATGAGATCGAGAATCTCAAGCTGGAACAAGTCCGCATGGGCCAGCAATGCGCAGATGCCCAGCGACGCGAGAAGATTCTCATGCGACGGCTGGCCAACAAGGAACAGGAATTCCAGGACTATGTGGTAAGTAAAACTTTGATTTATCGTCAGACCCGGAATGCTAATGGTTGTACAATCCTATTCAGAGCCAAATTGCCGAGTACAAAGCCCAGCAGGCGCCAACTGCCTTGGCCTTGCGCACTGCCCTCCTTGATCCTGCGGTCAATCTCTTGTTCGAACGGCTCAAGAAGGAACTGAAAGCCACCAAGGCCAAGCTGGAGGAGACCCAGAATGAGCTATCCGCTTGGAAGTTTACTCCGGACTCCAATACGGGAAAGCGCCTGATGGCCAAGTGCCGACTGCTTTATCAGGAGAACGAAGAGCTAGGCAAGATGACCTCCAACGGCAGACTGGCCAAGCTGGAGACCGAACTGGCCATGCAAAAGAGCTTCAGCGAAGAGGTCAAGAAATCGCAGTCGGGTAAGTTTAAAGAATCAAAGCTTAGTACACACTTTACTCTTCTAATAATACCATTACCAATATGAACTCCTCAACTTACAGAACTGGATGACTTTTTGCAAGAACTGGACGAGGATGTGGAGGGCATGCAGAGCACCATTCTGTTTCTGCAGCAAGAACTGAAAACCACTCGTGATCGCATACAAACGCTGGAAAAGGAAAACGCTCAGCTGAAGCAGGTTACCAAGGATGAGGTTGTGGCACCGGCGGCAGCCACCAATGGTGGCACCATCAACAAGACAATAGGCAAACTGGAGACTATCGATGAAAATGAATGCCTGGCGAATAACCCATCGAATCTTGACTGTTATAATGGCAATACTAACAACGATCAGATCGTGGCCGTGCCACAGATACCACCAGTAGATGATAGCAATAGCAACGGGAATGCAGCGCGATTAGCCCGCAAGCGAAACTATCAAGAGGAGGAAACACCGCCTACGGTGGTGGTGATGGTGCCCACGCCAACTCCCACGCCAGTTGCAAATATCGTCCAGGAAGCGCCGCCAATTAGGGAAGTTACCGCCCCACGCACTCTTCCGCCCAAAAAGTCCAAGCTGCGAGGCTTAACCACGCGACGCAACTCGCAACTGGAGGAGGAACATCAACCCGTGACGACACCAGTAGCCATGCCACTGATCCTGGATAACGCTGTGGCCGGAATGGCCAGTGAGGAGGCCGCTGCCGCTGCTGCAGCAATAAGCAACAACACCGCAGAAACGGGTGTGGTAGTGGGAGCTCCGATGGAGGCCAGCGATCCAGCTGCTCCGGTGGCACCTGCTCGCATCCTGACCCGACGTCGATCCGTCCGCATGCAGCAGAATGGAAGCGGACCCGTTGACTACTCAACTTAAGCGCTGGCGGACCTTTTTTACAAAAAAAGGATGCACTCCTTATGATTTCGTCATATTGATCGTTAATTTCCGACGTTTACTTTTGTGAATTGAGATTTCAAAACAGAGAGAGACTTCATTTTTATAATTTTAACCTATCATATTAGATTCTTTTATTTTTTTACACAATGTCTTGTAAAATACGTTTATTATTTTGTTTGCATGCAGAATAGGCATACATAATACGCGAATTAATCAGAAGTCACTGCTATACATACGAGATACATTATGTAGAACTGTGTAACACTTCAACACATATATTTACAAAAAGAAATATGATCGAGCTAAACGATTACCTATTTATGTTTGTTTAAAATCACGGCAACTACTGAAGAGCTGAGAAAAGTAACTTTGACAAAACAAAACTCGTCATTTAGCTAAATTAGATTTTAATTATGAACTTAAGGCAATTTTGTAATACGATGAAAGTTGTGTAAAATAATATAAACTTGTGTTAAAATAAATTGTTAAGCATAACAAAGATTTCAAATACCTGAAGTTTATTTACATTCACCTTAAAGAAAACAAACGTTTTGATTTTCGAAATTATTTTGTGTTTATTATCAGTTTCTTCTTTTAGCACATTAGACAAATGGTTTTTTTTATTTGTATTTGATTGAATTCGAAATATGTTTATGTATGTAGTACAATTGTGGCTGCCAGCGAGTGTGTCTTGTTTCGTTTGTTTTGTTTGTGAGGAGAGTTTAAATTTGAGATCGGGCTTAATGTCCTGGTGAAGAGCCATGCAAGCTTGGTAGGTATAGTTTGATATTTGCTTTACCGTACAGTATTCAATCGGAATGTACAATGTACAAAATGAATTGGGGTAATGAAACAACCTGCGAGAGGGGGGTTAACATAGATATCCCGGTTAGTCGCATCTAAAACGGCGCTTATGAGTTCAATATTAAATAGTTAATAACAAATTCTAGGCAGTTCGAATGGCACAAGTTGATTACACTACCATGGGGGACACATGTGGGGGGCTAAAGCTTAGCAAGTTCTGTTCCGAATCGGAGGAGAGATCCATCCTCTCGGATGAGAGTTTTTCTTTGTCTAGATGTACGATAGTTTTTGTTCGGTTTTAGTTTTTGTCATGGTAAATTTCAACTAGTCAATGTTTAAGTGTAGTATTTATTATTAATAATTTAGTCACTAGATGCTGTTGCTTTTACTCAATCGTCTCCGACCTCGGCTCAGTTCTGTGGCTCGTATCAAGTAGTTAGTAATAAAAAGTATTTCTCATATATATGTAGGTACTTGTGGGTAATGCTAGGTATCGTCATCATCATTATCATAAGTGTATATAAAAACAATGCCTTAAGATCGGTTTTCTTTTTTCTTATTACTTTTTTGCTTGTTATTTTGGTTTCGGTTTCTGTTTAGTGGCTTACATCATCTTTTTAACGAATGTCTATAAAAGTATGTAGTTTCTCCAAGGCTCCGAGGCTGAACATTCGGTTAGTTTTTTGTTTGGGCTAAGCTAAGCAAATATACAAAAGCTACTTAAATTAGTTAGCATGTACTGTACCGGGCGTACTCGTAGGTATATATCGTAATATCGTATGTGTGTGTGTGTGTGTGTGTGTGTTTGTATGTGTGTATATATATAATTAAATGGTTCCATTATTCGCCTTTACCGATAGGTTTCTTGATCCGTTCTTTAAACATAAACTCGTAGCTAGGTGTTACTTACAAATGTGGCCTTCTTAGATTAGGATTAACACTCAAACACGCACCCAATCATCCACGCACTCACTCACTCAATCACTCACTCACACACATAACCATGGGCAGTAGTCGGCATTTGGTACAGTGTGTGCCATAAGTTTTGTCGCCTGGATGACGGCGCTCTGCATTCAGCTTACTTGAAGGTTGCAAGTCATTTAAGGCCGTTGTTGGAATTTTTCAGTTATATAATATATATATATATATATATGCAATAAATATATGTTTGTCCTGTCTATTGGAAGGTCTACAATAAGCCCAGCCCCTTCGTCCGTCATAGGCGGCACACACTGTCCGCTTTCACTGTCTCCGATCCGAATGTCGTCGTAACGAAATCGGATACGGATACGGATACAGATACTCGTATTTAGCTACTTAACAACTAATTTGGAAAAGTTTCTCTAGGTGACCAAAAATATTGAACTGCGCTCAAGCGTTAGAGTAAAAAATTTCCCACCTCCTGGATTGCCCTTTCGTCGTATATAATACAAAAACATATTGCCTACATCTAAGCTAAATCCATCGACCTCCGTTACAGCCAACGACTGAGTATGTGGCAGAGGAGCAGCAACCCCAGATTCGCGTACACGGAGCACGCCTTGCCGCACAGTTTGATGCCGCTTTCCTGAAAAGGGAAATAAGATTTTATTAAGTTGAAGGTTGGGAGAAAAGGAAAGCTAAAAGATACTTTCATGTAATCGATAATTGAAGAGTTATAGACTTAACGTCAATGGCTAATGAATACAAAATGAACTTCCTTATTATAGGTTAGCCTGAAGTTAATCAACCCCTCAAGTATAAATAGAATTTCAATAATAGATAAGTAGGACTTCAACCACCTCATTAAAGAAAATGCCTTTCATTAACTGACTTTCTTTACCCAAAAGCCGCAAGACCTCCCGAGCACCCCCAAGGACCCCGATGGACTTACATTCGCGTGCCGACTGATGCAGCTTTGGGGTCGCATCCGGTTGAACTCCCTTGCCTGCTTATAGCAGGCCAGCGATTCATTGACCGACAGATGGTAGTCGATCGGCTGCGGATTGACCGTGAGAACGACGGAGCCCTCCCTTGGACACATCTGGTCGATGACCAGCAGTATGAGGTTGCTGTAGGGGATAGGCAGGACGACAAATGGCCGCTCACATGCATGGGCTGTCATATTGTAGACAACGTTGTCCTTCTCCTTGTACAGTGTGTAAAGTTCGCGCTTCATGTCGCACGGCTTGAGCCTGGTGCGATGGAGTGTTAAATAGCGCAACCACTGGTCATCATCCTTCTTGCCATGCCCATTGCCGTTGCGGGAATGGTGCTCTGGATGCGGTTCCGGCGCCGGAGGCTCCGTGTCATTGGAATCGCCATACATGTCCGCATAATGACTGGACACTCCGGGCGCCCACTGCAACAGTTGCACAATATACCACAGCGCCGTATGCAGCAGCCATTTGCCCACGCGCAGCAGATGGAAAATAGGCTGGAAAATATCAGTCAATTAATATCGTTTTACATAGAACAGTTAAAGCACTAAAACTCAGCTACCTATTAGGATAAATTATAAAACGATAAAATTGGGATATGTTTAACATCATTTAGAGTTATAGAAGTTTGCCTGCAAACTAATTCATTACAAAACCAATCCTACCGAAAGGAGCATGCTGGAGGCATTGATATCGTTCTTGGACTCAAAGCACACCGCCTGGTAATCGTAGACGGTGACCTGTTTGTAGACATTCTCCTCCAGCAGACGCTTCATGATCCCTCCGTTCACCTCGCCGAAGAATCTACCCGTTTCGTGTACTCTCGTCGATATGACCACATAGCCATTGTTGTCCAGTATATAGCAGTCTTTGTCATCCACGGCACAGGCCTATTAACGTTAAAAGTATAAGGAATAAAGTTGTTTGTTTATGCTATAGCTTAACCCACATGACCGGTGATGTTGTGGAAGAGTTTGTAGAGCGCCGAGTGCTGAAACTGGAAGCCCACAACGGCCGCCGGCGCAGTCTTGCCGCCTTCATTGTGGAAAATGGCATGACTGGCGGTCACCAGGATCTCTGAGTTGCTCTCTGGAGGTGGATAATGAAATACAATCAATATCTTGCTCCTAAATTTAATGTACATCTCAACTTACCACCCGCATCGAAGGGCACGGAGTAGACGAAGCTCTCCTCCCGGACAAAATGTTGATCGACGGCGCGTTTATACCAAATCTCATCGATGGCCCTCGTGTTATTCTGACTGAAAGTTTCGCTGCATGTGGAATAAATATTAGCTTTAATCTTCAATCAAAGAATATCCAGGGGCATCCCAGACTCACCCGACTCCAGATTCTTCGGCGGCATTCGAGTGGAACTCATGCCAGCGGGTGAGACCACTGTGGGTGGCCAAAAAGGCTACGGTGACACCAAAGCGCTGCTTAAATTCGTTTCTATACAAACAGATATATTAAGTTATAAGCACAGACAACATAATATTGCGAATAACAATAGATTTAGGACTTAGACTAGTTAATAGGACTGAGTATTGTTCATTGTTTACCTTGGCAGCAAACCCATTAGAACGGCTATTGGGCTTGATGCGCTTGTGCTAGAATTTGTGAATGGTTTTGGTATTTCATAATGGAGAGGCATTATGTTTTGTGGTATCAAGTTCAGGAGATATTCAAGATTCAATATATATATAGTAGAGTATAGTAGTATTAGAGTGGTGGGTGCAAAAATTCAATATGAGAAAGACAACGACAAGGACGACACAAAGAATCGGTATAAAATGCAAATAAAAGTGAGAAAAAGAAGGGCGTACACAGAAATAAAAAACGGTTAATATGTGCTGCATTTCCGGTGCGTTAACTCGAGTGCATGGCGTTGACTGTACTGAAGGTGTCTGACGAGTCAAGCCTAGCATTGCTAAAGAAACGTTCCCCCCAAAAGCCCCGATCCTTGCCACTTACCCCTTGTCATCCTTGGAATTAAAGCTGGTATTGTTGGAGAACCATCCGGTGACTCGGGCATCAAAGACCAGAGCCTGCATCAGCTGTCGATCGCCTGAAATTCAAATTTAAAGGATCAAAATATGGCCAACATGAGTTAGAATATGGTTAAGTAATGGTTGCAGTGGCATTACTAGCTCTAGTTAATTTTATTTAGTTTTATTCTGAAACCATTAGACAAAACACTTAGATTGATGTGAGCATAGTTATTAGATAATAATATAGATTTAACGACAAAGTCCTCTGTGACATGCAACGATTTGAGTGTGCAAATTCCGCAGCTAACTACATAAGAAACTACTAGCTAATCAAAATTATAATAAATTTTAGAATTTTCCATTTATAATTGTTAGAGCTAATGGGGGACTTTAACTGGCCCAATCAATTGGGTTTTTGCCAAGTTTATTAAAAGTTTCACACCTCCATTTGAACTTTAATTAAAGTGTTTTAACTGCTTTCTTTTGTTTAACACTTAAGATCAAATATAATAAAAAATTCTCCAAGACTTCACACCTTCTTTAGGCAAATTTCGAACTTAAGTTTTGAAGATGAGTTAGGATCAGACTACATTTATCGGCCATTTCCGCCGGATGTGCAGGTGCTTAGGTCGGAAATGAGAAAGGTGCTACTGAGTGCATGTGTTGGTTTTTCTTTTTTTTTATATTTTTGTTAATTGGTGAGTGCACAACTGTGACTGTGATGACTTTTTTTTTGATATTCGTTACTCACAATAGTAGCTTTCTTTTTCATTGATTGATGGATAACGGCCAGTTGATGAGTTGTTAGCTGTGAATTTGCATGAACATTGAAATCGCAATCGTAATTTTTCGCACATCGAACACAAAAACGCATAACAGAGTTCTGGGAAAAGCGGCGGCTTATCGAAGCGATCGATTTGAGTCGAGTATCGGAAATGTATGCTACCGGAAGTGTGTCTTTTTTTTGGGGGGTTTTATATACTTACAGAACATGGCCGCTGCGTGCTCCGGGGGCATTGCACTTCGACTTCCCGGCCATCGCCAGCCAGGCTCAGACATACGCTCGAGAAAGTACAGCAGTTCGATCTCTGGCGTTTTGAATGTCCTATTGCTGTGCTTGCAAAATAGCCTAGGATTATCCGAAATATGATTAGTCTGAATCTATATTATATGACTGAGAGCCTACCAATCGGGATGTATTTTCCATCGTTTGCCACTGAAGACGCTGCGTAAGTTTGTGCCCTTAATGCTTATCCGATGGATCTCCTGGTCAGCTCGTATGTCCATGTGACTCACGCCATATTGCTCTGGATAGGAAATCACCAGAGTAAATGGGGTCTTCTTGATGGCCGTCCAATAGTATTGTCGCTTTATGCGAGCCACCCGTTTCTATAAAGTAAAGTAAAGCCATTAATGTTCTTGTTATCATCTTCTTAGATCGTTTGGATCATAGATATATCCTAGATGTATATTATACTTAATATTTACCATTTCATCGAAATGATTTTTGACCAACATCCATTTGCTGCCTGTCGACTGATTGATTATAGAATCTCTTATCTACAAACAAGATATTTGAATATTTATCTAAGCTTTTAGTTTAGTTTATAGATTTAATACACACCGTCATCAGCACTGGATTAAAGTCTCTGGCGGGCCGATCGTCATCCAATAGCTCGACTTCAATCATGTCAACGCTATTGTATGAAGGCTTTAATATGTAGCCTTGGAACTGGAAGATAAAAGTCAAGGATTAACCTCGATAAAAGGATAAAAAGGGATAAAGATAACTTACAATTGGACGAAAGTCTGGATGGAATAGTACATAACCATTGTTGGTTACTATAAACGCATAGCCATTCACGCCAAGCTATAAGTAAATATATTTTATTAGAAATATTTCTAAGATTTTACTCAAGAAAAACAACTCACCGTAAACGGCGATAGCAGCTTTTTGATTTCATTGATGGGCACATCCGTGCCTGCCACGCCCAGTATATTCGCAATCCTTGTCTGTGCGTGAGAAGTTTTGAGATACATATATATTTAGAGGAATGTTGGGTAAAGTGAGTGGAAACGAAACATATACACAAGTTGGACTTTAAATTTTACAAGTACAGAGAATTGGTAGTTAATTTTTGGTTTTGCATGTTAATCAAATACTGAAAAATGAATTTGAAGTTTGAATTCGATAAATGGCATTGCTAGTACAAAACGCCTTAAGAGGCATCTCAAAGTAAAATACAAAGATGTAAATCAAAAACGTAAACAATGTCGAATGCAAATATGAGAAGCATCGTTACTACGCAAGAACTTACGAGTACAGTCAAGAAAGTCGATTTCAAAGATTTTATGTAAATATTATTACTTTTTTTTTTTTTGCATTTTGTTTTCTTGTATTGATGTTTACAAAGAATTTAGTTAAGCGTTTTTCTGTTTTTTATTTTTTAGCGGCTAATTACATGGCTAGCAGAGTAGTACTAAGAGCGTATGAGAGCGTTGAGTTTTAGTAGGCAGTGTTTAAACGAAACGTGTAACTAAAGTGTTAAGATCAAGGATTAAGGCAGTAGAAAACTGAAGAGATAGAGAGTGTAATTTACAATATTTTCTTGTTTTAAAGAAAAAGTGGGGTTTTGGGGGAGGTGGTGAACTTAAAAGTTTGTGGAAAAAGCTGTTTACACGTGTAGAGGGGCCTTCTGCGCGAAGGAAGTACAGTTGTGCGTGTTTGTTTGCGTTGTTGGTGTTTCGGTGTTTTTGCAGTGTATACATTTTCACAGTTTTTATACCCTTCACAAAAACATTTCGAGTGGTGGCAGTGTATCTACAAGATACCATAAGCCAGTGGAGTTATTAAGAGTTACAGAGAGAAGGACAGACAGGGTTTTCGATCTGCAGATCGTACAGTTTGGAGTGTCCATTCAGCGAAGCTTTACACACAGAGTTACAGAGACAGAGATAAGAGAGAAAGTGCCGGAGAGTTCTTAGTCTAGGATTGCAGAAATAAATCATTCGGGTTAGTACCAAGCACTTGATCGGACTGGCTAATAGAAAATAATCATGGCTGCGGGCGGGGATTTCGGTGGCATGGATATTAGGCATTACACAAAAAAGTAGGAAATCAAAAAATAAATTTTCATTTTGGTGCTCGAAAAATAAAATGAAGTGAAAATCAAAATGGCAACAAACAATTTCGATCAAGTCACGCATGCGGCTTAGACAAAATTAGAAAGTGACAAAATTTTAGGATGGGCATTTTTGCATTTTATTAGATTTTGCTGTTGTTTTTTTGGTTTGATTTGATTTGATTTAGAATACAATTTACTCACAACTTGAAGGTTTATTTTCGCAGCCGGATTTATATCGGTCGTTAGATTAATGAGCTGTGAATTCGTATTTGTAGTATTTAATAAATCAATCTCTAGTAACGAAAGCAACTTAAATAGGGTTATTCTAAGGGGGGGCGGGTGGAGCTGGAGGCGTGGTGGTGTCGGTGTCAGTGGGCGGGAAGCGCGGCGGGGTGCGTCCTATCCTGATCTGGGCCCCTACTATAAGATCCTGTCCAGCGGAAGGGTATAAAAACTCCAGCAGAATCGGAATCTCTCATTCAAGAGGTTTATATAAAGATGTGTCTTTGGGTTTATATTTATATATAGAAATTGATCTGTTGTGGTTTTGTTCTTGTGTGCTCTATAGGTCCTCAGCAGTAGCCTAGGTTTTCTCCGATTTTCTTTTGGTTGCATTTTGATTGTACTTACTAAACATCAATGGATTCTAACATTTATTCGTTAGGGGAGAGGTTGGGATATAATGTTTTAAAGTTTTTTTTTTTTTTTTTGAGAGGTTGGGACTACCAATTAGCACTATAAATATTATATATATTTATAAATATATAAGGACTAGTCGATCGCGGCTCAACCCAATCTTTCTTAGTTAAAACAACAAATGGAAAATTCTACTACTCAAAATGCTAGATAAAATGTTCTATTTATACGTTAAGTAATCAACTAGGCATAGCTATAATTCAATAATTGTTTATAATAATTATTATAGTAGTATTACGGATTACGGTTATATAAAGAAAATCATTATCTAGATATCGAATACGAATACTGTTACCAATTCGAAATTGATTTCGTTATTACATGAGAGAATACTTTTGGATTTGGTATCATTTTGTTTTTTCAATTTTGGGCGTTGAACCCAGTACGTGGTCAACTATAATGTCAAAAGGTTGCTAAAGAATGCCATGGTCCTAGACCATATTAGCTAGATTTATATACGAGTTATATAGTATTAGTTAGTTATAGTATATATCGGTTAAATATGGATTAGGTATGCATGTATGTAGCGCAAAGTATAACAAATCGTTTACTTTATTTTGATATATATATATGTATATAGATATATACGGATAATGTATATACGATTATATAGAGAGCTCAATACGATATATATGCAATTAATTGGCGTATATAAAACTTTCATCAAGAGCATTAAATACGTTAATACGCAAAAAGAATTTCGTTCGAAATTTATTATTAAGTTTGGATTTGGTTGTTATTTGTTAGAATTTGGCATTATAGTTTGTACCTCACGTGTTTGCAATTCCCAGAGTGCTTCATTTATTAAAACTTCTTCGGTGATATTCTGTGGTATAGTTGTGTATAGTTTGGTAGTAGTAGTAGTAGGTAGTTGTGTTTTATATATATAACGCATAAATTATTAATACAATAGTAGTAGTAATAGTAGTAGGTAGTATAAAGTGAGTTGTTACATAAGATATAGGTTCAGATTGGTTTGCTGTATTTCGATTTCTTGCTTCGATCGTTAATGAGTTTGGGGGCAAAATGAATTCGGCGCTGCTTTTCGGCGTCTGCTGATCTCTGATTTCTGATTTCAGTTTTCTTTCTTTCATTTTCCGCTAAGAATTTTGCAGTGCTAACTCGCTTGATAGAGTCTTTGATTCGATAGGTTTACCCCCGCGCCAGGGTATGCGATCGTTTTGTGGTCAATTTAACTTACCGCATTCTCGCGACGATCGTAGATGGGCATCGATACGGTGGTCATAAACTGGTACACATTCGAGTCCACAGGCTGGTTCCAGGTCTGTGAAAGAAGATTTGATATATGTTCTTAATATAATTCTATATAAAATTGGATTAGTTAGGATATTTGAGAAACCTTGTTGCTGAAATGTTAACTTATTACCCCTAGGAACTAGATATCGTGAGACCCAAGCTCACCTCTTTCATCCGCCTGTATTTCCGGCGGTGCATTTCGTTGGGCTCCAGCATCTGGTCGTGCACCTGCCAATACTCCAAGACGTCGGCCTTCTGGTACTCGCACTGGTTGATGTCCCACAGATAGTCGGAGAGTTTAGTGTCCTAAGCACATAAGATGGGTATTTTATGGGAAAAAGACATTGCTAACCGAATAGTATATATAGAGAGAGGGGGAACTTTGGGGGGCGAATAAAGATTGGCACCCCCCATTGTTTTTTTTTTTTTTTTTTTGGAGGGGGCACTACCCACCTCGACGTCCGCATAGACCTGGGACCAAATCACCGGATGATCGTGCCTGCCCAAGACGAGCGGCCTGGCCATAACCGGTATGTAATTCAAGACCATCTCGCGCACCTCAGCGGTATCGCTGAGATGGACATAGTAGCCCTGATTCTCGCACGCCATCCACCGTATATCATCCCAATTGGCCACCTCCTTGCCAATCAGGTAGGTGAACACACGGACCGGCTTGTACGGCGGGTCCCGCCAATTGTGCAACTCGAAGACCTCGCGATTGTTCTCCGGCGCCCCATCGCCAATGATCATGATCGCCTGATTGCACTGCGCCCCGCGCGAACTCAACTTGGTCTCTTCTAATATCTCGAATGCCCTTGTCAATGCAGCGGTATAATTGGCGATCGATTTGGGTTTAAACGATTCAATCCCTTCTTTCAGTTCACGTATGTTGCCCAGATTCGCCTGGATGAATGTTGGTTGTTGTTTTTTTTTGTTTTGTTTTTTGTTTTTGATGTGTTTTTTTTTTGTTTTGTTTTTGGTTGTGAAGTTAATCGGTTAAGTGTTAATCGGTTGTTGCATCAATTGGGTATGTCGGTGGTTTTCGGTTGTTTTTTTTTGGTTAGGGATAGACAGAAATCAAATATAAGTTAAATCAAGAGAAAGTTTGGTAAATAAAACAGAATTTGATATATACTTGAATCAGTGTGTCGTCGAAACATGGGACGACTGCGTGCACTTCCTTATCAAAGGTGAAGATGTTCACAAAGTCATTTGTACCTAATGTATCGAGTATGGTATTGACAACATGCTTTGCGATATCTAGCCTCTGTCCCCACATTGAACCGGATCCATCCAATAGGATAACAATATCCTTAGGACTCGTCGCCGCCTCCATGTACCAGGAACGTAAACGGCAATCGTATAGATCAACCGGTACGTCCTTTCGCCACTTCGATGCAGGGAATTGACGCATAAAGCCAGTCGAACTGCCAAAGAATTGCCACGACAATGTCGGATCGTTTTTGTAATTGTCGCGGAATATCTGATCCAAATTCTCCGACCACTGAATTGCTTTAATCACATCCGGTGCTGTGTCATGTCAATTGTATATGTATTTGTTTTTTTTTTTTTTTTTTGTATATTGTAAGTCATGTCAAAAGAAAATGGGAAGAATTTTGTAAGAAACACGATTAGTTTTCCTCATCTGCTAGAGGTGCGCTTAAGTCTAGTTTTATTTTTAGTTTACGGGCTCTCGGGTTTAGTTTAGTTTAAGGTTTGTGTGTTCTGGTTGGCTCAAGTTGGGTGTTATACGGTTTTTGGCAAGCATTCCGCGTGTGTCGGCAGCATTCACTTTTTTTGTTTTTTGTTTTTTTAAACATTCCCTGGCGCAAAACACGAGCGCGACGTCAACGTGCACATTGTACCGCCAGCGGCCTCAGACGATCGCTTAAGTCGGAAGCGATGGTTCAAGGTCGTCGGTTCATTAGGTACAGTTGGTGTGCCGGGCGGTACAATGCACTGCTTGACCCGTGCACGCGTCCCTCGCACGCATTGACGCAAGCGGTTTGGAAATCGAAAAAAAAAAAAATATTAAAACAGCAGCGTACGGCATTTATATTATAATTTCTAGATTTCTAGATTATAATATAAAAGTTTATATGGCATACGAAAAAAAAAATATCAAGTTTTACGGTCAAGCGAGATAGCAAACAGCTATAGAGCGAGTGAGCGAGATAGATAGAGAGCGAGCGAGCTAGCTAGAGGCGATTTCAAGATTCTACTTTCTGGCAGCTAGACAGAGACGAAGAGTGTTACGTTAGTGGTTAGCTTGTGTTTGATCAAAAGCATTAAATACAACCCTGCTTGATCGATATTGCGGTATTTAAGAGTTATAATTTTTGAAAAGTTTTTAACAATTAAGTTAGAAAAAGAATTAATTTAATTTTAATCATGAAACAAACAATTTTCTTTTTAATCTTTAATGTAATTTCCCAAAATTTCCGTTTTTAAAACCGATTATCAACATAACCTCAAACTCGATCGGGTTGTTAGAAAAGGACAAGACACACACACAGGCGACAAATACAGTTACATTACGCAGAGCAAAAGAGAGAGAGAAATACATAGAGAGAGATAGGTGGAGAGCGGAGAGAAAAGATATACGGATTATAATGATCAGTATTCCAAACCTCGATCGAACACATTGACTGGCACATGGACCGAGCTGACACTGAAGTTGACCGGCGTGTTGTGGAATTCCGGACGTGGTTCCAGTACCACCACCTTCGGCTGGACATAGATCAGCGGTTCGCCAATGTCCTTATCCATATCCGGAGCCGGGGTGGGTATGGGTGGTACAGGATCGCCGGGCTCCAGCATCTCCTTGGCACTGTAGTAGGAGAACATCTTGTCCGCCATATCATTCTGATGCGACAGAGCCGTGTTCTCAGCCGTGTCCATAATTCGCTAAAGATTATAATATTTTTAGTTATCTTTTAGTTCGTTAATCAAAGAGCTACTCACCCTCACTGCACTGACTTTGAGGTCCATCATCATTTCGATTTCTTTGGCCATCGAATCGACGATGGAGGCGCCATTCCGCGAAACGACTTTCGCATCCTTGAAACTCTGTTAGAACACAAAAATAATGTCTTAACCAAGTGTTACAAGAGAAATGGGATTATTTCATTATTTTCCCAACCCATTGCCGTTCGAAAGCTACGTCAGTACACACATCATATGCGGAACCACCACCCCGTAAGTCCCGTTTAGAGGCCCCGGCGGACCCATCGGCAAACACATTTACATGCATATAGAAAATTATAAACAGTTGGCGCAAATGCGGCCATAACTCATGGGGCAGAAACATTTAATTTGTAAATCCAATTGGGCTGCCTAAAAATAAATTACCAGCTGTGCCGGACACCAAACTGACCTCATATGGGGAGATGGAGACCCAAAGGCGGCTAAGCATTGTGGTTCGCTGTCTTGGTGTCTATTTTGATACTCTTATGTCAATCATACCTAAACTTTCTCCTTGTTTTCATAGCAAATAGTAAAGTTTTAGAAAACAAAATAGATAAAATAAAAATACTTGTAAACTATTGTAAGCCGTTTCTAAAATAGTAAAAGAAGTAATGGTAACAAGAGTACTCTCCAAAGATTGACCTAGTAACCTATTGCTAACTGTTTCTGTAAGTTAAGGCAACTTTTCAGTTTCAAAAATCCTTGAAATATTTATTGTGACTTCTAACCTATCTTTCTTCACCAATAGTTAAGTACCACTTAACTATACTCATTTCAAGAGCATTGTAACATCGAACTACTGCCTCAGAGTTTACCATCTGGCTTCTGCTTTACATTTTTTATAATTGCCGCTCGGGCAGCCTTTAACCCAAATTCGGAGCCGAAGTCTCAGCCTCAGAGAGACGTCAACAAGGAGCGCACAAAAACAGAAAACCTAAAACACAGACACACACGCACACACACATACACAGCGGAAGGCAAGGGAAATGGAAAATGGGGATAACGGAGCGGCGGAAAAATCAATAAAATGCTGCTCGGTAGCTTACCTCTTGCACCTCCTTGCGCCTGGTGATGAAATCGCCCAGATGAAACAGTTCCATGCCCAATTTGTCGGCCCACGAATGAACGCTATATAGAAAATTATCACTATAGCTAGGAAAAGAAAAATCCGTAAAATCTCTTTGGCTTACAGATTGTAGTTGATTTTCTCGGCGGACTGGAGATTGACGCACGGTGTGAAACAGACCAAGACGGAGAGCAGGCCCAAGCAGAGGCGCCACCAGGCCAGGAGTCGTGACCAGGCCATGATGATTACCCCGGGTAATCCTTGGTTTCCTATGATCTACTAACTGCTGATGATGGTGGTCGATCCAGCGGGAGCGCGACATAAATACCAGGCGATGCTTTGCGTTGCGATTTTCTTAGCCTACTTTGCAGCTGCACTCACACACTCACAGGGACACACGCGCACCACCACGTTTGCACCACATATCCCGTTAGCTCGGTTTTGGCCACCTGCCCTGGCCATCCGGTAACATACCACGCGCGGCGTCACTGGTTCCCGTCAATAGATTTTCAATCTCACAAATCCTTTAATCACAAATCATTTTATAGCCTTAGGAATTTCACCGATATCTTTTCTTTCTTTTTTAATGAATTTTCCACAATTTTCTAGCGCGACCCAGCACTTTTCCGTGTATGTGTGTTGTTGGGCAGCGAAAACTTTTCTCTCTACACTGTCGTGGCCCGTTTTGACATTTCTTTGACGTTTCTGGGCCAGCTTAAAGCTCTCCAACTGCTTATCCCTTTGCCAAAAAGGGATAACCCTTGAGTTCCCCTACCGACCATTCGCTGCACTCTTCTGTGAGCTCAGTGCGCCTGCTCTGACATTTGGCGATTCTGCGCTTTGATGTTGTTTACCTCATTGCGAGTCCCACAGGTGTTTGTTTACCTGCCACGGCGCTTGCGTTTCGACTATGTTGACGTGCGTGTCCTTCCAGCTGGCCGAACATCTGTTGCTTCAGCTGGTGAAAGTTGACAGTTGGCTAATGAAGGAGCTTTCGCTTAGGAGAACTTTGCGCGGGAGTTGCTCAGATGCCGTTAGTCAAGGGAGGCATTTAAATTTAGTTGCGAAAAGGCTCGACAGAGGGCGATTTGGTTATGCGGGCATTCAGAAATGTGAATTATTTACTAAAATGAATTAAACACAAAAAAGGTTTAATTGTTTATTCTTATATGGCCGGAACTGCACTGCGGTGACAAAAAAAGGCGATGCAAAATCCGAGGGCATTTTGATCGCTCTGCCTAAAAAATAGCAGAATAAGAGATAAGAAAGCTAGAGCGGATCGAAAACTTATTAGCCAATGTCATTTAAAAGTTATCAAAAGGTGAGGGCATCAAAAGTTCATTAGCCAATGGCATATAAAAGTTATCAATTTTTGATTACTACTGCTTTGAATATTGTCTGCCTTAGTATTTATTAATCTCTAAAATTAACTTTCGAAAACAAATTTATATTTAACATCCTGTGATATGTCTATATAATCGAATGGCTTAATAAATAATTAATACAATTTTGAAATATTCAACAAACATAAGGACAACAAATCAAAAAGTTCCTCCAAAAAGGATTTATCCAAGAACTTCACCAATTTTAAATACCACAGCAGTGGTGTGCACAGGACCGTCAGTCCTTTATCGTAAAGCAAGGAAATAAACCTTAGTTCATAAAATCAAACACTAGGTGTCGCTTTAGTTTATCAATACTTTTTATTGGTATATCGTAAGGCTTACACGTTTCGCAAGATATGTGACCCCAGCTGACCCAGTCGAAGCACCACCCATGCCTAGTACTTGTACCCACCGGCACCACCGCCGCCGCCACCGCGTGCTCCAGGCTGGGGACCCTGTGGGTACGTGGCCTCACCCTCGTAGGTAACGTCCGCATGGTAACCCGTCTTCCAGTCGGCGGTATAGCGGACAATCTGGGTTCGTCCGTCGGGCATTTGGACGCGGTACTCACCGGTCACCACATCACCATCGCTGGACGCCTTGTGCGCATAGTCGTTGGCGGTCTCAGGGTCCTGGACAGCGTACTCAAAGTCGTACGGCATGCCGGGAACGTGAACGTGGTCCTAAATTGATAATAAAATGTTTTTATTAGAAATATTATGATGTCTCAAGATAAATGTAGTTAAAAATCTTGGTATAACTCATAATAATGTTATTTGTATGTTTGGCAAGCCAAACTGATCTTTGATCTTACACTTGTTAACGACTGATATCTGCGAGTCAACATTGTGTTGTGATTCATCAAATTTAAATAAAGATTGATCTTTGGAAAATCCATTACAATGGCATATTACCAACTGATCTTTGATCTTTTTTTAATGTCTGATGATAATGATAATGGCTTGTGAGGATTATGATATACTCACATCGGCTGGCTGACCGGGAATGTTGCGGGGAGTGCCGGGTGGTGCTGGTGGCCGTGGTCCGGGCGCAGCTGGTCTGCCAGGTTGGCTGGGCTTCTGTGGGTTTAAAAATGGAAAACTATAATAAAGCCTAAAGGAAATTTATGACTTAAAATACTACTCATCACAGAAAGCAAAAACGTTTAACTCCCCATTAATCGTCTTTGGAAATATCTTTCCGACTGAATTACAACTCGAACCTGAAAGAAAACTTGATTTGTTGAACTTCGCGTTATGGAAGTTCACCTGCATTGTGTTATTTTCGCAACGATCTGCCGTTTGGTTTGGGGATCTCGAAAGGTTAACTTCCAGTCATTTTGAACTGCCAAAGCCAAAGCCCTTCACCGATTCGAAATGTTGCCATCATTTTGGGCCGACATTCAGCAGCAGCATGACGTGGAGCATTTATTGAGTTGAGCCACAGCACTTCGGGTGATAAATGCGGCGACAAATCTCAGCTGCCGGAGTGAAGTTGGCTGCCTCTGCCAGTGGCAGTGCCATTGCAACTGCTCCCAGAATGATGGCCGTAATTAGTCCGTTGACTGGGATTCAATTTGAGGCGGTTTTGGCCGGGCCATATACGTAGCTTTCTACCGCCCCTCTACTTTCCCCTACCATATAGCCACATAGACAGATAATTCAGATTGCAGATATATACTCACAAATGGGGTCTTGGGTTCCGAATAATCGTAGCCGTTCTTGGTGGGCGGGAGGTATGCATTGGAGCCAGGGGCGATCTGGGCGTAGGCATAGGCACTGATGGCAGCGAGGGATAAGCTCTGTAAAATTACATTGAATTAAATTTAATTTAGTAAGTTAATCTACACTTGAAATATACTTTTGAAAGAGTTAAATATTTTCGTGTCTTTATAAAACAAACAAGTTATTTTTTCGCAGTGTAAGAAGCCTGGCACTTGGTGCGACATTATATCACTGACTTAAAGGTTAAATTAAGAGGGCGAACTGAAAAGTGAACGGTTGCAAATGGATGTAGAAGCGGCGATAAGATCGCGTCTGACATTCAGCCATAGAGCAGGTGCATCCAAAGTCGGAGCCATCGCCACCAATGGTGGTGGCAATTTATTTAGAACGTGCCCGAAAGGCGTTTGCTCATCGGCCCGCAAAAGGGCAGCAAATGGCGGAGGTTAGTTGGCGATCTGCCGCCGATTCCGCTCTTTAAACACGGCTAATTGACACATGCACCATGATGCACACACACACACACATGCTGCTGACGGCAGCTCGTCAACGCAGCCACATTGCAGATTGCAGCCATCCATCAGTTGGCTGACAGCCGCCGGTCAACCAGTTGCCATAACCACTTGGCCAGGCCAAGCCGCGGGGCTTCTGCCTGTCATCTAATGTCTCGTTTAGTGTTTTTTATTTTTATTCTCTTTTTTTGTTTTGCTTTTTTTTTACTGCTGCCAACTTTTCAATTTACATGCTGAAACGGATTGCGGAAATGCTGCGCTGGCACTAAATTACTCAGAGTCCGGGTATTCTATGCGGCGATGCTGTGGGGCATTGATCATTATTATCATTAGCATCCCAGGTGGGAACTGCTTTACATTGTTTGCTGATTAGTTGTGTGTGCATATTGCTTAATTGCGCATACGACGTGTTGGCCGAACGTGTAACTCCAGCCACATGGGAGACTATTTGGTCAAGGAAAGCGGGATTCCGCTTCGCACGAGGCTTTCCCATCGCAAAAACTCACTTGAATCTATAATCGCGATGAGGAATCTAATTTCACGTAAAAATCTAAATAAAGTTAATTATTTTTCCATGTACTTATTTTTAGAAATTTTTAATGAGTTTTTTTTTGAGATTTAAATTTAAATCCAGTTTACCTTCTTGGGTATCTTTTAAATAAATTTTTGCTTTAATTACTACTAAACATGATATACCATTAAGTTTAAATGCTTTTCATTTCATGGATTATGCATTCATGTAATAATATAAGTTGCTTTACTTATTTTTCCAGTTCACCTTCTCCGTTAATTTCTTTATATATATTACTATATCTTACACCAAATATCAGCTAGTTTTCCCTGCTTTATCATCGAGTATATCCCCTTTAACAACAAGTTAATTTTCATAAATCCAGTAAACCCCTTTCACAGCCATTATATTTCCCCTTAAATTTAATGATGCATATCAGGCAATTTCCAGCGTCATTTTATACATTTTGCTCACCCCTCAAATGGGCTTAAATTTAAATTAATTAACTTCGCTGAAGTTTCCGCAATTATCCCGTTGGGTGGTCCTAACCTTCAGGTTCTTCAAGTACAGACAGAAACTCACTAAAAAAAAGCTGGCCAATAAGCATGTCAACGGTAATTTTCCGTGTAAAACAAATGTAATTATCTCTAGCCGGCCCAGCAAATACGATAAAAAAAACAACTACGAGTTGACTTCAATAAAATAACGGCAAATAATTTGCGTGTTAATTAAATAAAAGAGCCAAAAGAGCCGCAAAATAAATTGCGGCAACCCGACGACAGTCGTAATTTAATGGACAAGAGGGGGAGGAGGAGGAGGAGGAGGAGGAGGAGTTGCCAAAAATTGCAGATTGCCAAGTTGCAACAAAAGATACAGACAAAAGATGGTAGAAGCGGAGGAATCGAGGCAACTGTCTGGCTTAAAGATTGAGACAATCAGGCAACGAATCTGTTGGATACTTAAGATAGCCACGGTGGGTTGAGTTAGATAAAGTAAGAGGTTGCAATTTTTAATCTTCAAGAAAGGAAAACTTAAAAAATAACTCTTAATATTTGTGGTAAGAAAACGAATATTAAATATTTTTACGTTATCAGAAGTATTTAAGTTTTAAGTTCCTTTTTTAATTAAAAACCGAAAAAAATAAACTTTTCAAAGGTTTCTTCCCACTTTTATGCCTGACAATATAGTTTTTTTTTGGCAGATTTCCAGTTAATAATTATCTTCTCTTCGCCTTGGATAGTTTTGCCTTGGCAACCGCCAGCATTGCATCTACCTGAAGTTTTATGTGGTCCAAGTTCTGTTCTCATTGTTGTTAAATGTACATTAGACTGAAGGTTTCCCTTCGGTTGCCATGGTTTGTGGATTTCCCATTTGCCATGGTTGGCAGCGGACCAGAGCCAGTGGCATTGATCTTGCCCCGAAATGGTGCTACCAAAATAGCACTCTATGATTAAGATTTTCATATTTGTTGTTTTGTTTTGTTTTTTTTTTTTTGTTTTCTTGCCAAGTGCCCGCACTTTTATTACTCATCGCACGCAGTGCCAAGAGGCACGAGCCGGCTCGCATTGAAGCATCATTAATCGTGCACAATCCAATAAATTAACAATTGTTTGCTTTGTCCGGCTTATTATTAAATGGCTATTATGCTACATGGCTGCTTCTGCTGCTGATGCTGCTGCTGGGGGGCTGAGTTGTTAATTACATCAACGGGCTCTTGGCTCTTGGCTAATAATTGAATTTGTTTTATTAAATCAACAAGTTTTGTTCGATCGCCGTCTCAACTCCATAATTAATCATTCAGAATAGAGAAGTCTAACTAAGGAAGTCTATAAAAATATGTTCAACTTTCAGACTTCAATCTTGAGACCACGCCCACTGGTCACTCCAAGTGATGGCCACCCAGAACACAAAGTGAATATAATTTCAAATTAATTACAGGTGGGCGTTAAGCAGTTAAGCAAAGTAAATTAAACATCAAAGAAGATATGGAATTGGCTTTTTGCCATTAAGTTTATAGGTCAAACCCACCTCCAGCTGAGCTTTGCATACTATAAATATTAATAATAATTGTGCAAATCTTCACATTTGTCGGCAGGAACTGACTCACACCGCTCCTCACATTAGATCACGACCCAGTTTACAGAGCTTACAGTTGCCGAATTACATCGATCCGCTTAGATGTATTTATTTATGACAATCGCCTTTTGAATGCGGCTTATGGCTATGGCTGTGGCTGTGGCTGTGGCTTAAATGGCAAACTCGAGTGTCTGGAGCTCAGTTGATTTATGGGCGGTTAGCATTTAATATGCCTAAGCCGATCGCATCGGATCGCAAATAGTTTATGTTTTTTGCAATAAAAATGTTTACGCCAAGATGTCTTCATAAAAATCTAGATGGACGGATGCTATTTTCTGCCATTGCATTTATTTTAATTAATTTAATTGGCCCCCCTGTCTTGGGAAAGGAGTTTAAATGTTGATTTGAGATCTCAGTTTACGAGTAAGCCATGGCGTTTTCGTTGGTTTGTTTGCAATGTTTGTGCCTGTGATTAAGACGTCATCGGGAATGGAGGCATATATGTATATATATCTAGATATATATGTTAGATTTTACAATAAAAGTTACGTCATTTTGGAACGGCGGCACCTTAGACAACTCCAGCAGCATTCTGCAACGCCCACACTTGGGTCTCGATGGGGTTTGGCTCTCGGGGGGGCTTCCTACTTATGGATGCCATGTTCTCTTAATTTATGGAATTTTTGCACATTTTTTTGTATAGTATCTCACCGCAGCTGCTTCCCAGCAATTACCAGAGTAACAACCGAAAAAAGTCCCCTACATAGATGTTAGATTAACATGCACTTGCAACACACGACACGACTCCGCGTCGCGACTCGTTCAGTAGAACAACAAACATTTGGTTGACCTTTTCATCGCCATCTCCATCTGCATCGCTCTGTTGCATGTTGCATGTTGCTGTGCTGTGCGGTTTTTTTTGTTTAGTTTTGCCTCTTTTCCCCCAGTTTTGGGGCATTGAAATGCAAATTTGGCAAAATAAAAGTTAATGGGCCAAGTGAATGGCAGGCGGCGGGCGAAGAGAGCTTTGCAATGGGAAATGACTTTTATTGCAGTTCGCCGCTTCAGTCTTTTGTTGCAACTTGCAGCTTGGAACTTGCAACTCGCAACCAGTCGATTTCAATCAACTCTTTTCGTTTCTTCTTCTTTTTTTTTTTTTTTCTTTTCCTTGTGCAATGGTTTCCCATTTTGTTCCCAGCTGTTTGCCAAAGAGTCACGTGCCCCGCTTGCTACAAGGACAATGCCAAAGATCAAAGGTTGGCCAGCTTGCCTCACGACTTTTGCCTCCTTGTGGTTGGGCTTACACCTGTGATAAGTCAATTTCTTTGGCTCTAAAATTTTCCTAACTATTGGCAGATCGTAAATTAATCAGACCCACTCATACACCACATTAACCCTGTTTAACCCGAATTATATAACACACACCTATATCAAGACACTGAAGCCGCCAGTCGCTGCATAAAGATATTAACCTTTCAAATAGCGAGAGAAAAAAACGAAGTATAAATTATATGTTACGTTCGAATACCTCAAGTAGTTGTTTATGGCCAGCTATGAATTTGCAAGTTATTCAGTTTCAGCTTCAATTACTTAAAATGTTATAAAAACTATGGAGGAGCTTCTTTTGGGGGATTATTTCATAAAAAACGGATTATTATTTGCTAATAGACATTGTTATTTATTATTTATTAAACTTATTATACACTACTATTTGACTAAGCAATGGTTTAGGTAGATATTTTATGATAAATTGATCATCTATTGAATAAATATTAAACTTAATAAGTTTAAAGTTCAGACTCTTTGAGTTTGTTCTTTAGTTTAGTGAATGAAAAGTTAAATATTTTTCTTATTTTTCTTTTAAAATTTTGTGAATCTAAAGTCTAAAAACTCCCCCGATTGTTCTGCAGCAGCCACAGCTACCGAAATTGGTTTCATGTGGCTGACATTATGGAAACTTCTTTTTGTTTATAAACCGAAAATTATTTCTTTGGCCATTTAAATGTTAACATTTTTTGGTGAAAAACCCCAGTGAACTAATTTTCCAATTGCCAGCTGTTGTGGACCCACAAAAATGCAGCCCCGAAACAGTGCAATTAAAAATTCCTCTCTCTCTCTCTCTCAAGGGAGCTGGAGGAGATGTGCCCCTTTATCCACATTGCGCATACGCCGCGTTGGACGCTTTGGTTTTGGTTGGGCAATTAGCGGATTCAGAGGCGGAGGCTGGGCTTTTGTAATCAGCTGAAATTTCGATTTAATTAGATTACCACACACACATACACACACATACAAAGGCGCAGATGGTTGGCTGGTTACCATTTCCCTTTGAGAGCTCCTCTTCCCCTCTCTTCTATAGAGATATCTGAGGCTGCCGCTGCCGCTGCCACTGCTGCACTTGCCGCTTGCTCAAGCGTCATTAATTTTTTGCTATTTGGGCTTTATTTTTTTTTTCTTGTTTTAGCCCGGCATTCAAGCCATTGCCAAAGACAATAAAAACCGCACAAAGATGCAGCAAATATCGGTGAAGCCGCAAAATTGCATACATCCAAGGCAGAAGAATGGGTCTGAGCGCCCGTCGTCGACCCCCGGGCTCAATTACCTAAGCACAGATCAGCTTTGAGGCAATGCCAATCGGCATCAAGCGAAATCTGCCAAATTATTTCAATTAAAATTGAATTTGTAATGCAAGAGGAGAGGGCTTTTGGGAGAAGATCGAAGGGGGAATACGCTTCTTAAAAGGAAACATTTTTGTTTTAAGAAACTAAATAAGTTTATGATTGATAAGTTAAGACTAAATGGGGGACTCATATAATATAATATAATATAATTTTATTCAAAAATGGAAAGGTTAAAGGATTTACATCTTTCTTTCTTTTTCGTGCCACCATTTTTTTTAATACTCAAAAAAAGTCGAAGACTCAAAGATAGCTTAAGACTTTCCCCAATATATATCAGTAGAGTTTCCCAACAGCCTGACATAATGCATATATCCTTCTGATTCACCCTCTGCCTATCCATCATTCATTGGGCAATCGCTTACACTCGAATTGTCAGCAGTCAAGCGGCGCGACGGCAAAGAGCCAATGAAAGGGTTTTTGGCCAGACATGCGATACATTGGCCATAATCAGGCGGCTCTAATCAGAGTCGAAGGCAGCATTGACCCGGGCACCGCATTCATAATTTCCAATTCGCTTCGGCCAAATTACAACAATTCAGCATTTGCAGAATGCAGAATGGAGAATGGAGAATGGAGAATTTCGAATGAAGAAGGCTTTTTGCCAGCTCATCATCATCAGCCAACGGACTCAAATATCAAACTGTGAATATTTTAGGTTTGTCATTTGAAATTCAAAAGCGTGCCTGAATGTGCAGCCGATGGTGGTGTGGCATTGGCTTCCTATTGCCACCAAACGTTTCTCGGATTCTTTGCCACCAGTTTCAGCAGAAAATTTCGCGTGCGAAAATGAGCAGCTGGGATCATCGGCATTAATATGCAGCAGCAGTTGGGCATCACTTGGATGATGTGGGTGGCTATATGGTTGTTTATTCCTGCAGGCGGGTAGGAGAACTGGTGAAATTAACATGTAAAACATGCTCGCCATGATGTTCTCAAAAGCCCGTGCACTCGACTGGCCAGCGGCCATTTGTCTATCGAGTGTCTGCCTTTCGTGGGCGGAAGTAGGAAGTTGGTCTCCTCGTTTTTTTTCTCTTTTTTTGGTTTTGGTTCGGGGGTCCTTGTCTGATGTTTTTTGGCCTCTGCCCAAGCCAAAACAAAAATGGCACACAGAAAAAGGAGAAAGAAAAGGCTTTGGGGAAACGGAATCGCTGGTGAAAAGTCAAAAAGTTACAAGCGGCAAATTACACGCGTCTGGCTGGAGTTCTACTCTCTGCTCTCTCAAACTCTATTTCTTTTCTACCGTCAGCTCTACCTTTTGCCAGTTATCTGCTTGGCAGACCAGACGTCCAGAGTGGGAGAACTGCATTGGGAGAAATTTGAAAGGAGTTGGCCAGAGAAAGTTCTGTAGGCGAATTAAGCTTCACTTTTCAGGAATTTCTTATGGATCTTTGTAATAGTTGCAGCAGCTATCATTATGACATCTTGACATAGTCATAAGAGATCGTATTCTTGTTTTATATACTATATACTTATATACTATACTTTAAAGTTCCTTAAAGTTCTTCCTAAACTTTTCTCTCTCTGTTTTAGAGCCTGGGCCGTGGGACTTTGGATGGATCCCAGACAGTGTGGTCTTATGTCTGGTCCTGCATTGCATCCAAGTGTCGCACCAACAATTTAACACGCCCCAGTTACAACAAAAAAGGAGCAGCCAGCGCGTCTGTTTCATTTTTGTTGCCTGCTTAAGGGCGTCGTCCCAAAACGCGATTCAAAATGCTTTAACAAAGGCGAACAAGTGAAAGTATCCATGGATTTTACAAGTGCGCAGTTGATTGCGGGTTAAGTTTGTGATAACTCAAAGGAACTTCTGCCTGGGAATGTTAATAATTTTGTAATTCTGATATAATAACTTTATAAATGTGAATGGGAATGGTCTCACTAGGGCTCTGACTGTATATAAAACATAATCCGGAATTTGAACGTTGGAAAAGTGTATTGTCTGGTAATTTACAGACAGTTGTAAAAATCTAAATTACTCTTCTAACTTAACAAACTCTTAGTTAGAAAAAAGGAGGAAAAAAGGTTTTTCCATATCCTTCAGATGTGTTCTCAACCTAAACGTTGCCTTAATGCGAGAAGGGGAAAAATTATTACCAACATGTGTACCCCCGCCTGCTAACCTTTTAGCCTTCTTGAGTCGAGTGTTTAGTTGGGAACAATCAAGGAATATTGCTTAGATTTGGGGCGTATTTTACGTGGCACTCGGCACGCACAGATGTTGCCAAATATTGTATCCGTATCCGAACTGAGGGAGTACATATATTAACCAGAGAGTCGGAGTGGGACACTTAAGTGTCTTTGATTATTTGCAATTTGTTCGATTCAGCGGGGTTCGGCTGTGTCCCCTTCGCCACTTGACTTTCATATTTGGATTTGGATTTGGCTTTGGATTCGAATTTGGCTTTGGCTTTGGCTTCGGATTATGATGATGATGCGAGTCTCTGTGGCAGACGTGTGGCAAGTTATGCAATCGTTTTCGTTGCCATTGACGGCAAGTGTTACAGAAAAGAAAAAAACGAAGAAGAAAGAAAACCAAATTGTTTGCCAGCCACTTGAAACTACCAGCCTTGATGGTTAGTTTCCTTCATTTTAGCCATATCATCAAATCCCATTTAAAGTTGGCCGAAAAAGCCGCAGCAGAAAAATTACATTGTAGCTGGAAAAGGACACTGAGTGACCACGAGCCGTTTCCTCCTGCCAGCGCTAAACAAATTTGACATATAACAAGCTTAACTTGTTGGCCTTTCCACAGAGTTTGGCTCTAGCCAAAGGACACGCCCGCCCGCAAAATCTCATATGATTTGTTTGGCCAACTGATTTATGTAGGCTTAGTTATTTTTTTTTTCTCTCTCTTAAAAATATTTACGGCCTTGTTTTATTTATTTAGAAATACTTACGAGCAAGACGAACGACTTGAAGGACATCATATTGTTAGAGTTGAGTTTTCGATTTAACGTTCAGACGATGGCAAAAATGTATCCACAACGCCGCTGGCTGAAGTTGAAATTGAATTAAATTTATTAGATTTCAGCTTTATATTTATATTTATATTGATATATGTTTTATATTTTTGTGATTATTGCACAGAGTTTAGTTGGCAATCCTTTTTTAGGCACTTTAGTTTATGATTTTTACAAAAAACTTTGACTCTTACTTTCACTTGGGCGGGATAGGAGGGGTTGTTTTAACGGAGGGTGGAAATCTCAACGAGGAGTTTATTTGCTAGGTGGTTTTAGTTTCTTTTTAAGTTTCCCAGACAACCGCACGAAGTACACGAACGTTTTGAATTAGGTTAGACAATGGAGATGCGCTTGCTTTTTATAATAAACGCTCGAGACGCTGGCAGCGACGTTGGCCGAGGCAGCGACGGAAGCGGCGGCGTTCGCGTTGCCAACTGCACCTAAAAGTAACGAAAACAGAAAAAAAAAGCGGTTTGAACAATTGAGGCAAGTCTGTGTAGCGCCTAACTTCTAGATCATCTGCCTCAGTAACTCGGCTTCACTCTCAGAATGGCCAAAAGAGAGCGGCGCTAGCTCGCTCCTAGCTTGGCGTTTTGGCCAAGTGTTGAGGTGGTGAAAAATGTTGCAGATCATCGTTGAGGCACGATCATTACGATGCTGTTGCTGTTGCTGTTGCTGCTGCTGCTGCTGATGATGATGATGGGTAGCACAAGATGATAAATGAATGGATTGTTAGACAATGATGAGGATGATGATGATGAAGACAGCTCTACGAGGCGGATGTATAACAACAAGAAGAGTTGGAGAGCCGCCTGCAACGCCCCGAATGACTTCATTAAATACTTGGCCATTAAATAGTTGGCCAAATTTGATATTTAAACAGTTTTTATGAAGTCTAAGCCCTCGGGCGCTGCAGTTGAAATCGAGACGAGATGAAAATGTCACTGGGAATGTCAGATGATAGGTTTCGTTTTTAGTTAGCCAAAGATACAGTCGCCCTTTCTGTATATATCTTTGAGTTTTATTTTTTTTTTTTTCTGATGTTTGCCTTTTGGGAAAGCAGCAGAACATAGAATAAGTTTGAAGTGAGAAGTACGTGATGCGGCTGCTTGGGGAAAATTGCACAAGCTGCACAAACGTGTTCATGTGGCGTCCCAATTTCCCGCTGCATCTCTTACCTCTCTGCCGAAAATGCAATCTATGACGTGAGGCTCATGCTAAGAGATTCGATGCCCCGAAAAACTTCTTATATCCATTGGCCATTGCACAAGGCTCGAAGACGTGTCGAGAGGGCTTTTGGAGCCACTTCCTCCTTGCCCTCTTACTCTTTCCTTCCTTCCGTCAGGCATCAAATCCCATAACCAATTAACCTTGAATGTATCATTCAGCTCTCTGTACGAGCCAAGATTAAATAACAATTAAAAGCAATCTATTTTCGATGACTGATTTCAGAGTTTCTTCACATTTTTATTGACCACTTGCGAGGTGCTGATGTGTGCGTGTCTGCCTTATTAAAATTAGATATTGAAATTGTTATGGGAAGAGATCAGACGAAAAATAGCTACACTTCCAAAGATCTCGTTGGGAAAGACAGTGATGGGAAAATCTTGCTGGCTTGAGTGTAGGTACTATTTGATGATTTTGTAATTTTTCAAGGTATTTTTTCCTTATTTAAAAAAACGATTTTGAGTTATGGTAGTGGGGTGTATTTAAGTTGATTTTTATTAGAGTTTTAGGGAGATATTTTTATAATGAAAGAAAGTGTAGAAGTGTAGAATCCATTTTAGATTTACAAAAGATTTCAACTGAAGATGGAAAGTAGGTAGTGGTAGTGGTAAAATGTGATTGCTAATCCCAGATACTCCTATAAATTATTAATTTAACTAAATTTATGCAATAATTTGCATAATATCTTTTCATGTTACTATCTGTTAAACGATGCTGTCTTATGTATCTACTAATTTTCATACATTTAAAACATGTTGTACCTTATTTCTTTATCTTTACCTATCTCTTTGAGCCATCCATTGAGTACCTTAACTCGGCATTCAAAACCTCAGCTCAGCTCTTCCATCACCGCTTACACCTGCTGGCATGTCCAATGACCGATGGACCGCTATGAAAAGTAATTGAACAACTTTTGGTTACTTTTAAGTTTTGATTTCCGTGACACTTGAGTTGCGGTCATGTGTGTGTGTATGTAAGAGACCCCCAAAACAGACACTTCTTCTTCACGTGGAGGCGAACGTACTGTCAAAATTGTCTTAACAACATAATACCCGCTAACGATTGGGGGCCAAATACGACGATTGGGATTCAAAATCCCTGTCCCACATTGAAATTTCTTTAAGCCAGGCTCTCGAAATCAAGTGCAGTTTGTGGTAGCTGCGATTACGAAAAGATTTCGTCTTAAAAAATGTAATTAGAGCAATGTGATGGGGCGAATTTTATATAATGGTTGCTAGTGCAAGTTGTGTGTGTATGTTGAAAATTCCCTCTTTTGATTCCGTTCAACAATACAACTTGACATCAATTGGGCAACTTTTGTTTCGTTGTCATTGCCTTGGCAGCTGTTGCCACCGCCACCGCCGATGCCGTTGCAGTTTTTCGTTTCTCTTAGTTTCAGTTTTCGATGATCATTTTTCAAAAACCGTCCAAAGTAATAAAGTTTTGCAAATTTCCCGCTTAATTCATCAAGTGGACACTTGAGAGCTCCAAGCGAAACGGAAGCAAAACTTAGTCAAACATTTCGTGGGCTTCAACGGCCATTTCTGTGTGTGTTTTTTCTAGTCAGCCAGCCCAGCTGTTGACATTTTAAAGTTTATTGAATTGTTGCAAGCCAGAAGAGGAGAAAAAGCAACAAAAAATTAACATTTAAAAGAACAGACTCAGATTCTGCAGCAGAAGCATTTAAGATGATTTTTCCTCGAATTTGTTTTACCCATTTCGTGCAACATTCAGGCGAATCACCTGTTGATGGTTGTTGCACGTTGTTGTTGCCGCTGATAGTGCTGCCTCTTCTGTAAAACCAAAAAATACATTCCAATCCCCCGGAAAGGCGCACCTTTTTCAAGCTAAAAATGAGTGAATTAGAATAGCCAACTATGTAATTGCCGCATTTTATTGCCACCAGCATTGGATGTTGCTGTTGCAGTTGCTGTTGCAGTTGCTGCCGCCATGGTTGGCATTGTTATTGTTGTCTCGACCATTGTTGCAACTTAACGTAATGTTTTTGTTGCCATTGCAGCTACTGTTGTTGCTGTGTTTGCCCGATGTTGGTGCTATGTTTTGGCAATTGTTGTTGCTGCCACCGCCGCTGTGGCCCTCTGAATTTGGTGTGAGAAGTGGTCGAAGACGCGGCGATCTTTGTTTTTCTTATTTTTGGTTTAAGACGGTCCAGACGGAATGATTTGCATTTTTTTCGGAGCGGAGGCGCGTTTTTTTAGCATTTGCTATTTATAGACTAAATGTCTTGGACTTCTGATGGAACAAATGGAGTTTCCGATAGACTGGCAGTGAAGGCGCATCAAATGTCGTTCGATTTGCTTGGCATTTCCCCTTGATGATCATATCTGTTATAAAGAAAAAAGTGAAGTTTGTTTTGAAAGAGTGACTTTAAGGCTACAACGTAAAGGTAAAATGTTGTTCTTTTCATAGAAATATCTAAAAAAAACCGCGTCGTCTCATTAAAAACTTATAGAGTAATGATCATTGCAAAGTTGCTAACGTCTCCTTTGATTGCCTTCATTATGGCCAACTCCTTTTGGCACTTCTTTCTGATTTGATTTGATCTCTCTTCTGCCGGAGTTTCCTGTTGATTGCTCTCATTATACCAGCGAGCAACTGTGATAAGTTTTTCCAGCGCTGCTGCTGCTGCTGCTGTAACAATCTTCGGGCTAAAGTCGAGCTTTCCCTGTCACTTGCCACACTTGCCACCATTTTTCTTAATGGAAATTTTCATGCTCTTGGCTTTCCTTTAGACAAATTAAGCGAATTTTTTCTCCGTTCACACCTTCTCCAACTTGTGCATCCTCATTGTCATCGTCATCTCCTGCACTTGCGTTCATTGCACCCCACAAAAAAAAAAAAAAACAGAAAGAAAAAATGGTAAAAGAATGAATTTGAGGCAGGCCAAGTGGAGGAAAAAGTTGTGGAAAACTTTGCACCTAACATAAATCAAATCTTGCCACCCGCCCTTCAGCCACGCCCTTTGGCACTCAGTGTGTGGGTGTGTGAGTGTGGCTGCATTTGCATATTCCAATTTTGCATTTAATCAATTTACACCCACCCTCCCACACACACACACAGAAAAACACTGGAAAATAGTAATCTGGGATGGCAACTCTGGCAGCTAGACAATTACCCACATTCCCTGACATCGCATCATTTATCCTTGTTAATTTTTATTTAGTCAGCTAAAGGGAAAAAATCCCTCAGCTTTTCCCCTCGCTCTGCCCTTTCATCAGCAGGGAGATCTTGAGCGATTGAGCCGTAACCTGCGTTGACTTGTTTACGTGTTTTCTCTGAAGCACGGATACAAAAGCTCAGATACAGATACGGATTCTCTACCTCTCTCTCTCTGTGGGTGGCACCTGCAGTCCATTCGGCAGCAGGCAACCAACTGGCTGACTGCAACAGACGACCAACAAGTTGAGCGGAAGGAAGCGAAGGACAAAGGACAACACTGATTGAGACACATGTCCAACCAGGACTCCGGGCATTAACTTGAAGTCAATTAAATGCGCCCTGAATCGAGTTAATCAATTGATTGGATTCTCTAGAAGGTTTTTAATATATGACTTGCTAATGAAATGTGTTTAAACTTGTGTTTTCTTTGGTGATTAATCTTAGAAGGTTAAAGTAAACTTTAATTTTATGAAAGATAAAAAGATTATTAGTTTTTTTTAAGAAGAATAATGTTTACTTTATTGTAGTATAAAAAGTTCTACAAACTTTTCATAGGAAGCCTTTTAGTTAGTTAAGGCCGTTGTTCTAGTTTTAAAGATTTCTTCCAGATTTTAACTAAGATTTTTAATCCCTAAAGCTGTTTATCAAATTTTAAGCTACAAAATGAATTATTTTTCTAAGAATGCCTTTCATTTAATGCCTAAAATATTCTTCCCCAATAATAAATCTCCAAATACCTCTGAAATTAACGACTAAAACTCACCTCCCCCTCCCATGACCATTCTGAAAACTCCGCAAATCGCTTTGCCAAATTCCCATTGCCAAATTTTCACACATTTCGATCAGCGGCAGATAATTTCCTCCCGAATATATATCAAATACAGTGGGCGACAACATTTGGCCAAGTTTTGGCAGGGCATTAGCCACGCCCCTAAGTTGCTTATCAATTGCAATGTGAGCCCACCGAAGTTGGCTCCATAACTTGCCAAGGCAAAGAGAAAAAAAGCCCCGAGTTGAGGGCAAATCCAAGGCATTTAACTTGCAATGACAGAGTCCTCCCCATAGCCCCCAGGCAAGCGACTAATGGTCAAAACTTATCGTCAAACTTAAATGGGATTTTATTATCGTCGCCGAAAACTTCAACTTCGCTGCTCCTTTGCCATCTTGGCATTTTTTTTTTTGGCGGCTTCACATGCAGCCTGAGAATGGGCTTGGTCTCAGGGTTTTCTCGAGTTGCGAGGGCGTGGAGTATAATTTTTCTTTTAATTTTTTTTTTTTGCCACGCCTAATGCGCTGATTTATATATAATACCATAATTATAATGCACTTGGTTCTCATGGATTGCCCCACACACACACACAGCTGAATTCATACCACAAACTTTTGAGGTCAGGCCACATAAATCTTGTCAAAATTTTGCATTCTTTTCTATACTTTTGTTTTAATTAACTCGCGAATTGCTTAATTACCTAAGGAAAAAAAAAGAAACAAAAAAAAATTGCTCAGAGAACTCATAAGAAGTGCAGTGTGATGTCAGTGTGATGACTTGTGCATCTCTTGGCCCAGTCGAGTTGGCAATTAATGTCAATCAAGTTGGCTAGATACAAGTACCAACTTGGGCACACCATTCGGGCCATAAAAACTACCTTAGCTCAGAAGGAGAACGTAACGTAGTTCTGCCGACCTGAAAACAAATCATTTTCATACTTTTTAATGTCAAAACAATTAAACTATCGGAAATTAAAAAACCCAAAAAGATCATGTTCCAAATAGCTTATGTCACAGTGGCAACGAAAAGTGAATGCCACACCTCTTCGAAAAGACTTAATTAGAAATTCCTTTGTGGATTTTTTCTCAAAAACCTAATAAATTATTCAGCAGTTGGAATTTTTCCAATGAAATCAGAAATATTATTACGTTTTTCCGCTTCATGTGAAGACTTCTGGGGCTCACTGTTTTCGGGGTAGCCACTTAAATTAGTTAATGAGCTCTGCATGAGTTCGTCATGAAAAATCGCTAAACCTTAACAAACCAAAAACAAAAACAAACGCAAAAATGCAAAACTAAAAGCAAAAGCGAGCAGAACAAATACAGAGAATAATGCCAAAAGCAATTTAAAGGTGCGGAGTCGGAAAGTGGCTAACAACAAATTGGCCAACAGCGACAGAAACAAGCCAACAACAGAAGTAAGCGAAACTGAAATTTGTTTCTACAATTGTTGGCAACATTGAACTTTAAATGGTAGCAGAGCCAACCAACCACATGTGATTGCGATTCTCGATCTGTGGTATTTCTTTATATATTTCTGTATCTGCGATGACATCGAAACTGGAAGCCATTGGCCCGGACTCTCGGGCCAAGTACGTCACGCCAATGCTGATGATGATGGGGCATAAAAATCCATTCCATTGCGATCAATCGATCGATTTTCCAAGCAGCAAATTAATTAAACTACAATTTCTTGAGTACAAGCCATACAAATGGTCGAGAGCACCCCGCAGAAACACCTTGACCTTCATGGATGATAAATGGTTAGCGGATGGGCGAAGATGGCAAGAAGAAATTTTGCTACACTTTTAATTAAAGCCAAACAAGATTTTGGCCAGATCAAAAAATGGTCAGTACTCGTACCGCAAAAGTGCCTTGCACTTGGGGAAAAAAAAGTTGAATTATTAAAGATTTATTTAAATGGCCAACTCGACTTGGCCTGGCATTGTTAATTAGCCATTTATTAATGTAATAGAGTTGAGTTACTAAGCCATATATCATTTACAAAAAAAAGTCCATTTAACTTACATTTTAATTCATTTAAAAAGCCATAAAAAGAGGTCTTTCGAAGTTAAAAAAAAATCATAAATAAAAATGGTAATAAAAATGGATTCTACTCGGACTGTCATTAATTTAAAGATAAACAAGAAAAGCATTTTAATAATATATATTATTAGCGGAGACTTTCTAAACAGTTGCCAGCAGCTCAAGGACCATTTTCGAAAACTAATTTAAATGAGTTATTATTCTGAGTGTGGGAAACAAAAGCCAAAATCATAAAAGGCCATGCGGAAGCGAAAGGTCACCGGACAAGGCTTAAATAATTGCTCAGGCAGTGCGTTAAACGCACAATAACGAACATTTAAAAGTCAATTATGGAAGAAAAGGCTAAACGCTGGAGAGCGCATCTGCCAATTCAATATATTTCGAAGGTTTTGCCTCCACCAATTCAAGTCAATTCGATTAGATTCCGTCAGGCATACTCGTCTAGCTTAGGCACATATTACATATCACCGCAAGTTGCCTTGCTAGAAAAAGTTGTACAATTTGTCAGAGACCTCCGTTCACGCATGCTGTCAGTAATTTATTGATTTCACTTTATTGCACATCGTTTAAACACATTGGTTGGCATTGTTTTATCATTGCAATTGGCTCCTTAACTTTAAATACATTTTTCATGGGCCTAAACTAATTTGAGCTGTGCTCAAGTAACCATAAATGAGATGGAAATCACTTAATACCTATGATAGCATTTGAACAAGAATGGAAAATGCAGAATGTCATTATTTGGTATTTAGTTAAACAATAAACAATAAATGGCCATCATGGGGCGTATGTTCTGTGTACATTTTTTTCCTTTTGAATTTGCAAATCGGATTTAGAAGCTTGCAGTCTGTGCTAAGATGCTTATAGTTTGGATTTTATGCATTTTTGGCTGAAGAGAACAGAGTTTTATCTTAAAAAGAGTTAACAACTTAAGATTCTTATAATAAAAAAAACAAATTTTGATGAGTTTTATATCCTGGAAATATTCTTAAAATCGTCTTAGCATTAAAAATGAAGAGTTAAATACAAATTTGTTTCTTAGGGTGTTTAGAGAAGAAAAAGAATAGTTTTTTTGCTTGATCTTAGTTTAATCGGTGCTTGAGTTTGAGTTTTAGTTAGTATCTATGAAAAGTTTAAAGAGATTTATGTATCTAGTATCTAGTATATAGTATCAAAAACATTAATTTCTGACATTATTTTGGCTACTTAAACCTTTCGCATCACCTGCGAAACTCATTAGCCAAGCCAACAGAAAACCAAAAGGGTCAATAAGAAAGACTCATTTTACAAACAAATAGCCTTCAATTAACTGAAACTAATCAGCGAGTTATTGCACATTTATGTTTTTTGGGATAAAGACCTTAAACTTAAGTTAACTTAGATTGCACATTGAGCCATTAGATTTAGACCAGATTCAATGTTTTGAGCCGCCTTCGAAGCTGACATCCGCATGGAAGCCCGTGTCGTCGGCGTGGTAGATAACATTCTGGATCCTTCCGTCCGGCAAGAGGATATGGTATTGGCCGCGTGTCACGCCGTGCAGATCACGATTCTGCTTGTGGCCAAAATCGTTGCCGGTATGGAAATCACGTATGCGATAACCGAACGCATACTTTGAGGCATACTGCTGCAGCTGCAACGAAAATCCAAAGGGGCGGGTATGAGAGATTTGGGGGTGGTAAATAAGTTAGTTATATATTTGCGTAGATTGTTCAGTAAACCGATAAGTTGCATTCACCGAAAAAGGGGAGGCTACAATCGGTTTTCAGCGGCAACACTCCCTCTGCCCCGCCTCCAACCAATATGCACATTTCACACTGCTGCAGTTGGGGAATTCGTGCGCATGCTGAAAAGTATGCAATGCAAAATGCATTAAGCACACTGTCATGTACAGTAAAGACTGAACGCGACAACTGGAAGATGCGCTGTGACAACTGTAGCTTAAGTAACAGTGAATATATTTGAGAATTGCGTGATTGAAAGATTGTATACCCTGATTTTTTGGGATTTTGGGAAAGGAATGTAAGGACTTTTCTAGGGCAGTTGAGAAAGGGAAGTGTCATTTGTAAGGAAATGTTTTTGCTTATTTGAGTTGAATTATAAAAATTAACTGTTTATCTTACTATTATGTAACATATATTTAGCTTATGATTTTTCACAGTCGATAAGGTAAGGTAAGGTAAAATCAGAAATAAGTGACATAAAAAGGATAATCTCAAGCAAAGGAAAAGGAAATCCATAAAAAGTTATCAATTAAACTTCAAGGGTATTTGAAAAGCCGAACTCCCATCACTGAATACAGAATTGGGTCTTGGCTGATTTTAGGGAGTTGCAGGAGCTGCTGAAGACTGGGCTGTGGAAATCTGGAAATCTGTGAAAATGTTAAGGCTGGGGGACACGAGGTTGTCTGTCACTCGCACGGCTCGGTTTGTTATGCATGCGATTGTAAATTGTATCGTAATGAAATTTGCAACAATATACGAGACCAGTCCCCGATTCCCCGATCAAACCACCCGCCGCCTCTCAAAATCTGTGGCATTCTGTATGCAGCATAGCTGTCGTTTTGTTGCTGTGTCCTGAACAATTTTGGTTTTGCCTTTTTATTGTAAGAATTTCAGCATTTCAGCCAGATGAAAATAAAATAAGCAAGCAGCGGATATGTGTGTGTGTCTCGCTAGTGTCAGTGTGAGTGTGCGTTTCCGTTTCCGCTCATTCAAATGTTTTCGGAATCCCGACGACAATTGTGTTGGCGCAACTTTCGCTACATGTTTTGGGCTGCTTTTGCGGTTTTTATGGCCTCACCCAAGATTTGCGAGCCCGCGGGTGGTGGTGGGGCCGTTGCAAACTTTTTGATATGTTAATGAGTTGTAAATTAAGTTTAATTAAGTTACATTGTTGACTAGATTTAACTTACTGCCGGGAAATGTTATTCCTTGTGACAGAACAAAAGTTTTTCAGGCTTTAGAAAATATAAGTATATGTAGAGTAGAGAGCGTCCTGGCAGAAGTGTTTTCCTTTGATTGCAAGGCTCCTGATTGACATTTGTTTTACGGAGTTTTCCCCTAAGAAAAGCCTCGATTTGATTGTATTCTTTCGTCTTCTTCTCTATACTCGTACCGCCAACGCGATAAACATAATTAATAAATTCTCTGCTCCAGCAATTTGCCAACATTTGCACTCTCCTTCATCTCGTAAATGAAATGCAAAAAAATGTATTTCTGCCCTGGCAAGGGCTTCATTAGGAGCACGGCAAAAAATGTTAATAGATTTCTATATGACTGAGTGGCGAAGGGGGGGAAAAAAATGAAAGAAAGATAAACCACTACAACGGATGAGCATGCAAATTTGTGGATAGAGTCCAGACAAGATATAACATTGTACTGCCAGGCTTTGCAATTTGGAATTTCATTACAAGTTGGTTTGATTAAAAATGAACATAATTACAATGCAGATGAAACATGTCGACGGGGTGGGGAAGTATGAGTGGCTCGAAAAAACATAGATATATACATATAGAAACCAGCCAAGTGTGGAATCCGAATCAGATCACGTGCCATATTGAACTGGACCCTTTTTTCCGATGACGTGGCCAATTTTTTTTTGTTCGAGCCCCGTCTCATCATCAGATTGCGATGGATGGATAAATAGATAGATGGCTGGCCAAATATGACAAAAGTGCCTTTTTGTGTGAGCCAAGGGCCGAGAACCAAGTTTATTGCTGGATTGGATGGATGGACACTTTTTTGCATTTAACACGTTTCCATTGGCATTGGCTTTTAGCGAATTGTGCAGCGAAGTCGAGTGCAAAATGCAATTGCAGCCCAGAAATACGTGAGTTCGTTTAGTTGCGAGTGAGCGATCAGATGGCCAAACTATGTCCAAATTGAGATGCCAAGCAGCTCTAACTTTCTTTCATGGCGCAAAAGCAATAAGCCATGGCCAGCCAGCTCCATTGGTAATTTAATGCGCACTTTTGAAAGCCATCCCTTACCCACCCACTTCCTTTTTCTATTCCCTTCCTTTTTGGCCAAAAGGAAAATGCTTTGACATCGAACATCCAAGGCGTTGGCTGACTTTTATTTCTTTTAATTTGCATGTAATCAGCATTGTTTCCCCTCTTTGTGCCACCCTCTTTGGATTCCGTGGCTTTGTCATCTCATCTGCGCTCATTAAAATGTTTTTGCCTTTTGTTTGCCCTGCGGCATTGGCCTGGCCTTAACCTTACCCCTGCCACTGGCCCTTGTGGTTAACCCTTGCGGCCCACAGGGGGTACAGGATGTTCATTATCTGTGGGCGTGGCATGGAAATCATTGTGTGACTGGATTTCATTGTGATTTTCCACTTAATTCGATTTGTTGTTTGCCTGTCAGGTTTTTGCGGTCGAAACATCAAGAAAAGTTGACCAACCACAGACAATGATTATGCCCCCGGGCTGTTAGTGAAAAATAATAGCTGAGAAATGAGAGTAAATAAATAATAATTCAGAATGTTTACAGGAAAATCAAAGCCTAATTGTTTCGAAATAACAAGCTAAAGAGGTACTTGATTTGTTATGAAAAATTTCTAAGAAATATAATCCAAAGAGCTAACTTTCATATAACAATTTAGTTTAATACCTCAAGTTTAAAGTAACACCTCTGAGATAAATGATATGTAATTAAATTGGAAAGCAGACAACATTAGATTTTATGATATTAAATTTGCACATGACTCCAGCCTGGTGAGGACCCCAATTAATCTCGTTCTTAGCCATTCAAATCGTTGCGTTAGCTACCCTCTTCAATTAGCTCATGATTTGCACTCAGCCGGAAAGGATTCCGTATTCCCCTTTACCTTACCTCTCCCACAACAGTGCCATAACACTAATCCTTGTTGGGTAACTAAAGCCGTCCAGGATTCCCACTGCCACGCCTCCTTACAACCCATTCTATAGCCTCCCTATGGCCATGCCGATGACTGTGCCCCCAGTGTGTTGCGTTTATTATTCACACAATTCGTTTAAGCGCTGCAAACACCTCGTACCGAAGCCCGAAAACCTCAAGGGACACCAGGCAGAGATTGGGAGACTATGAGGCATGCTACGGATTGGGGGCAAGAGGATCAGCCGGAGCAGCCGTAGCAGGGAAATGTGGCAGTTGCAGCTGCATGCTCATTTAAAATTGAACAAGAGCTGGGACCGAGGATGGTCAGCAACCGAGTCGCTCCAAATCGCATTTAAATGGAAATAAATGTTGTGTCCAAACAATTTACAAAAACCAATTTTACAATGTAATGCGTTCGGAGCTGCTTCAATGCCATGTGCTGTGGGTGGGTTGGTGGATTGGTTCGCTGGTTGGTTGGTTGGTTGGGGGTTTGGGTGTTGTTGGGTTCTTTTGGGTCTTTTTGGCAGGATGAGAGTGTGAAAATCCTCCATCAAGTGGAACGTGTTCAACAGCGTTCGTCAGGCAAATGGATGTTCTGGGCTCGTTGATGCCACACGGCAGCCATTGACACAATTGCCACTGCCTTTCCGACGACGACGACGACGATGATGAAACTTTTTGGCCACGCAATTATGACCGCTGCAGCTCGAGATTCCAAAAAAGAGCATACAGGACGATGATTAGACCGGCGGACCTTGTACGAAAATTGTTGTATAATTTTCACGAGAGTGCCGGAAAATGGAGGGAAAAATTTTAAATGCATTCCAAAACCATCAGCCCACCAGTCCACCAGTCCAATGTACAGCACCCACAGTTTTTATGGCTCGCTTGTTAGCAATTTTCATTTTTCGAGCTGTGGCGTCTCTAACCAAAATTGAGTTATCAGTTTGTTGGCTCTGCTCTCCGGGCTGATTGCGTGACAGCTGCTGCTCCTGGAACTCCTGCTCCTAGACTACTATGCTCCTCATTCTCCTACGCTCCCTGTTAGTCGGGAGAATCGGACCGACCTGCTGGAGCGGCAGCTGAACAAAAAAAAAATCCATCTAACGAAATGGCAGAGCAGCAAGAAAAATGTCAAACTACGTGATTTTTATGCGAATGTGACTGTCAATACGTTGCAAACATCATTGGAATAGGAATAGGAATAGGAATAGGAATGGCAATAGCATGGTGCCTGGCCATATATATGTATAGTTCCTTTCCCCATCTCGGAGGGCTGGAATATTAGCCGTCCTTGGAGTTGCAGTTGGGTGGCTGTGGTTTATTATGGGTAGCGAATGAAGTGAAGCTAATTTAAAGTCAACCATCGGGTCAGATGTGCTGAGGCAGGCTAAGGGGATATCGACACCAATTTCGGTTGCCTTGTTTAAAAGGTTCTCTACCATTCACTTGCAAATTTTTCTTTAAAATGTAACAAACTGGGAATCCCATCAATTGCAGGACAAAGGCACTCCCAGCACATTAGCAACACATGCCAAGGGGGATTTTTTATGAGTGAGTGGGAGGAGTGAGGAGTTAAACTGGGAAAAGGAAAACCCTTTTTGTCGAGTGATTCGCAATGCGCCCTGAACCGAACTTATAAGCCCGAAACATATGTCGGAGGGCTCCATTAAATAAAACTTAAATCCCTGGCAACCTCTTTTCAACACTTGCAAAAATGTGTTGGCAACAAAACGAGAAAGATGGCCAAAGAAAACAGGCAACAGCAAAAGGGTTGAAATAAAAACGAAATTAAAATATGTGAGTGGCAACCAGAAAATATTGCACCTGCAGATGGCAAAAGAGCGCACAAACAAAGGCAAATAGAGTACAGTAGAAACTGGTTAACACGAATTAGCTACTTCTAATCGTTAAGACAAGAAGTTACTTAAGTTAAGTTTCTTAAATACTTAGCAATGTTTTTATGGGCAATCAACTAATTGTTCCCTTTTTTAGCCACAAATTTCAAACCAATTTAAGAAAAATCTCAAACCAAATTACCAAAGTTTGTTGAGGTTTGCTAACCACTTAATTATATGTAGAAGTTTCCATCTTGGCTAAGTTCATGTCATGGATATTTCCCTGTATAGGACTTGAGAGACTGAGTGACGACCATTACCGACCATTTCGACCACAATAAAATGACAAATGCCCGAAAAATCTGACCATGTTCGCACACGTTAGAAGGAGTGGCAGATGCCGTCAAACAAGTCCCATGACGACCATTGCAACGGCATGTTGGCCCAGCCACCACCTCTTGTTCTCCTGCTTCTGCACAATCCGCCCAAAAGCGGCCTAACCTCCACCTCCCACCTCCACCCAAAAGTTGAGCCTAACAAGTGTCGTTTGCCTGTCAGAGACGGGCGACGGATCGGACGGACCAGCAGAGAGAGAGAGAGAGAGGGGGATCAGGACCAAAAACCAGGAGCAGGACAATGTCTGGGCTTCCCTTTGGCTGGGGCCATCATGATGGTCATCATGGCCATCAGGCGGCGTTTTTGGGGTTTAACAACCAGACCAACCGACGTACCAACGGGCAATGGGGCTTAGTCCGATGACGACAAGTCTAACAACTTGGACAGGGACAAGGCAAAAGCCTATTAAAAATCATGCTAAACGGCAGTAAAACAATGTGTGTGTTCGTTCCAGCTTCCAGCTTCCAGTTTTGCCTGTCCTTGTTTACTGGAGATGCTCCAAGCTGCTCCATCTGCATCCTTGGCCACCCTTGGCTTAATGCGCATTAACGCCAAAGTCGAAGCTAGATATCCCCATTGCAATTTGGTGACGCCAATAAATAAAATGTAATCAGCTTTTCGTCTCAACCCTCCCTTTAGCCAACTTGGCGATTGAGAGTCAAATAAAAGTGCTTCTCGCAGCAAAACAAAATTTCAGCTCGAAAACAATTTTAAGTAGATTGTCAGTGTGGCAGTGGGGTGTGCCCATCTCGCCTGGCAAGTGCTCCTCTTGGCCTCTTTGTGGCAAATGCATTTTGTATACTTCACGTTAACACTCTACTCAAACGGAAAGCTTTTCAATGGCTTTCACTGTCCTATGAATTCTTTGGTTTATTTCTATCACTAAGGAAGAGTTTGTTGATGGAAAATTAGTTTATAATAAATGGAAGCTTTTCTAGTTAAGAGTTAACTTGACTTAAGGATACAAAATCACAAATCAGAAGCTTGGAAAATGATAGATCATTACAAATTCCGAAAAGGTTGACTACTGAGTTTTGGAAAAAACTTCTTTAAACGAAATTTTCAATCAAGTTTTCATTGAATTTCAAGTTTGATTTAAATTGTAACCAGCTAGCCCTAGCCATGTTCAGTATCATTTTATTTGTACGCCGGTAGAGAACAGATCGTTAGTTTTAAAAAAGTCCCCAGAAAAATTCTCCGTCTTTACCAATTTATTTGGTTGTCTTTCTAAACATTCGTTTCGGTTTTTTTTCCCGAGAAATTTGGAGTGTGGAACCAGACGGACTTGTTTTAAACGCCCTAAATTTGTAGTATTCCAGTTGTGTTCGCGGGGAATATTTTTCGAAACCCAAAAACCGATTTTCGAAGTATCAATTAAAAAAGAAATAATAATAAAACAATTAAGCCCACCAGCAATTGCCAGCCATGATGAATAAGCTACGTCAGTTCCACTGCTCGCTGAAAAGCGTGACTGTCCTGTGCAAGCCAAAGGTCCTGTCGAATGCCGGAGTGCGATTCTCATGCGGCGAGGGCAGGGCGATAACGAGGGGCGTGGTTGTTGGTCTATATCAGAAGGAGGGCGATAAGGATCCAAAACTGACGCCGGCGGGTCAGAAGATTGACCAGCGGGTTCATGGAAAGCTAATGAAGGTGATCTGCGAGACTAAGTTGGATGGACGATTGGGTCGCGGCAAGGTATTCAACAATATAGACACAGATTTCGCAGCCGTCGCAGTGGTGGGTGTGGGCCTGGAAGGGATTGGCTTTAACGAACTGGAAATGTTAGACGAGGGAATGGAGTTTGTTCGAGTGGCAGCCGGCGTGGGAGCAAGATCCTTGCAGCAGCAGGGAATAACGAATATTTTGGTAGACGGCATGGACTATGCTGAGCAAGCGGCTGAAGGTTCACAACTGGCCGTGTGGCGTTTCCCTGACAATCTGGCCAAGAAGAACATGCCAAATATTCCAACACTGGAGCTATTTGAGTCGCCGGATCAGGAGGGATGGACGCGTGGAATCTTCAAGGCGGAGGCTCAGAATCTAGCTAGGCGATTAAGTGATGCACCCGCCAATTGCATGACTCCCACTATGTTTGCCCAAGCCACTGTGGATGCTTTGTGTCCTTGTGGCATTACAGTGGAGGTTAGGACCATGGACTGGATTGAGGCCCAGAGGCTTAACGCCTTCTTGATGATCGCCAAGGGCAGTTGTGAACCGCCCGTTCTGCTCGAGCTGAGCTATTGCGGCACAGCGCCCGACGACAAGCCAATCCTGTTCGTGGGCAAGGGCATCACCTTTAACTCCGGTGCCCTCAACCTACGACCTTGCATCGGCATGGACGAATACCGTGGCAGCATGTCCGCTGCCGCCTGCTGCGTGGCCATGATGCGCTGCATTGCTGCCCTGTCCCTGCCCATCAATGTGACCTGCATCATCCCGCTGTGTGAGAATATGCCTTCCGGAATGAGTGCGAAGCCCGGCGATGTGGTGACCCTGCTCAATGGCAAATCGATGGCTGTGCGTGATCTGGACAAGGCCGGAGTGGTGGTCTTGTCGGATCCTCTGCTCTACGGACAGAAGACCTACCTGCCAAGGCTGGTCGTGGACATTGCCACCCTTAATACTGGTGTTAAGAAGGCTTTCGGTGGTGGCGCTACTGGTATCTGGTCCAATTCTCACTACATCTGGAAGCAGTTCCAGCGTGCCGGCTCCATTTCCGGTGACCGTGTGTGGCGTCTCCCACTGTGGCAGTACTACAGACGCCAGGTCACCGATGAGCGATCCTACGATCTAAGCAACGACGGACGAGGATTGGCCACTTCTTGCTTGGCTGCAGCCATCCTCCACGAACTGGTACCCTGTGTGGACTGGGCCCATCTGGACACCCGCGGCACAGGACTCATTTCAACGTACGGACTGGTGCCGTACCTCACAAAGAAACGCATGACCGGCAGACCTACCCGTACTCTTGTTCAGTTTGTTTACCAAATGGCCTGTCCGGAAATGAAGTGAAGCGGTTTCGTTGCCGTGTGATGAGTGATTGAAGGATTGACGTGTTTTGTTTTGATATTTTCAAGTAAATCAAAGATATTTTCGGCGTTAATTTGAGTGTTTATAACTTTGGGGTTTGAAGGGGGAGAAAGTGAAAAAAGGTAAGTCAAATTCAGTTCTCTTTAAAAAATGAGCTGTAAGATATTTATTCTCATTTCTCTAACCTATAATCTTTGTAAACTTCGCATTAAACTTGCAAATTTATTAATAAGAAACCCTGAAAAGATATCGAGAAATGCAAAAGTTGGGAAACAAATTGCTTCGATAAATTGAATACTCCGCCCATTCCCTTTTTTTAGTTTGGTTTTAATACTGGTATCCATGTCTTTGGTGTCCTTAAACTCGCTATTTTACCGGGTTTGTCCTCACCTGCTGTACTTTCTTTTCATTCACCCCCAACTCAGGTGTATCGTCTGGGGTGGCTGTGCATACACACACACACACAGACACACACTCTCTGCTCATTTCGCATTGCCAAGACACTTTTCGTGGCCTTTTGCCTGGCTCCGCACAAAGACGCACCATTGCCCGGGACCTTACTTTACCTTCTGGTTCGGCAAAGAAATACAGATAAATTAAATTCAGGAAACCCCAAGCTGCGCGAAAGTTTTTCCGCCAGTGAAAGAAAATGTTAATTCCGAGACGCATGTGGAGTGAAGTGCATTTTCCAGGCACACGCTTCAAGTGCTTGAGGTTGGCCAAATGAATATCTACCGTATCAGCTGCCATATATCTATATCAATTGGTCCAGACAACGCCCCAAAATGGCAGGCCAACACACGTACACTTAGGGAAAAGGTATATTAGATAAAGATAATACCTGGATTTAAGGTACTGAATGTAAAATAACGTCCTCATCTAATCTGACTAACTTATTTGCTTTATAAGATATGAGAAAAGGTTGCTAGATTTCAACCCTAAACTCATTGTAAGAATATATCACTTTTAATCCCAAAATTTGTCTTCTTTTCTCTCAGTGCACCTGCAGACTGCAGTCGAATGGATAGTACTATATAGTAATGAAAGACGAAGTCGTTTGCATTGCTTTTGTGGCTGTGTTGCCAGGTACCAGACGATAGATCGCAGGGAGGGGTTGGAGAGAGAGAGAGAGAGAGAGTGGCTGGGGGAGAGACTGGCTAACGACATTGAAAATGCTTGTCGAACTTGAAAATTATTCGATTAAGTGCATTACCGGCGAGACATGGATCGGCAATCAAACTGAATTGCACACAGAGCGGTAACTTGGGAGTAAGATGGGTCTAAAAGGTTGTGAGGAGGTGGAGGAGGTTGAGAAGGTTGAGGATGAGAAGGTACCTTGGGAAGTTCCTGCTGCAGGGGATTCCATTGTTGTGACTGCCGCAGTGTCGTGCAATGGAGTGTCTATCCGTCTGGCACCGTGTTTGTTTGTGGCCGCCCCACCAGCTCGTCTTATTTATGCTGATTGTGTTTTTGCCTATGCCAATCAATGGGGCACGCTTTTAGGAGAGCGCTAAGCCTTTTGTCGAGCGCCCCAAGGTATGCTTTAATTTAATGCATTCGGGGGGCTTACTCGGTAGTGTTACAGTGGAACTTCAGTAAGGTAAATAAGTACATAAAGGATGTTGTTGGATTTTATATGAGAAGAAGGGAAAGGTTTTTGGTTTAAACAATTCCTTAGATTTGTAGACTTTTCTCATTTTCATTTACAAATTTTGAAAGGACTCCTAAAACTTGAGCTATGTATAATGATAGAGGATTGTTTCTTAGTATTTGATTAGATTTTGTTATGTTATAGAAGTAATTTAATGGAATATTAGTTTAGTAATCTAAAACTAGTTAGAGTTAGACAGAGGCAATCCATCTAAGGGAACTTCCCCTGCAACCATCTCACTTTTAAAGGGTGATTAAATCTACAGCTCTTAAGACTCCAATCCCCACTCACCGACTTGTCCTCCTGGCTATTTACGAAATGCAGACCATTGACGCCCTTGTCAGCGTCCAGTTCCGCCGGCAGGACAGTGGCCACAAGTCCGTGGTGTTGCTGATGAACGTGCTGCTGGTGCTGACTTGGATACTGGACCTGATGATGCAACTGCGTGGCCACCGTCGGATGGTGCACCACATGCTCCACCGTGGTCACAGGTTCCTCTACATGGGAGACACCCTCATAACCATTGGATAGGCCATGACCGTGAGTGTAATCAATGTAGGAGCTCGGAGTGGGCAGCTTGGAGGCTTCGCTGGTGGCAGGCAGCTCCTTGACATCGTTGTTACCGGGCTCAATAATGGGCACATATTGCTTGGTCTTGGCCATGCCGATTAGACGACCTGGCTGGACACCCAGTGATCCATGATCCAAGAGGGTTTTCAGAGTGGGAGCAGGAGCGGAACCTTGTGCTGGGTGGAACAGAATCGGAGCTGTGCTATCCTGGGGGCGATCCACCAGCTGTTTGCCCTGCCTCTGCAACTTGGCCTGCATCTCTTTGGCCAGAAGATAGGTTAAGCCATGGATCTGATCATCTGGGGACTTGCCAATAAGTGTGGATAGCTGCTGGAACTCGGGCAGATCTTTGTAGTTATCCTTAAGGCTATCCGCCTGAGCATGGTACTCGATTTTAATCAAGGGAGACGCCTCTGGCTGAAGTTCATAGGCGTTGTAAGTTTCCTGGGGCTTTCCGTAGATGGCGGGAGCTTCGGACAGCAGAGGATCTGGTTTGGAAGGCCTGAATTGTGGCACAATCACATCCAGACTCTGGGTGGGCGGCGGTGCCAGCTCTGCGGTGTAGGTGTGGTGCACTTCCTCAACTGCAACTGTGGGAGCAGGCGCCTCTTGAACCACAATGGGTTGGGCTATTGTAGGAGCAGCTGCCACATAGCTGGGCTTGTAAACATAACGGAGTTGCTCGACCACAGGAACCGGTTGGATGTGCACTTGGACAGGAGCTGGAGCTACCGATGGTTCCACTGGTTTGTTGATGTACTTCATATAGTTACCCAGAGGCTTGGAGCCATAGGACAGGGGCTTAGCCTTGTAGTGTTCGTAATCGGATTTCTGGGCAGGAAGATACTTGATATACGCCTTGCCACCCATTCCATCTTTCATCAGCTGACCTATGACCTTCTGTACCTCATGTGGCAGTGTGCTCAACGACTTCTTAGTCTTCACATGTCCAGAAGTGTGAGGTGACTCCTTATAAACATACATGCGCTTGGTTTCCGCCGTGGCTTCACCAGTTAGGATATCATTGTCCTCCACCCGAGGTGAGGGTGTGGTCATCTGAGATGGCTGAGTCTTATTCCTTGCTGGGGTTTCCATGGTCAGGAGGGTCGGCACTGTTTCGCCTACCAACTGTTTTCCGGATCTTTGAGGCAAAGGCTTGGCATCCGCCAACTCAAACTTGAACATCTGCGGAGCTGAGCGCTTGGAGCGCTTCGTCTTGCGAATCCTCACCTGAAAGGGCTGCTTCCTAGCTGCTTGGGGCTTAATCTGGTGAATGTCGCCAGATCTGGTGGCCTGGCTTTGGAGATCCAGAGTGCGGGCCTTCTTGATCAGCTGAGCTGTGATGGGATCGGGTTCCCGTGCATCGGTTTCCTCAAAAGGTATCATCTTTACTTTAAAGTCAGCAGGCTGTTGGGATCCAATAACCGAACGTCGCTGACGACGAGGTTTTCGGGATTTACTCTTGGTGGCCTTGGTAGTGCTGATAGCTGGAGAAGGTGCCTGAGTGGTACTGACAGGACTCATAGGAGTTGGATTTTCCTTCAAGGCTCTGGCATGATATTGCCGAAGGATTTGCTTAAGTTCTGGACTCGGTTCCACGGCATCCGCCAGTTCAAAACGGAGCATTCTCGGGGCAGTGGGCAATTGGCGTTGCTCTCGCTTAATCCTGGGGTGGGAGTTGGTCAACTGTTTAGGAGGTGTCTGCTCCACCTTCTGCTCGTTGTACTGATTGAAGGCTGCCAGGTAGCTGTCGTCCGTGGGATTGTCAATGTGCCGCATGCTGCGCGAATTACGCTGATCAAAGTAACGTTGCATGTCCTGCAGGTAATTGGGTTTAAAATAAGATATTTTGTGGGATTTTGGTCTTTTAGTTTTAACCTCATATGTGGAGAAGGTTTCCAGGGAAGGCAATCGCTGCCAGGTTTCCGTGGCTTGGCCTAAGCTCAGGAAGGCTATCAGGATCAGTAACTAAATGGGGAGAGAAAAAAAGATTTTATAAAATAAATAATAATAATATTAAAGTAAATTTTAAGTAGAAGAGTTTCTTATTTTTCTTAATTCTTAATTTGAATGTTAAAAGAACAAACTTTAAGTCTAAAAAAGTCTAAATATCCAAATTTAAAAGTATTTAATCCTCGATCTGATCAATATTTATAGGTAATTTCTTTCATGGCCCGAACATAAACATAATTTACAACCATCTGCGAGGGTTGAACCAACTTTGGTTTACATATCCAGCCGCCCAGACCCATAAATAATCCGAGTATGTCCACCCGTCCACCTGCTTTTTGGTCGTCTGCCCACTTTCACTTTCCACCAAGCCGCATTTGGACGGAAGCTGCAACACCAACTGCAACTGGAACCTGACTTCAAGCTCAGCTCGATTCTCGGCTTGGATTTGGACTCTCTTAAAGATATAAAAAAAATAATGTAAAAAATAAACAAATAAAACGAGTTGAGCACGCGCTCTCCTCCTCGATCGGAGTCGGGTGTTTGCCTGGCCGCCACTTTCACGTCAACATGTTGAACTTGGCTTTTATGGCCATTAAACTCATCGATGTTCGGATTTCAATTGCTTTTCTTGCACTCTCGTTTTACGTAAGACCAATTATGGTATTCGAATTGGTTTTTCTTTTTTTTTTCTTTCTCATTCAGCCAGTGATGCAATGCTGCCAGCTGTATCATTAACTTACATTTCGCGATGGACTGCGATAAGAAAGTAAGGTATTTTAATGGCTTAGTGGCAGGAACTAAATTAAATCCAATTTTAGTGTCATAAGGCCAGGCTTAAGCCATATAAATGGCTAACCATTTTTTTTTTTGGACCTAAGCGACTTATCTGACAGCCCTTTAACTAAGCCCATCGAGCTAAATCCAAATGAACTGTCAACGGTCGTTAAAAATGCAACCGCGTAAACATTTAACGGCCGTTAAAAGTGCGCCTGAGTGAATTTTTATGAAGCTGCCACAGCCAACGACATCGTCATACAGCCACGCCCCCTCTTAGCCTCTTCTGCCACGCCCTTCTCGTACTACCATCTTTTGAGCCTAGTAACCTGGCAACTGCATCGCGTTAGCTATATGTACGAGGGTTTGAGTAGAATGTACTCAACCTCAGGCCGCACAGGGTTGGGTTGCATAAAATTTTATGTGCTTTCTATTTAACACTTTTTTGGGTGGCTTTGGGAGTGGTTGCTGGGGTGGTTGCATCTACAACTGGGTTTATTTCCCTGCTTCGGGGAAAAAGTGTCTTTTCATTCCAGTTGGGACACGCGCTGGATTCGTTTTAAAATTCAATAGAAAGAAGCGATAAAAATTGTTGCTATTTGCGTTTCAGTTTGTGTTTCTGTTTTCTCAGTTGGATTTTATGGCCTTAAAAGTGCTGCGAAAACTAGTTAACAATTCCTTTACGACCCGCTAAGAGCCAGAAGAAACAGGACCTCCTTCTCCTTCGTCCATTTCTGCATTGCATTTGAAAAGTTTTCGTTTGTTTTGACATTAGTTGGAAATTGAAACTTTAATATTTGCAGTGAAAGCTTGAAGTTTGATTAAATTACATTTTTACCATTTTACATCTGCTTACAAAATACATTTATTATTGTTGTCGATTCGAAAGTGCTGAGCAGGCTGTCAGTTAAGTTAACAAACACAGAAATATAGCCAATAATAAAAGTCTTGTTTGGTTAAAAGGAAACAAATTCCAATGACCATGTAACTGAGGTGATAAACTGGCTTAGTAATTTGTCTGACTTTTGATGACCTGCTGGCCTTTTAGCTAGTTACTTTGAGAATAAAATTATGAATTAATCAAAGGAGTTGGAAAAGCAGCTTTGTATTACATCTCGAAGCTTTCTGATTTTGTTTTAATAAATGTATTTAATCGATAAAATGTAACATTTTCTTGCCTTTTTAATCACATTTTTAACTTCTCTCTCGAGACCTTAAAGTTAAATTTTTCCAAACCAATCAATACCTTCCTTCCTCTCTCTAAACTTTATTGTTCTTCTTAGCCTGCTGGCATGTCGAGCAGGTTGCTTCATTAAATGGTTTCTGTAATTGCTGTTTGGCCACAAGTTTGTATAATTGTTGGCTGCAATATGCGCTTACGGCACCGCCTCTTGTTGTATGCAACAAGGCGGAAAAACGTGGCTCACTGTTGCCAGACCAAAGAGTGCATAGTAGAGTGGGCCAAGACCAAGACCAAGAGCCACAGCCCGGCCAAGACCAAGACCAAGACCCAGTCGAGACACCAGAAGAAATTGGAGCAGGCAAAAGGCACAGCTTGGGCTAATTGTTAACTGTGGCAGTGGGAGGTCGAGGTGGTGCCAGTGGAAGTTACCAACTGCAGTGGTGGCAGTTAGAACCAGTTTGGTCTTTTTTTTTTTTTTTTCTGGCCAAAACCCCAGGCAAAGTCAAGTTCAATGCACATAAAAGACTTGACTTGGTCTAGAGGGAGTGGCGCAGAGAGGAGAGATGGAACTTCCTGGGCCACAAGGAAACTTGCCTCAAAAGAAATGCCAGAAATGGCCGCAAACTTTTTTCCATCCACTTAAATTGCAAATTTCCAGTTTCGATTGCAAATGTTGTGCTGCATTTTCCTTTCGTCCGGCCGTTGGATATGGATTCCGATTGCGATTCGGTTAGATAACCACAGCGGACCATCATAAAGACGGGGTCATAAAATCAAGAGAGTTTTCCACAAAGCACCAACAATCAATGCCAGTTGCGTAACGAATTTTTTTTGGCCAAAAAACAAGAAAGACTTTGAAATATATTCGCATTCGGTTTATGATTTTTATGGCCAGTAATTAAATGAGCGACTGCTGGAAAAGTTGTGGCCCATAAGACACACCAAGCGCTGCCACAGTCTTTTCCTGGCTAATTGAAGTTCAAGTGCAATGAAAATAAATTATTCGCAAAATGTGCGTGCCAGGAAAGAAACAAAAACAAAAATGGTATAAAGACTACCATATGGAATGACTGGATCGTCCATTTCCTGCCCAGAAAATGAAAATCGCAGCAGCGGCCGACATTTTTCCCAGGCCATTTTCGCTCGAAGACTCTCCATTGGCGCTTGTTGTTTTCACGCCTCGATGGCCCTTCCAGTTGTCGGTTATTTATATTAAAATTTCAGAATGATGAACCCCATGCACTTACCATTAAGGTGCTGGCCTGGCCCTGGCCGTGGCCCTGCCACTGGCCGCAGATAGCCATTTTCATTTTCATTTTAAGTTTTCCTTGGGTTTCCAGGGGGGAAACGGATCGGTTCGGATGACGGCGGAAGTTCGGGCAAATGAGGCGTCAAGTTGCACGTTGCACGTTGCACTTTTCGCGTTTCCACAAAAGTGGCAGCTCAATTTGTAATTGTTGTTTAAATTTCTGTTATTCTCCCACGCTGTTTGTCTTTATCTTGGCATTTTTTAATGCAAATTGCAAATGAGGTTTTTTTTTTATATTTCTTTCTTTCTTTCTTGCGTTGAACTTTAATGTTGGTTAAGCCTGGAAAAGTATTTGCGGAGTTTGGTAAGCTATGACAGGAGTTAATTGGGGAAAAATGCTTTTTAAAGTCTCGAATTATTGTATTTTAACCACTCTCATTACTAGCTTAATGTTGGTTAAATGAATGTGAGGTCTTACTTGGCGATGAGTGGTTTTTAATGGAATTTTAGTCTCATAATAAATCTTAGTTAACTGTTACTTAAGTAAGTTTTAGCTTTACAAAATGTCTTGATGTGAATATTTTTCATTAAACAATGCTTATTTCCTTGTCAATTTTTTGAATATTTCTGAGATAAATATGAACTTTATGACCTTCACAAGAAAAGGAGTAAAATTTGCCTTTTAAAATATTCTAAGGAAAGCCTTCTTTTTGCTCTACAAGTTAAAGTTTTTCCGGATGTTCTCTAATCAAGTTAACAAAAATATGAGAATTTGGATTGAAAAATCAAGATCTAAGCTTTACACATTCTATAATTATTAAGTTTAAAAATGTTCATGAAAAAGACTAAGGTTTCAAATCTAAAATCAACTTTAAGCTCAAAACACTTCACTTTCAAGTTTCACTTTTAACATATTACTAAAACAATCCTGTAATAGCTTATTCCTCAATATTTAGTTTAAGTCTTCATTTTAATTAATTTGAAATTTTTTTTGCTGTTTTATAATATTCTTGCTTGTTGGCACTTTGAAAAATCTAAATGGAAAATTGTATTCTCATATCCTTTGCGGAAAAAAAGTCAACTTTGACTATTTCATTCAACTTTGTCTTTGAGCTTTGTTTAAACTTGTCCGTCGCCGTCGCAGTCCTCGTTCGTTTCTCATTTATTTAATGCGACTTTTAATTTGAGTTTTCGTTTCGTTTCGTTTTGGCTTGTTTACTTTTGGCTGGAAAAACTGTGTGGAGGAAAACCGCACGCTTGCGCGCTGCTGCTGCAACTGTGCCTCGAATTTTCGCGCCACTTGAGTTTTGTGTGTGTTCGGGGCCGCGCAGTTTTCACGGAGACGGCCGGTTTGTTGTTGTCGTTGTTGTTATTGTTGTTGTATCGCTTTTCACATTTTCCTTTGCTAGCCAAACAGACTTGGCCTGGTCTGGTGCTGTTGTATTTTCCATATATATATATTTTTTTTTTTGTGGGGCATAATAAGCAGATGATTAAATTTGCAACGCTCAGAAGGAAGTCGAATTTTAGATTTGTTTGGGGAAATGCATTTGCATTCCAATCTTTTGGAAAAATGCAAATTATAAGAAAGTGGCATGGCTGCAGACTGTTATTTGTTTTTAACATGACATGTCATATTATCATAAGAAGATAAGGTAGATAAAAACCTTAAAAAAATATATAAAATATTAAAGAATATTTTAGGGTTGTTTTTAGTTTAGATTTCCGTAGAATAAAGAGCATTACTTGTTCGACTTTTCCAAGCTGAAAACTCCTTCACTCACTTGATATTTGTCTGCATTTCGAGCTGCTTTTTTGGCCATGGCTTTGGCCAAGGCGTCCGCCAACTTTTGACCATCAACGTTTGCACAATATTTGCTGTTTTTGTTGTTGTTGCTGTTGCTGTCCGCTGATGACAAAAATGTTCAAGTTTTTCTCTCATCTGTGTGCAGTTTTTTAATGCTATTTTACGAGTCTCGTGTGCGTGCAACTGAGGATAAAGCCAAGCTCAGCGGCGTCATGGTTGTATAATTAATTTATTAATGGCAACAAGTGAAATGCTGTGCCACGCATTTCCTATAAGGCTCGGGCCCAGCCCGGCTCATGATTATGTGATTTATAGGAAGAACTTATCCCACTTTTGGGAAGGGGGGAATCCTAACCCCTGGGAAAGTTCAACTGCAGTTATTATTATTATTATGCAACAGGCAACCGCGAGTCACGCACGCGCTGCCGCCAATGAAGTAGCTGACAAATTATCTTTTTTTTATTTTATTTTATTTCACTTTTTATTGCATTTTATTTGCAGCCCATGGTGGGACTTTTAAGCGGCTTGGAGCGTCGAGTGCCGAGGTCGAGCTATCTAGTCGAGTGCATCAAACCTGGGCCAGATGCTGAGCCGATTGCGGGATTTTCGGCTATGATTGGTGGTTACCGGATGAGAGGCGGTGCGCGGAGGCGGCTCCTGGCACTTTCACATTTGTTTTTGCTGGTGTTGAAATTGAGTTATTAGAGGAAAGCCATGTAAGCGGGGCCAGGGGCGTATTGTGAGATTTCGGATTATAAACTATGAAAATAGAAATATTCCGCTTATGTTAGAAGTTTGAAAGGGATTCAGATTGGATTGCTTAACTTAATAACTGATTTAATTTAAAATATTAATCAAATTTTATATCATTTACTTTCTTTTAGTCTGTGTAAACTATTTTATTAATATTTTCTAGTGAGCTGCCTAAATCTGTGAGGAAATCTATTTCTCTCTCTTTAATAGATTTCCATTCTTTTCAACACCCCTCTAAAAAGTTTCAATGCCCCAACTGTGGCACGTTCCTCGGGCAATGTGCCAACCTCCTACCGAAAGCCACATAATTGCTGTAATCGCGGTGGAGATTTGCAATCTCGTAATAAATTCAGACACCGAAGATGCGCCAGAAGTTGGAGGAGCTCCTCCCTGGCTGGGAACCCCCTGCCCACATTATTATTTGCCACCAGATGCGTCGCCAGTTGCAGCTGCAATAGGCGGAAATCTCACACAGAAAGTTGCATTGCGGATGCAGTCATCGTCGTGGGGCTCCATCTCCACCAGACTTCAGCTGTATATTCGTGCGGAAGTTTAACCAACTAACAAAGTGACTTCGAGCCCGAATCAGGGGCAACAATTGTTGGCCAAATGTGTGTGTGTGTGTGTGTGTGCGGCGTGTGTTGACACTTCCAGCCGCTCATCCCGGTTAACTAACTGGTTAAGCCAATTGATACGATGTTCCAGTTTTGACAATGGCCATGCCCGTCACTTAATTGCCATCAAATTGTTTCGTTGGCTGTTTGGCTTAAAACTTGGACAGTTGGTCATTTGGTTTTGAGGAAATTGTTGCAGCATCGATAGCGATCGTATTGAACGTTTTAATTGACTCGCTCGCTCGCTTCCTTCATTCGCCAGATCAGGATCTCCCTGCTGGTCGGTCGGTCTCTCTTCCCCAGCTGCCTTAATTGTCCGACACTTCCCGTTTTCGTGGTTTGCTTCCCATCAGCCCATCCTTCAGCCGCCGTCTATCCTGGCCTGGCCAAACCAAGCTAGGCCAAGCCAGGCCAGGCCAAACCGAACTGAACCGACTAGACCAGGCCGAAATCTAATTACGCCATCGCAGCCAGAAAGCCAACGAGCGCAGCAAATTGACAACACAATAAACAGGAGGCCAGAAAGGGGGCGAATGGAAGGTCGGGGTGGTAGGTCGGAGGTTTCGGGTGTCACACATGTGCGACAGTTTCTGATTTATGAACACAATTTCCACTTTGACAATGAGCGAGTTCTCCAACTCTCTAGCACTTCGCCGATGGCTTCACACAGCCAAAAATAAATAAATGCAAAATTACACTAGACTTGGGTATTAGCCATGATTTAAGCCATTTAAATGGTACAGAAATACCGGAAACTAACAATATTTTTAATAATTTTGTAAAAAGATTATGGGGTAATCCTTATCCATACCGGACTTACAAATTATTAATCAATCTAATAGAAAAGAGGACTATAAGTTAACTCCCAAATTCCCTTTCATACCTCCCTATATTCTCAACCTTTTCTTTCCAGTGTAGCTTCCAAGCAGATGAGCTGCTGCCCCTTCTTCCCCAGCTGAACTCATGTCCGGGCTGAAACTCAACTCCTGTTTAGGGGAAGCTGCTATCTGGGAGCGACAATTCCTACCGAAACTGTTAGTTTATGAGCGGGAATGCCAGTCAAGACCACCACCCACTTCCATGTTGGTCTAGGTGAATTATGTTAATTGAGATTCGGTGGCTGATAGTCCGAGCCGGAGCTGCAGCTGTGGCCCCACTTCGATTGGACTCCCTTTAAGACATTGACCAGGCCAAGTCTGGCCATATTTCAGGGCTTATCTGGGCCTGAGATGCACATAAAAATCGAAGCCCCAAGAGTCGAGCGGAGATAAGAAGGCCAGAAAGAGTTGTCCTGGCGAATGCAAAATGTTCAATGGCCAATGGGTATTGGGTAATGGGTAATGGGTAATCTGTGGGTTGGGTTCGTTTGGGCCACGCCCAAGTGCATAAATTCTCTCACAGACGAAGATTTCTTTATGGCCAAAACTAAATGCTTGAAGCTGAAGGGCTCTCCTTTTATAAATAACCCACATAAATGGGGTGCATTTTATTTGTATTTCCCTTCATTTTCCTGTTAATGACTTTGTTTCGGGGGGCATCGAAGGTTGGGTTTTCAATCAAAACCCGAAAATGGAGATAAACTGGAGGGCGAGAGGCGGAAGGTGGAAGGCGAAAGGCGAGAGTCGAGAGACCAAACACAACCAGTACGAAGTCAACTGAAAACTCATTTAAGGCTCCATTTCACAATGTGAAAACGGCAGGGGAAATGGCAACAAAAGGGGGCTCTTCCATGACAATGTCGGAGAACCGTTCGAACATTGCCTCTTCGAGACAATTTGCCACTTTAATTGCCGCAATTTTTTGCCCATTTTTAAGTCAAATTCACTCGACTTGGCTCGAACGGTCGTCCTAATAGGTCTCCCTCCCTTGCCTCCCTTGCCT